AATATTTTATTTTCGCAAAGACTACCATAATGGGGGCGTACGAGAAAGGGAAAGTAGAGTTGCAGAGCATTTTTGAAAACATCGAAATTATTCCTATTGTTCTCTTGATAAGCTTACCGGAAAAGTAACGTGGAAGTAATTTGTAACGTAACCAGTAAAGTAATCTGTTACTTTTTCAGCGAAAGTAATTTGTAACGGTAATCCATTACATTTAAGGCTCAGTAATTTGTAATTGTAATCCATTACATTTTCCGAGCAAGGGGCACAAGTCTGCTTTTACTGCGGCGCAGACGTCTAAATCAATGCAGGCACACTCACCCCTCACCCCCCCCCCCCCCCCCCCCCCCCCCCCCCCGCTATAGCTTCTCCTAAAACGCGCGTGCGTTGGGAAAAGCGCTCTTCTCCAAACAAGTGACCAGGAGGACGCCAGTTCTCGACAGCCATTACATATTTTGTTTTGCCACAATCACTTGTAATACTTCCGTTCAAATATCGTTAAACTATGTTGTTGTTGTTGTTGTTGTTGTTGTTGTTTTGTACGTCTAGACGCGTCCGAGGTTACGAGCTGAGGGGAAGAATCAGACAGCGTCAAAAACGCACCACAATTCTGTTCGTCATGTCTGTACGTGTTTCATCAACACTGAGCCATTCATAAACAAAAAAAGGCCGTGACTTGCGCTTTTGACGTTGCTCGATTGGTCCCATTGCCTCACAGCGTCGGTTGCGTCCAGACTTAAAGGGTCAATGTTTTTTTGAATTTGGGATTACGACTGTTTTCAGCTAAGTCAGTGTTCCTGAATTACAAAGCGTATATATATATATATATATACAAAGCGTATATATATATATAGAATAGATCGTACGCCTTCTGGAATTATTTTCCTGGGCGCCTTGTTGTATCAAAGTGATTCCCGATCCACTTTCTGGAAAAGTTTCCTTGTTCGCCATTGAAGTTTCCTTGTTCGCCGGAATACAGACAATAATACTAAAAAAATGTGGTTCCATCATTGCGCACCCTTTGGCTGATATTATCAACAAAATCTTCACAACTAGCTCTTACCCTGACTTGCTCAAAATAGCAAAAGTGATTCCAATATTTAAAAAAGGAGACAAACTAAAACCAGAGAACTATCGACCAATCGCCTTACTTCCTGTCATTACAAAAGTGATTGAAAAACTTCTACTAAAGCGACTGAACCTGTTCTTCTCTGAAAATAATTTGATCACTCCGTCACAATATGGATTTCTTAAAGGGAAATCAACAGAACTCGCGTTATTAAATATGGTAGAGAAAACAAAGCAAAATATTGAAATGAAGTTATTAACAATGGGAATCTTTGTAGACCTAACAAAAGCGTTTGACCTAATTAACCATGAACTTTTACTACAGAAATTAAGTGCTTACGGGGTTCGTGGTGTTGCTCTCAATCTAATCGAAAGTTATCTATCAAACAGATGCCAATTTGTCACTTTAGATGGCACAATTTCAACAACTAAACCTATTACCATCGGTGTTCCGCAAGGCTCAATATTAGGTCCCTTTCTTTTCTTAATATATATTAATGACCTGGCAGCCTATTTACAAAAAGATTGTGTTCTTTATGCCGACGATACAAATATTTTTATATCTAATGCAAGCGTGACAGAACTATACATGGAAGCTAATAACACTTTAGAAAAGCTAGCTAAATGGCTAACCCATAACAAATTAGTTCCCAATATTGCGAAAACAAACTACATAATTTTTGCCCCGAAAAACAAACTAATTTTAAACACACCTCAGCTTTCGTTTGCAAGTATTAACCTAACTCGAGTGTACCATACTAAATTTTTAGGGCTAACACTTGACCATCAGTTAACATGGCACCAACACGTAAAAGACACAACTAATAAGATATATCGAAATATACCAATTCTATATAAACTACGGCATATATTTTCCTTACGAACTCTCCAAATGCTTTATCATAGCTTCATTCATACTCACATTTCGTACGGGTTATCCATTTATGGATTGACATATAAAACAACACTAAAACCCATAGAAATCGCCCAGAATACGGCACTACGAGCAATGCTGTTTGTGAATAGGCGCGAAAGTGCTCAATTTGCATACCGCTTCCTCAACATTTTAACAGTTCATCAATGCCTCGATTATCGTGTAGCATTATTAACATTTAAGTTCATCACCAATCAGATAACATGCTCTTCAATTAGTTTTACTCATCAAGATGTCATGTATCCTCTGCGTTCACATTCACAAGCGTCACTGTTTGTACCATGCATACGAACTAATTATGGTGCGTTCACCTTCATTTACATTGCTACTAAAACGTGGAACTCTCTACCACCCTGCCTAACTGGCATGTCATCATTCTATATCTTTAAACAAGCCATACGTGCACACATACTATCTTCATGATTCATCAACCATTTCTATGCCCCTCCCTCCTCCCCCCCCCCCCCCCCCCCGAGTCATTCTTCTCGCCTAGGAACACCTTTCACACGATCACACACACACACACAAACACACTGATATTGTCCTTTTTTCTCGATTTTCTAGCTTTTCTGCTCTCTCTTTTCACTTGGTTTAATATTTTGATTATGTAGATACCACAATTGTGTTTCTTTTTTTTTTCTTGTTTCTTTTATTTTATATATATAATGGTGTTAACTTGATCGCTGACTAACCCTTTATTACCAAGGGGTCCCTTCAACAGTTTTCTTTTGAAAACTTTGGGACCCCCGTCTGAATAAGTGTAATTATCTAACATCTTGTGTACAAATAAAAACACATTTTGACTTGACTTGACTTGACTATATATATTTCCCCCCCGATATTGTGTGTAGTTTTGTAAATGCCACCTCTTAAAGATTGATTCCGGCCGTCAAATTCAAAACCAAAACTATCTGCTTAACAAGGATGGCAACACTGATCATCAGCTGTACGGCCGCGACGTGAGGTCGCGGTGGTGCTGCGTTACGCGTCGCCCAGTGTTGTTTGACCAAAAAGCTAACCCGCTTGCCACCTGCTAAAGAGCAGCTGGTCCCATCTTTAAAATAGGTTTTAGTGGAGCCCGCGGCTTCACTTTGATGTAATATTTCGGCTGCGATCATATTTCGTGCCACTAAAGCGATACTAGTGATTTGTTTTGGTTTCGTAATCGGCAGGAGTTGCCCTTCAAGCTCAGACGAACTATAGGTCGCTCTTACAGCCAATTTCCAAACCCTGGATTTTCCCCTATCCCCTAATCTCTTCGTGCCTCAGATGCGTCGTGAGAGACTCGCCTTGACAGGGACGTGGCATAGAATCTAAAAAGAGTGTTCATTCTCCTGGTCCACCTGTTATGCTCTATTGGCCCCAAAGCCGACAGTGCATTGGAAGCTACGTGCCCGTTGGACCAGCCACACACCTATCTTTCGCCACGTGATCACCCTCCTGCCCACACACACGCGCAGAGAGCGGGGTCAGGTGATGGAAGAAAGACGGTCGATAAGACCGGCGAGTACGTAGATCGCACCACATTGTCGGCCTAGGGCTGAACGAAGTGTACAGTAAGACAGGCAAAGAGTAGCATTGTACAATTTCATGGTAGTAACACGTAGTAACACTCTTGCGCCTTAGATTATTGGCCAATAATTAAAAAATCTCTAGCCCGTTAATTGCTTTTGGACGCTAGCGTCCTGATCAGATTTTCACTTGGGGACAACCTTTGTGAGTAGGCACAGGCCTTGCCCACCCTATATATCATTCTATCGTCCAGTTTTCTGAAAGTTACTTCAAGGTCCCAGTTTGAAATGCTGCAGTAAGTCACGCCGGAAACTTCATCTCAACTGTTTACTTCAGGCTGCATTGAACGCTAAAGACAACTGACCCAAGTAATTGGAGCCGAAGTTAAATTTAGCTTCTGTAAAAGCCAGCTCCAAGAGATGAAAAAAAATTTTCTACTTTTTCTTAGCTCACTGCGCGAGCCTCCTGATGCGCGAGAAATAAAAGAAAACAGTTTTATACCTTCGCATTTATTACAAAGAAAGCTCAATTGGGACAAAGTCTCGAATTGTCATCTTTCATACGTAGAGAAACTTTCAACACTCCAGAAAACAAAAAAACCAAGAAATGTTTCATGTGTTAGCAGTGTGAGTAAGAAAAAGAAAAACGAAGAGAGACGAGGGGATTCGGATGCACGAGCACGGACGATACCGAACGATTCGTAACGCTTTCTGATTAAATCAGTTTTTTTTTTCTTATCCTAACATGGCGCAGCCGACAGGAACTGATCCGCAATGGACGACAAAGCACGCGAATCGTAGTACATCTCGCACTGCACGACATCGTAATGTGTTTGTGCCATGATAAGGTCGGACATATGGACACAAGAAAAACTGCAGTTCAGGTTTCGAAGTGCTACTGGTGGCCGTCCATGACCAAAGACGTCGCACGGTATGTTCGATCGTGACATATGTAGGAAAATAAATCGACGCACAACGGCCAAGGAAGGATGCCTTAACCTAAGAGACATCCCTGACGAACCAAACAAAGTGATCTCGCCTGATCATTTTGGACCAATAGTAGAGAAAGAAGAAAATAGTTTGGTATGCTATGACCACGATACATGCCACGTCGACGCATCAGCTGTCTCCAGCACAGCTTCCATCTGTTACATCAACTTCCTGACGAAAAGAGCGATCCCCACATTTGGGTTACCGGAAATAATCATCAAAGACCAAGCAAGAGGATTTGTGAGCCGAAACACGGAAAGAATTAATCTACGTCTCGTTGTGACACACACCACATCTTCACCACATTAGTCGAAAGCAAACGGTCTTATCGAAAGAATGGTAAGAACGATCAAACAAGTTTTACAAAAACTTGTAAACAATCATCTCGACTGGCTTATCGCATTGCAAGATGCAGTAACTGCCGTTAATGTCACGAGACAGAGCTCAACGCGATACAGCCCTTTTCTGGCTAATGCACGGGTGTGATCCCTAACTTCCAGGCGAACTAAACATTGGCAGCGTTGATGATGACTTCACCGAAACCAAAAGATTGCTCAACCTTGCCAGAAACCGATGTGCTGTAAAGCTCAATTTGGAAGGTAGCCAGACGCTGGTGAAAACCCGGTACGAAGCCGACAAGAGGGCACCTTATTTTAACGTCGGTGACTTCGTATACTGCATCGAAGCATCTCTGCGTGGAACCCTGGACTCTTTACTGGAAGGATCGTACGAAATTGCAGAATTCAAAGTCAGAATGCAAAATTAGCATGTGTGCCAAAGCAACGAAGGCCTCCAGCATGCCTCCGAGATTGTGTCACAAATAGAAGTGACGTACAGACTTGAATTGAGGACAATTCAAACTTTGTAGTGGGTCTTGTTAGCAGTGCGAGTAAGAAAAAGAAAACGAAGAGGGACGAGGGGATTCGGATGCACGAGCACGGACGATACCGAACGATTCGTAACACCTTCTGATTAAATCAATTTTTTTTTTCTTATCCTAACGTGACATAGACCATATAACCCCTCCCCCCCCTCACCCCACACCCTTTTCTCTTCTTATTGCCACCATTGGGTCAACTACAATTTTATTTATATTTCCGTGATTCATTCTGCCAGGGACCCTGTAAGAGCTAGCTAGCTCCGAGAGATTAAATTTGTCTTCTTTTTCTAAGCTCGCTGCGCGAGCTTCCTGGTGCGCGAGAAATAAAAAAGAAAAGTTCGAGCCAGAACACCGTGGAGCGCGGACGTCTTTTCCACACCCTCATTAATCTTATGTCTATCAGAATACTCCATCTTCCACTGAGGCCACCTTAACTCAAGTTCGATTGCACGTCACTGGAGTGGAAGATGATTATCAAATTCCTCTCCTTCTCTACACACGGGTACTGAACAAAATGAGCTCCATTTGTGCGTTATATGATTTCACAATATTTTACGTTATAGTCACCATTTACAATTAATTAGATGTTAATCATTTTCTATGGGTCCTAATGCAGGATGTTCACGCTATCATTCAGTTCAAGGTATGGCAACTGCTTCTGCTTCCACTGTCAGAGCAGCAACGAGTCGGCGTTCAGATACCGAAGACTGGGAAGGCCGGAACAAGGTAAACTGTCTTGTTTTTGTCGAGCTCTAATAACAAAAATAAGAAACAAGAATACCGAATATGTTTTATTTTACTGTAAGCTAGACTAGAGTGAACTGGGTATGAGCCATCTGAAACAATGCAGTGCTGTGCGCTTGGCCACGACGATGATCTGGAGCCGTCGAGTATATGCCGTGTCCCTGAGCTCTCGCATTTCTGACCGCAGCGCCAACGTGCTTTAACTGAGTTTTTTTGCACATATCATCAGTCACCTTTACGAAGAATGGATAAGACGCCGACGATACGTATCCTAAACTCCAACCAGGAAAAGAAAGTTAGAAAATCATACGTTCAAAATGTGAAGCTGTTTAAAGGAGCTGTGCAACGATATTCAATTCGAATGTTTTTCTCTCTACACGAGCTTACTGGCACACCTGGGACTCAAGGATACTCACACGCAACGCCATTGGCCAAGAAACTCCTTTGTTGCGGTGTAATTTCAAGGACAAAAGCGATCATTTTCATTCAATCTCTCCTTTGCAAAATTTGATGACGTAACCCGGGGATCGCAGTACACCCAAGTGACGATATCTGAATGCGGTTCATAGATTGGACCCGAGCATTGCGTGGGCACTCGACTTAGGCTCGTGACAATTGCTAGCTCGAGAAGCATTCGGGTTGTGACCCGTGTCCAATCGCTGCAACGACGACAACAGCCGAGCCATAACAATGTCTGGAACTCAGCGCGTGTCCTGCGCTTTGCCAACCCCAGCGCGTGGCTATGATCAACACTGGCGGCATATAATCGGCTCCAGATCACGTGGCCGCTTGTTCTGGCTGCGAGTTGAGGGGGTGAACGCTGCTCGTTTTTCTTTAATTTTTTTCTGGGACTTCTATTGCGTGGGGTGAAAAACGAACGCGTGTTTCATAGGTCATTAACGTTAGGGATCCGTTTTAAGCGGTATTTGCGCAAAGTACAAAAATTGTTGCATAGCTCCTTTAATGAAGGACAGTCGCTAATCACCATAACCAGAAAAAAAAAAAGTTTGTAAACATCGTGCTTCCAGTGTTTCCAAGCAACCGCATGCAGCCCTAAAGAGGCGCTTGAGCTTCCCAAAAACCCATCGAGCAACACTGGCGGCAACTTTATTTTGAGCATCGCTTCCTGTGCCACGGATGTGATGGAATCCGAGCGCTGGACGCAAAGCTCACGTCTAATGTAAGCTCGAGGTGCTTTCCTAAACTATGCCGGCCTCGGATAATCGAAGCAGGAGCTACTACAAAGGGCGCACACTTTTGAAAGGGGTCTATTTAAAAGGGGCTAGAACGCGTCTTCGCCCGGTGTGTTTACCGTCCTATACCGCCCATGCATCGAAAGCGGTCCAAAAGTGTCAACAAACTGCGTCATACAAGCCGGCGTGTCATGCTGTCGGATGCCACGATCCTTGCGGTTCGTCGTAGAAATGCTGACGAAAAAGACGAACGGACCCAAGGATCGCTGTCGTCGCGGCGTTCCACCGCGCGTCTGCTCTGGTTTCCGTCGACTAGCGGTCTGAGCTGCAGAGCGACCTACTGCAGGACAGGCGTCTGTCGCGTCCACCACTACTGCTGCACCACCGTCAGGATCACGGCAGGCGGTAGCATGGCACTTTTATGACGTCATCAGGCAGAAATCGAGGTACCACTTTTGAGAACGCAATAAGCATGCCTGTCGGAGACGCGCTGCGGGCATCATACGATTCACTTGCAGCAACGACGAAGACATGGCTGTGCGCGTGTATTCACCCACAGGGCTGGAGCTGCTGATCCAGGTGGAGCAGCACGAATACCTTCCCATCACCCCGGAGGCCGGCTACCTGGTCATGATCCATAAGCAGGGACACGATCCAGACGAGGCCACCGACGGCATCTACGTGTCACCGGGACAGACCACCTACGTCGGGGTCACCGTGGTGAGGATGTGGACGTTCTCTGGATGGATGGATGAATACGGCTGAGCCCTTTGGATCGGGCGGTAGCTTGCGCCACCTAGCCATTTTGTTTTACCATTTAAGCTTAGAATATTTAAATGTGAAAACTATATTCACTCCTCACTGAAAATAATGTGGGGCTATGAAACCCCCTTGCCATCAGTGAATAAGAAAATACCTAGTTTTCTCTCGATTTCTGCCACCATTCACTTAATCTTTGCTTGGTAATCTCTACAGTCTTGAAATCCACTCTCCCTTCGCTGTCTCTAAAACCCAATGACTTTATTAAATCTATGTTGTCTTCGGTAGGCATAGGGTGAAGCCCTTTACAGTAGAGTATCAAGTGCTCAGCCGTCTCGTCCTCCTCTCCACAAGCAGTGCACACTGTATCAATTTCCTGGTACTTCACTCTGTATGTTCTGGTTCGCAGAACACCCGTCCTCGCCTCAAACAGCAATGAGCTTCCCCTAGAATTGTCATAAATGCTTTCTTTGGCAATAACTTTTTTGTTTAATCTATAGCTTTCCAGAGCCGTCTTTGTCTGCATTCCCTCTAACCACCGATCTGTTTCTGTGGCCTTAACTTTCTTCTTAACTGAGACTTGCTCTTCCGTATCTTCGCTATAGCCCAAAAACTTTCCTCTTAATTTCCTAGTGCGCTGTCTCCACTTTGTGTCTACACTCCTCATGTATAAATAGCTGAAAACCTTTCGTGCCCATTGCTCCCCATCCATTTGCCTCAACCTATCCTCAAATTCTATCTTGCTCACCGCTTCCCTGCTCTCAAATGATACCCATCCCATGTCTCCTTGTACTCCCTGGTTTGGCGTTTTGCAATGTGCCCCCAAAGCCAGTCTACCTACTCCGCGCTGTTTTATTTCTAGTCTCGCATGCACTTCGGATTTCATGCATAGCACTGCGTTTCCAAAAGTCAAGCCAGGCACCATGACCCCTTTTCAAATCTCTCTCACCACCTCGTACCTGTTGTAATTCCAAAGTGCTCTATTTTTCATTACAGCTGCATTTCTGTTGCCCTTACCTATTATATACTTTTCATGCTCTCTGAGATATTCTGCACCATCACATATCCATACTCCTAGATACTTGTATTTACTAGCTCTCTCAACTGTAATATTCTGTATCTTCAGCCTCTCAACTTCATCCTCATTAAAAATCATGACTGCTGATTTTTCGCTACTGAATTCTAAACCTAATTCCTCTCCTTCCCTACCACAGATGCTCATTAGTTCCTGCAACTCTGTCCTGTTGTTAGCCATTAGTACAATATCATCCGCATACATTAATCTTGGTAAGGATTGCTGAAGTTTTTGGCCTAGCTTACTGTAAGAAAGGTTGAATCCAAGCCCACTCTTCTCTAGTCTATCCTCCAATCCTCTCAGATACAACATAAACAGCAAAGGCGATAACGGGCACCCCTGCCTCAGGCCTCGTCTTATCTCTATTTTCCCTGTCGCCTTTCCTTCCCATGTTATAATCACATTGTTATATTTGTAAATGTTCCTTTATAGTGCTGTTAGTCCTTCATCTAGGTTTAAGTTCTCCATTATGTCCCACAGGTTTCTTTGGTTCACATTGTCATAGGCACCCTTGATATCCAGAAATGCCAGCCAGAGCTGTCTGTTTTCTTTTTGCGCTATTTCTATACACTGTGTTAGAGAAAATAAATTGTCCTCCAACCTTCTTTGTTTCCGAAACCCGTTCTGTAACTCGCCCAGTATGCCCTCGCAATCTACCCATTCCTCCAGTCTGTTCTTTATAATCTGCATTACCAACCTGTAAATAACCGGTGTCACGGTTATAGGGCGATAATTCCTAATATCAGACTTATCTCCCTTTCCCTTATATATCATACTCATCCTACTAAGCCTCCATTCATCTGGAATATTTCCTTTTGTTATCATGGTACTCACTACCTCCCTTAGTTTTGCCTTAGATTTAGGACCCAAATTCTTCACCAGCTTGATAGGGATACCATCTGTGCCTGTCGACGTGCCACTCTTCGTTCCGCCTTTTCCCATTCTCTGTCCAAAATCCGCGATGTCACAAACTGGACTGCTACTTCCTTCGGTTCTCCTATCTTCCACATGTACCCGTTCCCGAAATTTCTCCTCCATCACTGCTCCTATATATTGTATCGCATCATCTCCTCTAATTGATCTCCCTGATGCGAGAGTATGAACCTCTGTCTAGCTTGCGTTGTTTCACCGAGTGAGTTCAAGTGCTCCCAAAACTTCTTGGCAGTGTTTCTATCTTTCTTACCTACATTACTCATCCATTCCTCACCCTTTCTCTGAATTTTCGCATTGATCAAACTGGATGCTTCTCGGCGACATGTTATAAAATTGTCCCATTTTCTTTTTACTTCCGTTTCGGACTCCCCACTACGCTTGGAATACCTGTGTTCTCTAGAGGCTTCCTGACGTTTTTGTATCGCTTGCTTCACTTCTTTGTCCCACCAGCTTTTTGGTCTATGTCCTTGCTTCCCCTTTCGTTTACTCTTAACTTTGTCTAGTTCTAGAGCAAAAAGCCTAGTTAGGCTCTCATAGGTCCAATCTGTATACCGTTGCCCTGAAACTGCTGCCTCTATTCTTTCAACAACTATTTCCCACTCTTTGTCGCTGCAGAAAGTTTGCTTTGAATTATGTTGTCTAGTTTCAGCATTTACTTCTCTGGCAAAATTCAGCTTAATACGTTTGTGATCACTACCAAGACTTTTGGAACCTTCTTCATCTATTTTCATTACTTGTAACTTACCATATATTTTGTGTGACATGAGTACGTAATCTATAGTTGAATGCAGATTGCCAGTTTCCCAAGTTATGTGCCCGTCACACTTCTGACTGGTATTACATAAAACTAAGTCATGTTTTTCCACCAGTTCTAGTAATATGCCTCTCTCCGTGTGTAAGGACGTCACCCAGCGGCCAGTGCATGAAACACTTCTGAACTAGTGTTCCAATAACGTTTTACACAGAATCTGTCCTATATAGTGCGGGGTTTCATTAAAGAAGCGACGCGTTCGACCGATACACAGGTCACGTGACCTAATGACGTCACGTGACTTCACGTGTTCGAAGACCCCCACAACAAGCCGACATGAGATTATCTGGCTCGTGCAAGGTATGGTGCCTGGAGCGCGTCGCCCACTGGTGTGTTTAGCGTCCTTCCCACCCACGCATGAAAATTCGTCCAGAAGTGGCAACAAATGACGTCACAGAAGCCGAAGTGTCCTGCTGTTGGATGTCGCGATCCTGGCGGTTGCTCGTAGAAATGCCGGCGGAAAGCATGAGCGAGCGCTTGTTGCTGTCGCCGCGGCGTCCCAACTTCTGGCTGCAGAAGCTTCCGTGGGCTGCCAAACGGGAGAGCGACCTGTTGCAGCAGAACAGGCGTCTATCACATCCACCACCGCTGCTGGAACATCGCCAGGGTAGCGGCCGGAGACAGCATGACACTTGTATTAGGTCATCAGGCGGAGATCGAGGGACCACTTTTTTGGACGCGGTACAAACACCAAGGTTCCAGGCACCATAGTGCAAGGCCGTCGCAGGACAGGGTCACTGCGCACGTCCCGGTGTGAATGTATTTATTTATTTACATGCCTCTAAAGGCTCCGAAACAGCATTACAAAGAGGGGGTGTCTTATAAACTTTTACATCATCATACAAGATTTCACAAGAAAAAATAAAAAACTGAAAACAATGTGTCACGCTAAACAGAACCATGAAGGGAAGACATTGCATAACAAAAAGCCACAGACCCACTCACATCATTGGAGGGCAGTCGACGTGCTAGAACCTACAATAGAGCAATAGACATGCCAGCTAGCGAGTAAACATACAGGGGAAGATATAATTCATTCACCCTAAAGATTCACGCAGTAACATCATAATCATGATCAGTGACCGTCGCAATTTCGCTTGCCAACTCATTGCATTCGGTCGCCGCTTGTACGAACAGGGATACCTGAACAAATTAGTTCTAGCAAGTGGAATATGAACTTTGTAGCAATGATCATGACGAGGGGAAATGTGAGCCGGTAAGAGAATTTCGTTTTGACGGAAATCTGAGGAACTGTGATAGAGTTTATGCAAATGGGGTAACCTTGCGAGGTATCTTCGCTGGTGGGGAGATACGAGACAAAAATATTAATTTCCCACCAAAGTGCGGTAGTTGGTCGCCAGGTGAAAAGTTTATTTTACCCTTCAAAATGTTTCTGAACGTGCTAGTCCGGACAGATAAACAAATTGAGTGGTTATGAGCTTAACGTTACTCAGTCCAGACTAAAGTAACGGCTTGCAAAGCTTAGCTCAAGAGGCTACTATTGCCCGAACCCCTTATTGATCTTTGGAGGTCGGTCAACTTTTCATTGAGCCCCCCTAACTATACATTCCAGCACATGTAACCGTTCCTTCCTTGGCAGCCCCCGTACATGCGCTGCGGTCAGAGATAAGTATTACTAGGCTGTGAAAGTAGCGTCAACTTCGTGCATGCAATCCTCTTTCCTGTTTCACATTTCGGCCGCGAGGCTGCGGCAGTTTTCGCTGCGCACTTGGATGGGTGGTACGCTCTCCGCTTATCTCCTTCACGTCTTTCCTGCTGGATGGCGCCCGTGGCGTCGCTTGCTCGTAGTGTGCCTGAATTTGACTGCTGCCAAGTCATCGTTCGGGGTCACGTGGTTTATGGGCTGCGTTTGCAATACAAACTGCGAAGACGCGAAAGTGTTGCTCATCTGCAAGCGTCTCCGTTACCTCCTCGCCATGCGAAAACGCACGCACGCGCACGTGCACCCAGTCTGCGCAGGTGGCGTCCGCCATGAAATCGCAAGTGTTATCCGTGGTTTGAGTTGCTCCCTATCTCAAATATAGGTTTTCTACCTCTGAAATTGCTAATATATCGTCTGCCAAAATGGCGACCCGTGTCGTCGTTCTGATTAGAGGCCGGTCCCAACCGGCCGTTAACTAAGGTCACCATCCCCCTTTCCAGAACGGCATATACCGGCTCAAGGCTCCCTATCCGTCCAATTGCGTGCAAAGCTGGCCACCCCACAGCCTCCAGCCAAACGCATCCATGGGAAAGGTCTACAGCAGAGACGTAAGGCCCACCAAGGATACGAGCATGCACACTCTCGGCGAAAAGCAGTAAACCAAGAGTGTAACTAATTTTATACTTCTATAAAAAAAAAGGTACGCACAAACATGTCGAGGACTACCGCCGCCCCGAGGAGCCGGAGGAAACTAGACACGCGCGACAGGACCGCCACCCGGCGGAAGGAAATGAAACTAAGCACGCAAGCGGCCTGGAACGACGTCAAAGAGAGGGCGGTGCGAGCCCTTGCTGAGTTTTTGTTGACGTACACGAAAAATCCATGGAACCCTAGCCATAAACAGCTTTGATGTAAAAAAAAGAAGTGCACTTAAGCAACATTGTTAGTATACGGCATTATACTTTTAATATCTGAAGTACAGTATTTCCAGATGCAGAAATTGTCTTCCCAAAAAATTTCGCCGGTACGCTATATACAACAGTGCGACTTATAAGCGTTTTGTACGCGTCTATCCGTTTCGACTAAGCTTTCTTCTGCAGCTTGGTCGCAGCATGCACCGCAAACGAATGTCCCATTTTTACTGCGGTTTACACATAATAACGTGTTATAGACGCTTTAAACACGTGCCAGATTGAGCCGCCATTGCCGACCTTCTCTTGTCATACCGAAATGCCGAGCCACTAAGCGGGTGTCGACGAGTCTCCACAACGGCCTATGCTAGGGAAGAATGACACAGTAGCACCTAAAGTGGCAATAACATACCGTCCTGGGGTAATGATGAAGTGAATCGAATGGAATGAAAGAAAACAAAAACTGAAGCTCGGCTAAGACGACGTTCATGCCGCCTGAAAGCGTCTATATTTACGAGCGTAACCAATGGCGTCAATCTCCGATTCTACCGTAAGTCGGTGACGCGATGGCCATGTACAGTCTCTAACAATATGAAAGGCCCATTTAACGAAGCAGTTCTTGGCGGCTGTGCTGGATTCACACTGGCCAGGCCCATTCCTACCCAAAAACCCAGTATAACATTTCACTGTCTGGATTATGGAACTGGAAATCTGTTCCTGGAAACCTGAAACCCATATTGCAGACAAAGAAATAATTTCTGAAAACCTGCACTCCAGACAGAATCCAGATAATTTCTAGTTCCATAATTCAGATAGCGGTAGGGATACTATATGGCTTGGGGAAAAGAACTAAAGGAACCTATTTTCTCTCTTAAAATAAAGTGCCTGTGGCCAAAGTGGCACCACCACTTAAACAGCCTAGGCGAATGGGACTTTCACATTGAGGGAGACTGCGCATTCCAAGCTTGTAACTTAGTGGGTGTTTTTTTTTTGTTTTTTTTTTTTTCCGCAGCTGTGTCTCAAGCTCTGCCAGCAGGGAGAGGTGCTGAAGAACTGCAGCTGCGAGTCCAGCTTCATGCCCGCGCCAAGCTACAATACCTACAACGTCTGCGACGTGCTAGGCAACAATGGTGCGCTGTCAGTCGTGTGGTAGACGCTGGAGATAACGGGACACTAAAAGATTGTCCCAACTTCCCGCAGAGACCATGCTTTGCGTGGATCGAGTAAGGCGACTCTACGAACAGGGCCAACTTGAGTGCAACTGTCCACAAGCTTGCCAGTGAGTACAACCCCTGATGCACTTACCACGACCACGGAATCTGTGCAATGTCGACACACTGCGGGGCTAAAAGTGAAATTTGTCGTACGGAAATGTTTAAAGACCAAACATATTGTTATGATAAAAAATCAAGCGCGTTTGCACACGGGACTTGTGGGCAGTGCACATGCGCAAGACCCTCGTTCCGCAGTCAGCAGCACCACTTTGGTGAGACGGCAGAAACATGAGATGGTGGCCTAAAGTCCCCGCTTGAGATGGGATGTATCCGCTCGGCGAGTGCAGTATGACTAGGGCGTTTTCGTAGACCGCGTTTCGCCCTCCGCTAAGCTCTCCGCAAAGAAGAAGCCGCTACTGCGCCTGCGCGTCGACGGCCTTAACTGTTGAGTTCCGGGCGTTGCGGGGAGGGGGTTGCGGGCGTCCGGGGAGGGCGTTGCGAGACGGCGAACACGATATACAAAATCTCCCTGCTGATTTCCGTATAAGTTGCGGAAACTGTATGGGAAGTGCTACGAAGAATGAAGGACGAGAGTGGGGAAACCAGGCACAAGTCTGGCCGATTCGCATGTGACTGCCGAAAAATTGCTCAGTTGTAGAAATAACAACAACAAAACAGAAATGCATTTCGTTACCGTACTGTATAGTACACCACACAACGCTGCGCTTCAAAGTAGGAGCTACGGTAATAGTACTCTGTTCCAAAACGCCAGAGGTCTCACGAAATTAGCGGCAGTCGAAAAACTTCCCACGTACGTTACGCTCAGTTAAGCATCAAGCGTACAGCAATAATCAGATAAAAGCTAAGAATGCGCAAGAAGCTGCTCCCGCACCCTCCTTGCCGCCATCTACTGTTCCTCCGCGATGATCAAATTCGCGACTCAGCAAAACGGACGCCACCAAGCGGGTTGCTTTGCGCCTCTCCGAGTCTCTGGCGGCTTTCGCGAACACGTGTTGTCGGCGCGGTGGCGAACAATGTAGTTTGACGAATGTCTGAATATTTCTTAAGTTTGCCTGAGTGTTCATTAGTGTGGTGAAGCCTCAGTAGATTGTTCCCTTCCATCGCGTGTTTGAAAGCCCGTTTACTCCACAACACACGGTCGCGTGCTTTCGATTTTTTGGATGAGGAGGAATCACGGAAAAACGTTTTGATTTCTTGTCTGTCTCGTCTATTCACAATCAAAGTGACGACTGCTTGGTAGCTAATAAGTGGTTTCTTTATCAGGATGTAGAACAGTGGACTGAGGACGACAGACGAGGTGTTTCACTGGAGGGAACACCAATGTGGCAGACAAGTGAATGGGAAGGTTCTATAGCTGCTTTTCTTGAGTTTGGTTGTGTTCGATTAGCTTCAAGATTGAGCCACCCACGCCGGTCGGTGCGTTGACTATTCATCTTGGCTGCTTTTCGCCGAAAAAGCTTCTGGACCACACCGAAGGAGTTGGGCTGATTTTGCAGGGTTTTGATTCCGAAAATCCTGCTCGCTGCATACGATTAATGAGGGAAATTGCCTGCTTTCAAAAGGTGGGGGACGCGTCTCGCAAAGTTAGAAGCTGTCACAACATTATGATCTTTCGCGCCTCCAATATGTATATTATACCCCCGTCGAAGCCAGCAGCAATATACGTCTACATTGCTCTGGTTGTCCGGCCCCAAAAAATACTCTTTTTTTTTTTTTTTTCGTTCAGAATTCAAAGTCAAGTTCAATGCAGGAAGGTTCTGCGCGAATTTCCGATGAAGACTCTCTTCAGTTTGTCCGCATTCGTCTCCGTGCTGCCGGGTAAAACCATTTGGCTGAATTTTAGTAGTATCTCTGTCGGCCAAATATACTTCTATTCAGCAGTTCACCTAATAGCTACTCAACTAAGCTCATATTTCAACCCGAAGAATATACTAATATCGCTTTAGTGGGACATAGTACGTAATATAATACATAGCCCGCATATTCGTCAAAACGACTTCCCAGTTGCTACTAAAACCTGATTTGAAATACGAGTATTAGCTGCTCAGTGGGGCGCCAGCGGGTTAACATGCTCCTTGGCTCAAGAAGCGCTTGTTTCCGTAATTTGCCTACAGCCTGTGTTGTTGACCGAGCCCGACTGGAGAAACGCTGATGCACAAAAAAGCTCGATTTCGCGTACAGATAAGTCGCCTGGTCGAGACATGCGAGTTAGCTGAAAATTACTTTCGGTGGAACAATTCTGTAGTCATCGCCGCTTTCCTTAGCTCATCAAAACTGATTACAGTATATTACCGTCCCTTCGGAGCCCATAGTTTCGGTTTTGAACGAAATCTCCGAAACAAAAGTTTGACATGAAAAGAACAAAAAGCACCGGGAAAATAAAACTATGCCCTGCAAGTTTATGTGCACCGGCTACACTTAACCGTCGCAGTTCAAATACCTATAAAATAGGACATTAAAGCAAAGAAAATTTGCGCCGCCCGTTCAGGCGGCCCGGCCAAGCGGACGCGACCTGTTCCCAGCCGCCATGTTTGTTTGGTGGTAGTCGCGAATAGTCCCCTACCGAAGCTACAATGTATTAATACGTTCCGCTGACGTCCCATAACTCTTCATGCTACTACTGCCTTTCCTGGTGGCTTTGTGGCGGGTATACATGGTAATGTCTGTTTGGCTTATTATTAACTTGTATCCGAGCGTAGACATTCCTGGAGCACGGTTAGATAGTTAGATTGTGTCACACTGCCAGCCTGAAAATACCCATAAAAGGGGCATTCATTGAAATACGAAAAAAAGTGTGGAGGGGACCTCGCGTGCTGTTATTCACCTTAATAAATGTGTGCTATATATGACCGACGATTCGACAAGTGCTGCTGGTCATCTCCCCGTGTACAGTAGACTACGCCCCGAGTCAAGTGCACACGCCACGCGCAGAGGACCGCGAGCTCATTCGTCAATTCAGCCAACTTCAGTATTTGGACGGTGGGACAGGTATATGGGCAATTCGGCACCTTTCCATAAAGACGTATGAGGGCGGTTCATTGCTGTTTGTATGTTCTGCACGCGCACTTTCTCGTTGGCCGCCACTAACGTTGGCCGCAACTGCGAGCGAGCGCTGGCTGGACTGTGATTTAGCACGCCTGGACTGCGATTTCTGTAAACAGTAAAAACGTCTACGGTGCGACCACTAACCTGGGTTCTTTAAACCCATGTTATAGGTACCACCGGGACGTAGGTATTTGGGATGGAAGGTGCTCGATTTCGATACGGGATCATCATGGGAAATGTCATGTGTCGGTGCTCCCTGATCCCGTCTATAGCTATCCGAGGTGTGTTCGATTCGGTAGGAATTACACCGGACACATGTAGCGCTATTGGTACCAGAGGTCACTTGTATCGCTACTGTTCGAGCTGTTTTAAGCTTATCTCGGTTTTTCAGTGAGACGCTATTCTTGAGGTCCATCTCCGTCGCTTCCTGGGCAAGAGATGTGGTGAGTACGTGAGGTCATCGTCAAAATAATCACGCATTGATGCGGCGGAAAGTAAAGATACACCAGATCAATCTGTGTTTTAAATCATACAATCCTAACTCTCCTTTTAAAAAGAAGAAATAAAAAAAGTTCTAATTGTGCGGAACCGGTCGCAATAGACATTGCTAAATTACCCAAGCATCGAGGAGAATGCTGGGAATGTAATTCTACGCGCCGCACGCGCTCTCTACCTGTATAAAATATTCGAAGCAAATAACCAAAATAAGGCTTTGACGAACGTGCGTGCAAGAGGAAATTCGTTTTAGGTTTTTGCTTTAGAACAGTTCTTACTGTCAGCACGTGCACAACTCGCAGCATATGCTCCTTGGTGCTTGGGTGGTTTAGCAAAACGTCTCTTCCGCGGGCAGTGCGATTTGACCGTGGGACTGGTACTGGCATCAAATATTACAGGCGTGCCTGAACTGAGTGAAAACTATTAAATAATACTTCGCTTGGCCTGTTAGCTATGGCAGCATCGTCAATTGTTTATTAATATTTATTCAGAAAAAAAACGTCGATACAGACGAAATATCAATACTGATGGATCCTTAGGCGTTAAAGTGCTTGGATTGTTGTCAGTTTAGTGCGTGTGGCGACCACAAAAATGCACGTCTAAAGTGAAAAGCACGCTTCTACCGATTTTAGGTAATACAAAAATTTTTTCCTCCTCTCCTGACGGCCTGTATTCTACTTATACGTATGTTTTCGTGCTTTCGGTTCATAGGAAATCCCGAAAAGTAACCCCCTAATTGGTTTAGTCAATAACGTTTTAGTAGATCGTTCCGATACCTCCGATAGCCCCGATAACGATACTATGCATGCGCAAAAGAGGCGGTGGCGGAGTATCGGGTATCGTTGTCGGAGTCACGGGAACGATCTAATAAAACTCTCTACTATCGAAAAAAAACTGAAATTCCCCAAAATAGCATTGCCCCTAAAAAATAATAATAAAAAAAAATTCTTAACTTTTTTTTTTTTTTTTTTTAGTTTTTTTTTTGTGTTGATCCGGAACACAGCTCCAAGCGAACTGTCCGTGAGGCTGCTGTTGTCTTCGGGAACTACGCCCATAGGAAAGTTTTAGTAGATCGTTCCGATATCTCCGATACCCCCGATAACGATACGATGCATGTGCAAAGGCGGCGACGGAGTATCGGGTATCGTTATTAAGGCCTGTTCACACATACAGCGGAGCGCTTAGTTAGCGCTACGTGAGCGCTCCATGGAGCGCTCATGTGGCGCTTCCTAGCGTGTGACTTAGTTCTAACATAGCGCGCGATTAGCGCTTCTGTAGCGCCTTGTTAGCGCTCCTGTAGCGCCTTGTTAGCGCTCCTGTAGCGCCTTGTTAGCGCTCCTGTAGCGCCTTGTTAGCGCTTCAGTAGCGCTCTGTTAGCGCTTCAGAAGCGCTTCTTGTACCGCGGTGCTGCGGATTAGCGCGAGCACTGCGGTTCCGGTTCCTGTACTTGGGTCTGCATCAGCAGCACCATGGCGGACATGTGGGATGCTGAAACAGAAATGCGACAAATCCTATAACATACGCATTCAGTGCATGTGTGTGTGGACGATTTAACGCCCAGAAGGGAGCCTTCTGGGTGCGCGAAATCTTTCGCCACCGAGATACCGACGGGTATCCGGCGAACCTTGTTCCTAGGCTGAGGGACCGAGACACAGAGCTCTTTCGAAGGCGGTTATTTTTAACTGCGTGTCTTTGAAACTAGGGTCACGCATATCGAATAGAAAGCGATGAGGTCGTACCCTATCAATTAGTCGCTCAGAGTCCATGAGTCCAGATTGTCTGCCCGACCCTTTGCTTGGAGAGCGGCTCTTTTACTTTCTCTTCTTTCAATGCCAAAGACAAAACAACAACAACGGAATCGACGTGCACGCGCTGTTCCGCGGCAGCAAGCACGGTACAAGGAGCGTGAGAGCGCTAACAGAGCGTTTCTGTAGCGCTTCTGTAGCGCTAACAGAGCGCTTCGGAAGCGCTAACACAACGCTTCTGAAGCGCTAACGCAGCGCTACATCACGCGCTAGGAAGCGCCACATGAGCGCTCCTTGGAGCGCTCACGTAGCGCTAACTTAGCGCTCCGCTGTTTGTGTGAACCGGCCTTTAGAGTCCTCAGAACGATCTACTGAAACTTTAGAGTTTCAGTAGATCATAGTAGCTACCACGATTCACTAAAACTCCAGAGTTTAGGTGGATCGTTTCGCCAATAACGATACCCGATATCCTGCCGCCTGCTCTACGCGTGCATCGTATCGCTATCGGGGGGTATCTGAAATATCGGAACGATCTACTGAAACTTTCTATCCTCCCGTTTCCTTCAAGTATCGGTATCAGAACGTTTTCCAAGTCTTGGGGTCACGCTCGTGTTATCTGCAGGTTAAACAATCCCACGTCCTGTTTGCTTCAACAGAAGCCCCGCTATGTGCCGATTTTTTGTGCGACACCTAAAATAGACGCCAAAAAATACCGCATACGTGGGGAAGATAAACCCCGAAAGAACATTCCCAAATTCGAAGAAAAACTATCCCAAAACACGGAACTGTTATACGTCATCGAAATTTGGTAAACGTTCTAACAAATGAGGCCCACGTTTTTCCGCAAATGAGCAAGTATACACGTGACAACTCCTCGCTTTTAAACGGGCCGTGCAACGATATTTGGTAGGAATGTTTCTCGCCTTACACAAGCTTACAGGCACTAGTGAGACCCAAGTACACTCGCACGCAAGGCAACTGACCAAGAAGCATCTTCGTCGCCGCGTAATTTCGAGGATAAAAGAGGACGTTTTCTCGCAATCTCTCCTTCGCAAAACTTGACGCATTGTTCACAATGCGATCCCCGGTGTATCGTCATCAAGTTTTACGATTCCCGCGGTGACGAAATCGAAATGCGGCTCATATAGTGGTCACGAGTACCGCGTGAGCACTCGATCTGGGTAGACGTTTAAGCTAGCTGGCTTTGTTTCTAGAGTACTCTCTCCTCACTGCTCGAAGGCGCTCGAACGCGGACTTCGATCACCGGAGTTCGGCGTTCGAACGCCGGTGAGCAGAGAGAGACAAAGGCAGAGCTCTCTAGCTTTGCTTCTACCCGCTAATCATTCCCCTCAGAGCCTCCTCTCCCCCGGTTTCTGCCCGCATAGCAGACCCCAGCGCGTGGCTAGGAGAAACATGGGCGGCATGCGTAGAATCGGCTCCAGATCACGTGTCCACTTCTTCTGGCTGCGAGTTGAGGGTGCGAACGCTGCTCGTTTTTCTCAATTTGTTTTTCTACGACTGCAATTGCACGGAGAGAAAAAAAAACGAGTGCGTCTTTTATGTGTTATAAATGTCAAGGAATAATTACACGCGCTATTTAATGAAAGTACGAAAATGGCTGCATCGCCCCTTTAATTTCTTTTTCCTACAGAGCAACTCTGCTAGGTTTGGCAAACGACGGAAGAAGTCCCTTTCGTAAGTATACCCCGAATGGGCCAGAAGCTGTTTTAGTGAAATAGCCTAATTTCCGTGTACCGCCTATAAGGGGGGAGGGGGTGGGGGGAAGAAGTACAGGATTGTTTGAGTTGCAAGCAGCTATTGCCGACCGGAGCTCATTGGCAATATTAAACTCGGTATTCACACGAGGGAGAAATCCCGGGGATTTCTCCCCGGCACGCGCGCATCACGAGACAAAAACGCGAGGCTTTTGCACATCGCAAAGCTTGACGTTTTCGTCGTGGGATGCGCGTGCCGGGGAGAAATCCCCGGGATTTCTCCCTCGTGTGAATACCCCTTAAAGCTACAGGTATGTCTGCACCTCGAGTGCCCATCGCAATAATGTAGAAAATATACGGTTAAGATTATGACCTGGTCCATCTAAAAAAGAATATAAAAAAAGCACTCGGGCATGGCAATGTGTTTAAGCACGCGCGACTTATTTTATGGCTAGAAAAAACTTCTAGGTCGATTATATAGGCAAATGAGATAAAGATGCGTAATTCATACGTAGCGGGACACCGTTAGCGCAAACGCACCATCGCCGTTTTTATTTTTCTTTTACAGTCGAGAAGCTGTCATCGAGACTAGTGCGGTAGAAAGTGATTATTTGGGGCACTACAGCTATAAGCGGTAAAATTTAACGCCCGTCAACACTCTTTCGAAGTAAAAGACGGAAAAGCACCAATATTGCTTTAAAAAAAATAACATGGAAAGAAAAAAAATTGAACAGTCTAACTGGGACACGAGTGTCAAAAAATTATTTTCGCGAGAAAAAAAAATTTAGAGCAATATTAAATTAGATGGATCGGCTTCGCCTTCACGACCTAGATGGTCATTCCGAAATGTCCCGTGACGTCAAGGACTTGGCCCGCAAAATTTCAAATAAATCTCTCGCCGTCAATATCGCTGCAAAATTATTTCTTTCGCGTAAAACTTATTTTTTGACACGCATGTCCCAACCAGACCTTGTAAAAAAAAATGTCAGGGGCCCTTTAATTTGCCGTTACAATACGCAATTTTTTTTTTACTTTATTTTTTCCGTCAACAGCGTTCGTGCCAAAGTAGTGATCTACTTCCAGAGCCTCACAGCTCAGAATATTCGTCAAGTGGCTCAGTACAGTGTGAGTATTATTCATTGTCCAAACGTTTTGTCAGACGAATTCGCGGGAAAAATCGAAAGCCCCCCCCCCCCCCCCCCCCTCCCCCAGGATGCAGCTGACCCTATGAATATTGAGCCTTCCAGAAGACTACTCCAGAGCAGTGGTTCTCATGCATGGATATGTCGGAGACACCTAGGGACCCACAAAGGCGATGGCGGACCCCACGCCAGTGGGAGAAGGGGAAGGGGGGGGGGGGGGGGGGGGGGGTATAAGATAGGACAAATTGCAGTGTGAAAAGCGCATCTTTTACATAGACAGAAGTGAGAAGCATCAAGTAAAAGGATGAATGGATGGATTGATGGTAACGGCTCTCTATGATCGGAGACAGGTCAAGAATGAAGCGGAAGCTCCTCCCACCTCTCCCCCCTTCGGCAGAGAGAACGTTGGGAAGGAAGTAGCCTCGTCTTCGGTGTTCGCTCCGCTAAAGTGGAAAGAGGTGGGAAAACCTTCCGCTTCGTTCTTGACATGTCACTAACTATAATCAAAATCCACAACAAAAAAAAATTAAGAAAAATAGGGAGGGGGGGGAGGAAAAGAGACTGAGGCGAGGGCTTCCCTGTTCGAGAGCCACTGCTCTAGAGGGTCGCCTAATTCAGAGTGAGAACTGATTTGGCACTGGGTGTTGGCATAGCTAGGTTACTCCGCATCAAAGGGCCAGGAGAATACCAAATTCGGGAGCATCATCCTTATAACGAACCTTCTGAAAACGGGATTTCGAGATTTCTGGCGGTAGTTAAAACATCTCAATAATCGCTTTCTGTTTGCTGTCATCTTCGTGTGGTGGTCTGTGGAGAGCGTCCAGAGCATGTGCAATAGCTCTATTCAGCTGAATATTAAACACCACGCGCGCGTCCGTAGCCCAGCGAATAGGCACTTCTCAACTATAGGGGATAGCGCTGGAAAGTTACCCTTGCAAACTAAGCAACGGGGTCCGCGGCCGCTCCCTACGCAGACGTCCAACCTGGTGAGCAATATGGGTGGCATCCTGGGGATGTACGTGAGCTTCTCCTTCCTGGTCATCTTCGAGATCTTCGAGATCATCGCCAGGTCTGTGATCTCGGCACTGCACGCGTGGCGGGCAAAACGCCAGACAAGGGCGGCATTTCTGGGCCAGCAGACGAACGGCCAACGCGGCCCTCAGCAGCAGATGCCTCCTTTCTGGCGCAACCAGGCCACGGTGCCCATGGTGCAGACGAATCCCAAGACGGTGTCCTTCTTCTGAGCGGGAACGCGCCGGTGGATGATGTGGCGACTCACGTTGGATTAAACTCGACGCGAGTTTGACGGATGGCGTGTCCTAGCTTCTTCGGTGTCCTTGGTACCTTTAAAGGGATGGTGAGCCGAAATTTGGATTTCAAAAAAACAATGCTGGAGATGTAAGCGGGACGTTACAATCCCTGCAATACTACTCGTAAGGCGATATCTCAAATGGACAGCCGTATTTTTGGAAAAAAAAGTCGAGATTGAACCAGGACGACGAGGCGCGTGACGTCAAGATACCTAGTAATCCTCCTCTCTTCGCTTCGCTCCCTCGAGGTCACGAGGCGGAGAAGACGCGAGGTCGTTCCCTCTCCTTCTCGGAGAAACATGACGTCAACATCCCTACCAAATGCGCCTTTTTTCTTTTTTCTTTAAATACGGTCATCTGTTCGAGATATCGCTGTATGAGTGATGTTATGATGTTTGTAGCATCCCGCTGCACGCTTTTGCCGCGTGTTTTGGGGTCTGTTGTCTCTAGACTCTTCTTTGGAGTCTGGCTTTGCAACTTGAAGAATAATAATTGGGTTGTGTGTGTGTTTATACAGCCTAGAACTTGGTCTGCCTCACAGGGGCGACGAGTCTCCCAGCTGTAGATGAGAAATTTAGCCAGTGCGGTACAGCCGCTAGCCTGGGGTCTTTAACGTGCATCACGCAGTAGTGGTACACGACCGCACGCCGGTACGATGCTCATCCAGATCGAAACGGGCAGGGGTGGGCAACTTGAAGAAGTTGTGCGAGTTATAGTCTCTGTCTTTGCACTTTTCTTTTGAGTCCGTTTTTGGAACCTTTTAGGAGTTCCAAGGGTCTCTGGACACTGGAAGGACTGTATCTTGAAGGAGGGGAGTACACCTGTGTCCCGCAAATTGACTGACTTGTCTGACACTCATTACAGGGACATTATTTTTAGACCTCTAGATGCAGAATAACGTTCGGAATCACACTTCAATCTGCAATAAACACGAACCGCGCATTAGTTCTATTTTTATTTTTTCGTTATCTTTTTTTCTATTTTCGTCTTAGTTTGTGTGACGAATCGAGAAAATACAGTGTGAGCCAAATTGATCGAACTCAATTTAAATAAATAAATAGCAAAAATTAGTTTCGCAAGCCACGACGCCGTCATTTATCAAGTAGGAGCAGCTAGGTAGAGCATCCGATTTCTGCAAGGCTAAATAAATTGCTTCACTCAAAAGCTATTTTCTACGGTAGTGCATAGAGTTTGACTTCCACACGTCAAAGCTAGTGGAGAAACGCTGTCCCTGGTCCACACACAACAAGAGCCCAGGGACCCAGAGCAACATTCTTTTACACCGCTACGAAAAAAAGAAACGAAAAAAAAAAAAAAAACTACCCTCACGTCAGTCGCAGGACAAAAAAAAAAAGGGTCCATATCACAAGAGCGAATGACATTTTAGCGAACGGCGACATTTGAGCGAATGGTCGTTTTAGCGAATAACGGGGGCGCGCGTTAACCCATCCGTCGCGCTGCGCTTTACGCCGCTTGGCGGCGACAGTCTGCGGCAACCCATTACAAAAATATGAACTCACTTGGCCCACCCGAAAACGCCGCTTCGCGGCGTCCGACTATTCGCTAAAGTGTCGTTCGATGAAACGTGGGCGTTCGCTAAAACGTCATTCGATGAAGTGAGTGCCTCCCTCGTTGAACCACGCTTCATGGAAGCACGTTTCATAGATAACTTTTCATGGAAGCATATGTTTCATGAACATACGTTTCGTCGACACTGCGATGTTTCGTTAACGTTTCGTACACATTGCCTTTTTTTTATATTATTGGTTGTATTTCATTCGCTGGAAGCATACTGACTGCTCCCAGGCGGCTCTGATAGGGAAAAAAAAAAACAATACGCGAGCCCTAATCAGAGGCTTTTAAACGATCCGCGCTAGGCGCGGACACCGGGAACTCCCAAGCTAGGCTACCATTCCCACGATGGCGACCGAGGCGATGCGTGTGGAAAGACGCTTTCGACGACGAAACGCCGCAAAGTGTGTCGATGAAACGAGCGTGGGAACCTTTCGATGAAGCGTCGCAGTGTCGACGGAGCGATATGTCGATGAACCGTCATTCGGCGAACTGACTGCCACCACCACCGACAGACGTGTGCAATTTCGTCAAAACGTACAGCATCTAAATCAAAAGCGCCACTTGTGAAGGCATCGGAGCCTGTCCCATATACAGGGTATGGTGTACTAGAAGACGGTGTTGCACAAAAAAAAAAAAAAAAAACTAAGTTGTTGTTGTTTTTTTCGCAAAAATAAACTAGGCATTGCCGAACGCCGATTCTCCGCCCAAAGGTGACGCTAGAGGTCACAACCAGATGCCAAAGCTTCAGCCCGATCCAATATCTTAATCAAGAGTGATCAGTGATCTTCCGGAAATTTCAAAACTAAAATGGCGGCCGACGGAGTTTTCGAATACATGGGGCTCTATGGGCACCAGAAACCGAAAGTGGGCAAAAATGGCCTCATTTTCCCACTGAAATTTTCGGAAAATCACATAACTTTTGAATAAGCTATCGGATCGAGCTGGAACTTTGGCATCTGGTTGATCTCTTGCGCTACCTTTGGGCGGAGAATGAGCGTTCGGCGATGCCTAGTTTATTTTTGCGGTAAAAAAAACCCTGTAACTTTTTTTTGTAGCACCCTGTACTTAAATAATACATGCCATTCTATTTATGAAATTTTAACCGCTAGGTTTAAACTTTCAATCAACATACGCACAAAAACAAATGTGTACGCCTGCACGTGCGCTCACAACCCCAACGTAATGCTGAGCTGCTGCGAAGCGACGCAAGACCGCGCAAGTTTTCCATTTACAAAACAGCAGTCTCGGTCAAGTACAAATCTCACAGTACAGAATTTTCTTTGATGCTAATGATGCCACCTTCACAGGGGTGAATGCAGTGGTGAGGAGACGACGGTTGTCGCAATTAGGCACTCCCGGAGTTTGTTTGCGTGGTTCGTCGATGACACGGCACACAGTGTATACCAAGCACATGCTAGGACTGGTGAAATTAGAGCGGCCTGCGCAAATCTCGCGATGTCTACCCCGAAGCTGTTGCTCTTCCACACTGCATTGGTGACTGATAAGAAGCGCACTTAACGGTGCAAATTAACCCGTTCAGACAGACATCGAACATTGTCAAGCAATGTAATACTTACCAGTACCCTGAGTGTCACGCAAGCACGTCAAAAAAAAAAAAAAAAAAATCAAACATTATTTGAAAAAAAAAAATTGAAAGTTAATAAATTCACACGTACCTACCGTGACAACCCGGCAGTGTAGCAGGGCCTCTAGTTATTCGTTTCGGTGTTGAGCAAAATAAATGTACCTATTAGCGCAAAGCTGGTACAAATTCGTCACATTAGCATGGCATGTACATTGGCGCAAATGGCACAGCGATCACATCACCGAAAATTGCTTAGCAGGGATTAAGCTCTAAAAGAAAGTGCCAAAATAGCTTCATAATTTGTTTAAACTAATAACGCACAAACTTGCTCAATGCTCTGCTGAACCGAGTCTACTAACAGGATTTATTCGTTAATTAGTCTGAATAGGCAAAAAAAGGAAGATGTTCACAAATCTCCGTAATGCGAAATTAGAGCGCAGTTCTTGAGGAGGAGGAGGGAAGGTACGGAGGGGAGGGTATGCCCCTCCTACTCCTCCGTACCCTCTACTCCCCCAATTCAGTTTCCCCGCTAAATATAGCGAGGAGAACAACGTCACGTGACTTAGGGTCACGTCACCTATGAACAAATTCAGTTTCTCCGCTGGATTTTGCGGGGCTAAATCCAGCGAAGAATCGAAATTTCCCCGCTAAATTTAGCAGGGAATCAAATTGGTGTTGAGGTCACATGACGTTAATTACCCCGCTAAACTTAGCACGGTTATGCAGACGCCGACGTCGCGAAACACGGAAACGAGCGCCTAAGAGCTGCGCTCTAAAAACTTTTATGAAAAAAGCACCAACGTGTAAATGATTCAAAGAAAGAAACAATGACAATCTACTGTGTTTGTTCTCCACACTCTTTTCGTGACGAAAAGCGACACTGGGTATGTGACAAGTGAAATCGAGACGACCGTACAAGGTAAAACAAATTTAATGTAAAACTTGTCCTCCGTAGAAAAAAACGCTGCTCGCAAATCATTTACATTATAAGCTAGCTTTGATACAAGCTGTTCCGTCACGACATCGGTTTCATCGTGGCATCCCCTCGTTGAGCTCAGAGTATCTCGAACTCGTCGTCAGAGGTGTCGTATTTCCTCTCCTGGTCCAAGAGCGTGAATTCTGGTCATAAGAAATGACACATCAGTTTCAATCCCTATTCAATAACCGCAGCTGTATAGTATTAAAACCAGTAGTCACTGCTTTTTGCAAGCCTTTGATCTTGGGAATAAAAGTAAAGTAGATCGAAAGATCAGGAAGATTCGTGCAAACTAATAAGAGAAAACTGGCTATTCGCGACTCCAGCAAACTATAGGGGGGGGGGGCAGGGCGCTGGTCAGGCAAAATGGCGGACGAAAGGAGGTTGTTCTCGTTGTTCAGCAGGCGGGCCACCATAAATTTCTTGCACTGCAGCGTAAAATCGGTGTTACCTATGAAAGAAAAGCGATCTTTCGACGGTAGAGACCTTTTTTTAGTTGGAGTGTAGGAATGACACGGCGGAAGCATAAAAATAATTACTGGAAACAATGTTTCTATGCTGCCTACGAGAATCAAGCAGCAATAGCAGACGACAGAGTCGAAACGGTCTCCTCTCTTGAGCTTCTCCGCGTTGCCACTATGCGGCGTCGATTTTGCTGGAGTCGTCAATATTACCTAAGCAAATACCTACATAGTTTGGTTATTTCAGCAAATTAAATGGTGCCTGCCAAACAATTCTCTCTTAATGTTCCATTTGGTGAGGATATTGAATGATAGAAAAAACAAAGCCCACTTATTGGTTGCACTGCCTGTGACCATTAGCACTAGACGAGCCAGTCAGAATAAGCTACAACGAGATACTGTCTAAAAATGTAAGGGAACACTCATTGCTTCTACTGAAGCCCATAGCACAACACTTCTTCTCAATTAAACATACTACTTTATCCCTTCTAACATGTTCACAGCATCATTGATCAGCGGAGGGTCATGTTGCATATGTCAACCGTGCTGCCTAAAACATTCAATCCTTTTGTGCACAGCGAGAGCGATATCTTTGAAAGAAATTAACGCATGGAAAAACATTTTTTGCATCCAATTCCACTAGCCATAACCAGCCTCTGTGCTGGGTAGAGTTCCCTCGACCCACCAGCGACCCATGATGCACAAGAGAAGAAATAACATTCAGTGAGGCACCAGTCATGGGTACCCTGTGCGCCTCACCTAATTGTTCTACTAAAGCGCCTAGACGGCGCTGCCCCCGTAAATGGAGAAACACAATTAGCAATATGCTTGCGCAACTAGGAGCCATACTTTCGATTCCGAGCGAAAGTGGCACATTCCCTTTTTGAAACACATTGCACCATGCGGAAAAAAAAAGCTTGCCCCCACGCCTAAGAAAGCTGATGGACCTGCTTGGAAGATCCAAAGATGGTGCATGGGTTGCTATGCGTCGATCAGTACAAGCACCAATCCTAACAAGGCCAGAGTGACGGCGAAGAAAGTTGTCACATTCTGTGGAGACTATATGGAGAACCCATTTATGCCTGTGACATATTTCAGCAATTGGCACAAATGGAAGCCCTTGAACATTAATAAATGTCTCGAAGCCATCCTAAAGATGATGACATGAAAAGTTTTGTTTGAGAAAACCTCGAAATTACAGCAATTCTAAGGAGGAACACCTGGTCTTGGAGCTTTTCTTCCTTATTTTTTTTTTTTTCTTTTTTTTACCAAATTTAATGAAACAGCACAGGCTTGTTCAGAATTTTGTGCTGATCTGAAATATCTTTTTAATTTTATTAGTAGGTTAGTTTTTAGGATAATTATAATTAACTTGCCTTTCTTTTCTAAGCACAATAGTGAAAAACATTTTTTTAAATTAATGGTTTAACATGGTGGTCATATACTACAAATTATGAAAAGATACAATGTTGGAAGCACTTTTTAGAAAATCATTATTATTTACTTTACTACACATTGAAGTTCAAGTGCTCGAAGTGTAACTACCAAACAATAAAACAATAATTCAGTTGAAAATTTTCGTAGACCTATATTGATTTATCTGCTTCCAAGATTGTATGCTTTGCACATTTAGCTACATGTTGCTAAAAACATTACCATGGGTGGAACTCATGAAATGTACTTGGGAGCAGCCACGGGAGCAGCTGAAACAGCTGTTTTGGAGCAGGTTGGGAGCAGCTAAAACTACATTCTGGAGCAGGCTAGGAGAAACTCAGATCTGTTTTCATTGCACTTCAGCTTGTGCCTTAGACAAGCACGGGAGCAATTTTAATCATGCACAGATCAACATGAGTGGTTCGGAACCTAGGTATAGATGGGATAACAGTGTAACAGATGCGAAAACTTGGCCTTAGTGAGAACCAAAAAGCAAGTAAGATATGTTTCTGAAGATAGTGTCCTTGATATTTTCTGTGTGGCTTTCAGCTGCTCAAAATGCGAACCAACACTGTTTATAGCACAACCCCAACATGCTCGACATAGTAATTATATGCGCAAACCACATGACATGCGTAAGCAACAAACGTGCAGTTGCGCAGAGGAACAGGGCAACAAATTTTGAGCTTATCCTATTGTACAACTCAGTATCGAAGCAGCAGACTACGATTAGTGGAGTTATCGTATTCGAAGCGATGAGCCAGAGCAAGATTAAAGTACGCCGAGCAGATCTACCGCTCGGGTGAGAGCTGCTGGCCGGCAAGGTTTCGGATCGGACAGCGTTTCAGTTCAATCAAATCATGATTTATCCTGCAGGAATGCGGTTCCAACTTGTAACGATGAAGCACTAAAAGGAATCTCTCGCTAATGTGTTTTTGACTGGTTGACGTCCGGAACCCGAGCCGCAGAGCCTCAGGCAATCTGACGCTTAACGACTCGACCTCACCTCAGCCGACTTGCTGAACCGCTTATGGTTGAAGAATAAGAATCCAGTCGCAGGTGATACAGCGCTTGGAATCAGACTCCCGAGTTGTTTGTGCGCTTGCGACTCGGGATACACAGGGAAAATAAACGGAACAAAAATTGCAAGGCCGACCAAGCTAAACGCGCTCATTGTTGCCAATCAAGTCGATAAAAACTGAAACCAAGACAAAATATAATTTATTTGGCACACGTTGTGCGATTTGGAGCACAATGGCGCGAGGTATTGGCTGTGGCACAGTTTCCGCAAAATGGCGCAGGATGGCGCAGAAAAATGCGTATGGCGCAAATGGCGCAGCCGTTCCACCCCTTATTACATTTCTGTCTGCCCTAGATGCTGAAATATCCCTCCTAAATATTTGCAGAGTCCAAAATTTGTGTTTTAAGGAAGTGCCGTTTTAACATCGACGAAACCTTGACCCACCTGTCTAGCAAATTATTATTTTGAAATTTCCTGACTTTTTCAGGTTTTCCCTGACAATTTCTGGAAAAAAGGCCCAGACCACAATTACAACACAAAGCATTGAGCCTTGAGCACTGTGAGGATCATTTTGCACGGGCTTAATCCAACTTGCATATTACGAAATATTCGGATTTGTCCAGTCCGGATTAAATGAGCACTTTCTTGCCGCCGACATCTTCAGTGAAGAAGCCACTTCCAGAAACACAATAAAAACACAACGCTCAACCACACACGTCAATAACTGAATGGCAGCACGGCCGCCAGATACACACTTTCGGATACTTTCGGCTTAAAGCTTGAATTGGATTGGGGTCTGCGGCTTTTCCATTTCTTACTAAATCTAGTAGCTCTAATTGGATCTAGCCTACTGTCATGCCCTCAATCCAATCCAATCCAATCCAAGGCTTGGACTGGATTTGTCGGCTGTTCCCTTAGCATAGGGTGGCACTCTACATTGGGTGAGCAAAGCTCGCGCTCCGCTAAGCAGAATTTATTGCCTATTTTTCTGCCTTCAAATCCTCCAGTCTTTGCTCAGGGCACTCGATGGCGTTTAATGCTCATTTTCCCTGACTGGGCTCGCTTTTTGACAATATCAATCACAATTCCCTGATTCTTCCCGGTAGCTAAAATTTCCCTGACAATTCCCGAATTTCCCGGTCATAGACACCCATGAACTTTAGCGCTTTTAGCCCGCATCAATATTATAAAGTGATATTATGGCTCAAATATTAATCTTCAAAATAAGATACCCATCAGATCAAAACGAAAATAGCAGTAAATTTCAAAAATGCCATTTTCCAAAAAATTGTTTTTAGGGATTTTCCGGTTCCAAAGTCTCCCCTCAACTTATTTCCACCGAAGCGCACTGAGGACGCTTTCAACAAAATGTGGGGCGATCGCTGGCCCAGTGGGCTTGCGCACAGCAGCTCGGAGCATGTGAAGCAAAAGCTCGAGCTGCAGAACCCAGGGATCCTGGGTTCAATCCCCACCCCTGCCGTTTCGATCTGTATTAGCATCGAACCGGCGTGCAGTCGTGTATCACCAAGCCGTGGTGCACGTTAAAAAGACCCCAGGCTAGTGGTTGTACTGCACTGGCTAAATTGCTCATCTACAGCTGGGGGACAAGTCCCACCTTGAGGCAGACTAAATTCTAGGCTGTATAAACATACGCACAACCCAATTTTATTTTTTTTCAACAAAATGTGTTATACAAAACATGTCGCTGTTGAGCATTTGTTAGCTGTATTCAGGCATTCACTGAACCAAAATCTTCATCTTCTCGTCGGAAAAAGAATATAAATAAAAGCTTCAATATTTCAAGGCAAGAGACCAAAGCCTTCATCGATATTTGTCGGTTTAGAACCCAGTGCGAAGTGGGTGACCGGTGGATCACGCGATGAGGTCCTAGGATTGCTTGGAAAGTTCCAAAGAATTGGCGCACTGCTCCAACTGCAAGACCACTTGTGCTATTTCATGACGGCGTAGGGAAGCAGTTTTAGTGGGTGAATCACAAGTGGGTCACAGTGCATTTCTGGCATCTGCCAGCGTCATAGGATCGATGCTGTGTCGTAAGAACACTAGAATACCAAAGTGCACGTCCTCTTGCTAGGGACCAGCACACTGTACTTCTGTTTGTGAAGCAGAAAGCCGGAACTTGAAAACTGTTATACTGGGTGAAAGTCTGCGACTTTCACTCAAATGCAAAGCACCCCCCATGTTACTCACCTACGCTTTGTGGCTCCGCTTCTGTGCCGAGTTCAGAGTCTGGGAGGGGCCAGCCGACGGGACGGTCTTGCGTTATCTCGAACAGCGGCTGCTGCATTCGGCTAATCAGGTGCTGGGAGACAAGAGGTAGAGCTCCAGTTCAGCCCCGAACCTCTCTCACGAAAGGTGTAAGGACAGAAGCAGTCCTTACCTTTTGTACCAAGTTGCACCATACGTCGAAGTCTGATTCAGTTGCCATGTAGAAACACTGTAATGACGAGCGAGGAAAACACTCGTGAAACCTTGAAAAGAGAAAACCATGTGGCCCATAGTTAGGGTGACTAGACATTTCGTTCTGGCCGGGGCAGTCCTGTATTACAGGTCTATTTCTGCCGTCTTGTCGTTTTGTCTTATTGAAGGCTAGTGGCCTGTTTTTGTGGGAGCATGTTTACCAACAGCTGCAAAATCAGTATTAGGCAAGTGGGAGAAAACCAAAAAATGTGAACACATGTTCAAGACGTATGTTTATAAAAAATACTATGAAAGTGTTACCTTCCATGGAATACAATTTCAAGCTCTTTCTGCGATAACACCTGAAAAAAACATTTTGTTCACGTAGGCACCTGTTTGGGAGACTTCTGTATCAGCAAATCTGGTACGCTTCAGTTGCCAGTCTATCTTCCCCATTATTTAAAAATGGGAAAGAAAGGCACTTGTGTTCTCAACGAAAAACTTGGAAGAGATGTGTATTTTTACATTAAATGGTGGCAGAGCTTTCCGTCTGCCTGCACCCCTCCGATGTCCCTTTATCAACTCTCGAGGATCATAGTCACCCTACCCATAGCGCCGTTCCACTAAATTTAGCCGGACATTAGCCCGTCAAGTTTAGCTGATGACGGCATGGCACGGTAGGGCCATGGTGAAGTGACAGCTAAACAAATCCGGAAGTCACTTCCACCAAAATGGATTCTGTATGGAAAAAAAAAACAACCTATATATATTGCCTTGTTTCGACATTTGTCAAATACAATGAAGGTGTAATAGCACCAATAAGCAGTTCCAACCTTACTATGCAGCGAGAAGGGAGGGAGAGGGAGAGGACGTGTTACAGCACCACTTACCCCCCTTTCCCTTCCACGCGATGCAACACCATTGGTCACGTACACTATGACGTCAAACCAACATCTGCACTCTGTTGCCGACACTCTCTCCCATGGCCTCGCTACAGTGCTACCAACACGAGCGTCGAGCGGGCGAGGTTAATGCAAGGTTCCGGCATAAGGCTGTCGCTTTAAAAAAGCTGGTAAAGAGTAAACGGAAGACACTGACCAGGGCAACTGAGGGGTCCAGCTCGCTGATGTTCATCCTGCTGGCATGGGCACAGTGGTAACTCTGGTCATCCGGAGAGTCGACGTCTAGGTCGCATGCCAGCTGCGTCGTGTGAGGGTCCAGGAAGATCAGCTCGTCCTCTGAAAAATAACCCCGAGACGACGTCAGTTTCGACTTCCCCGTCTCTCATGGGGGGTACCCTTCGTTTCGCGGCAACGCACACTCACCGACGACGCCAATGAAGTAGAGTGCGTGGTTCGGTTTTCCGCCTATCATGCCCAAGGACTGTTTCAGCGCAAACGTCCTCTGCGAAATCAGAAAAGAGGTTGTACGTTCTAGAGCAAGTACGAAAGGGCTGGCGGGACCCAGAAGCGCACAGAGTTGTTGCTTTTCAAGCAACGGAGATGTTGTTGTTGTTTTAACGGTAGAGTCACGACAACGAGTTCTCTAGGTGATAGTCAAGAAACTCGGTGAAACACAAAGAGGACATGCAATACTGCCACGCATGCAGCTAGCCAAGTGGGCAGCGCGGTCGTGGCCCAACAGTTATTGTGCCTGCCTCCCATGCAAAGTGCCACGGTTCGATTCCTGGGAGCGACACGTCTCTTGTTTATCCTTGCAATTTAGTGCTCTAGTAAATTCGAGAATCCTGTTGCTTGTTCGAGATGCAAATGTTCTCGTCGCCGAACCTTTTAGGCCGATTGTTCCAGAAGCCAACGTATGTACATAAGGGGCTCCGCATGGCGACTCTCTGTCAGTTTCGCCCCAGCGTTCAATCCAGCTATCACGCTGACGGTGACGTTCGCGACGCTAATCTTCCTCTTTTTGTTTTGAGCACAAGTTCGCCCCATTCAACGTTTAGTTTCTTCAGTTATTATCACCTCATCAATCGTCATTCGTGACAATACCTCTGTGTACACCTAGTCTCCGTTTCGTGTTACGTTGGACTGCAGCGGAGGCTACAAGCCGTCGAATCCAATCCTACGACGTGTGAGTGTCATGTGACCTTCAAAAGCGCACCCACACGGGTTTGCAGTCACATGATACATTCACAAAACTGGACTGGTTAGTAGCATGTGTTGTGGTCCAACGTAAGGTGAAACAGAGTATAGTCTCCGGGATTTTTCAGTATAATCCCATGCTTAATCAGCTTACCTGCACAGTGACTCTTATTTCGAATTCTCCGGTTCTAATTTTCTTTAATACTACTGTTTAATCCCAGTGACGATAAGGATGAGGCCAACATTACTGACCTTGCCCTGTTTGGCATAAAGACTTCCAGCTCAGCAGTGCTAGGACAGTACTGTGCCATTAGGAGGCTAGGAATATTCTCAATCACCAGTGCGAGTGGGCAGCTTGTAAGGCATTATGCAAGCTTACCATAACCTTATTGCAAGAAAAAGTTATTGAGCTGCTAGAGTTAGAAAAACTCAGTTTCTAAAAATACTCCTAGAGCAAACACATTTTTAAAACTGACTTTGCTATGCGGAGGGCAAGTTCGTCTGCTTCTGGCGCAGGGGGTAGCGGTGACGTCAGAACGCCGAGCCCTGATTGGCTGATCGCGACCCCCTATCTGAGCGTCGTCTGCTCCTTCGCAACGTCGTCTGCGTCTCTCTTGAATTTCCTGCGACTTTCGGAAGTGCAGAGGCCACGGAACGATCTTACGCCAAAAATGTCCGTAAGACAAAACTTAAGAACAAATTCGTATTCACGAAACGAAATTTTCGTAAGTTTTGCGCAGGTTACGACGAAATCCTACGACAGCTCCGAAGCTGTCTTACGCACTTCTTACGATCAAATCAGCATGGCCGACAGCGTCGCGGTCGCGACGGCCCACGGACGTTTATTTTTCTATACGTGCGCTTCTCACGTGTACCGACTTCAAGCAGCAAGAAAAAAGTAAAAAGCACTTGAAACAGACCACGACGAACAAGAACGCTGGATCCAGAAACACCCAGGAAAAGCTCCAACGGCCACGATTCCACCGAACGCGACCAAGGGAGTACGGCAGTTAGGCCTAGCAGGCACTCCGCGACTCGGCGACCCACGACCGGCCCACGACCGGCAAACGTGCTGAATGGAATATGCCCGGACGACCCTTGTGAACCCTTCCCGTATTATACCTTGATCGCTGACCTCAATTTTATATTAAGAGGTCAATTTCTTCCTCTTGTTATCTCTTTGTTTCCCGAGGCAACGGTGACTCTCGCCGGTGAAAAAGCGGTGAATCTCCGACAGACGCAGGAAAGGTAAAGCAGCCATGGCTACGTAAAGCAGACGACGTTAACTGCGCCAACCCGCTGACGCCGTTAAAGAATGAGGTGTCTCGCCGCACACGAAAGGAGGGAAAAAGTATTTGGGAGGGAACTTGCGGACACTAACACGCTCACCTCTCGGTTCTTAGCAAACAAACCTCGGCGCCTCGGGACCTCGCCAGTGAGTCCTTTGACTTCCCTCCGTGATGCGCGTCTGCTAGTTGTTAGACAAAAACAACGTACCGCTCGAGTTATTTCGTCTGCCCTCTCTGAAAGGCGAAGTCGAGCTCGCTCGACTTCCGAAAGTCGCAGGAAAGGTAAGACAGACGCAGACGACGTTGCGAGCAGACGACGTTGCAAAGGAGCAGACGACGCTCAGATAGGGGGTCGCGATCAGCCAATCAGGGCTCGGCATTCTGACGTCACCGCTACTTCCTTTCTCATGCGCAGAAGACGAAAATGAGCCCACTTGCGAGGCGTATAGAGAAGTTCTAAATCTGAACCATAGTGAGGCAAAAATATAGTAAATAAAAGTTTCAGTCAACTTATAAATGCCAGTAGTGTATTTCTGGAGGAACACAAATGAATAAAAATTTTTATATTTTTTTTGCTTCACTAATTCACTGGTATTTTTATCACGCAACATTTGCATAATAGAGTTATTATATTGTACACTAGAGGTTCGACTGGCGCTATACTCCGTCTCACCCTTTGATGGACTAGGGCCCGAAAGCTGGCGGGCAGAGCACTACCTCAGAAAAGCTTGCATCCGCATTGCGAAAGAGAGCGCGAGAGAAATTCTGATCTTACGCATGTGGTTCTTTGATGTGAGAGCGGGCTATTTTATATTGGTAAAGTAAAGGTACATGGTATTTAGTATGGCATGAATGAACATTCATGCCATATTTCATAAACATGTCAACTATTTGGAGAAGTTGGAGGGTGTGCAGGCAACACTGACAAAGTCTTTTCGCCTTAGCCCATAACAATCTAATCCATTCCAATATTTATGTACGTAAAACGTACCCGGACCCGTATTTTCCTACTGCACGTGATCCATACATGCGTTTCCGTTTCGAACACTTGATTTGACTCATCTTCATTTCTTAATGGCCACTAGTTCTGATCTTGGGTTCTCTCTGCCACATTGCTTCCAGACGGTATTTAATCCCTTCAGTAGTCTTCAGTAGTGAAAAGCAGACGGAGCCACCGCAAGGGTGCAATAAGCAGACAAAAAACTCCTCCGCATGACGCGTCTTGGCGCACTGATACGTATGATGGAGCAAATGTCCCACGTGGTTTCTAAAAGGCTCGTGATCGGACATGGTGGACTGTAGCATGGGTGTTTAGTCCATAGTCAAATGAGATGGAGTATACTGTGTATGTGACTTTAGGGATGCAAATTGAAACAGCCAGCAACCAGTCTACTTCTGTGGCGGTCCTCTGCATTTCTATGGGAAATTGCACATGTATTTTGACTTTTTGCTGGACGAGAACAGAAATCAGCTTTGTCCCTTGAGTCGTAGCAGATGCTAGGTCCTTTTATTGAAATTTTAAAAGTGTAACTGCTTTAGAGACAGTATTTTTCTTCCCCAAAGAATGATGCTAAACTTCTCTATATTTAAGGCCCAAACCCCTGTTCCATCGAAGGTGTGTAAAAACAAGTGACAATTTCAAGCAAAACAACAATCGAAAGGAATGAAGAGGGTGTTCAAGGTTTGCCAGCATTCTGGTGGCACTTACCCTATATATTGCTAATATGACTGTCCTGTCACTATATAAAAATGACCCCGTTGTTCCACCTTTGTGAGGCGTTAAAAACATTCAAAACAAAGTATAAGAGTACAGTAATCCCTCATCATAACGAAGTCAATAATACAACAAAAAAATTTGATATAAGCGGTAATTCGATAAAAGCGGTAGAGCTGAAAAAAGTGCCAGCAGCCTTGAAGGTGGACGGGAACAATGCAGAACGCTCCGATCATGTATTTAATTAAACAAACCCTGGTTATGTACATCCCGCAGCAGCTTTACCGAGTAAAAAAACAATTAAGTAGAGTTTGCCAATATTTTATCCGGGTATCAGTTTTCCCTGAACTGCTCCAGGCATCGCAAGAACACTGTCACCGACACTGCACTCCACTTTGTTTCAAAGCAGCCATAGGGTGCTTCACGTCTCCACAGTCGTCGGCATTTGTCAAGGTGCCTCTCCGACGTCTCTCCGTGTTTACACAGGCCGCACACAAGGAGCTCAATGCTACAGGTACAGCCGGATAAACTTATATCAAGTCAAGGTGTTCTTGACATCGCCATTGTTTTGTTTTTGTCGGCGGTGGAATGCTTCGGGTGAATTATAAGTCGACCCCTCCCCCACTTCAGATTTCCAAAAACTGAAAAATGGGTAGACCTACATTCATGTAAATACGGTAATTTGCTGCCACTTCGAAACCATTCGAAAGCATGGGGTGATATAAGAAACTAGACACGCCAGTTGAGGATGTGTTCCAGGCCTCGTACTTGGATAGCAACATCACCTTGAGGCCGAAAGCGTAGATCCGGTTGATCTCGCTGAGGCCCAGCCGGAGCGGGATGAAGAGGAGCAGGGGCTTCCAGCTTCCTTCCGAGTTGGCCGGCCGAGAAGGCTCGGAGTTGGTGCGGTTGCGGACGAGGCCGTCTGCCGCCGCCCCTTGCGGAGGTCCCGAATTGTCCGTCTTGCAGGCCCTTTCTGAAATGCACGAGTTCTCGAGCTACTAGGTTCCTAGGAATCCGGGGTTCCTCAAAGAACCCCTTATGGGTTCCCCGAGGTCCCAAATAGAGAGCCTGTGTTAGAGAGAGTTTCCAAGTGCCCGATAGGGGTCATGTGGTTTGTGGGCCGCGTTGTGGGCCGAGTAGGGAGGAGGGGCCAAAAGCGTCGATTGTACTGCCAACGCTTCCGCCTTTCCGCCCACTTTCCCCTCGCCGCGCGACGAAGCGGCACATACACGCTCGCAACCAATCTGCGCAGGAGGCGCCCGCCATTAAACTGGAAACGCTCCCCCCATGGTTTCAATCTAGACTCTCTAGTCCCAGATTTCCTTAACCCCCAAAGGAAGTGCTTTTTCAGTCTGAGCAACCCATTCATGCAAAAATCTGTTCAAAATACTCCCGCTGCGTGCGTTATTGCTCGCAAGGCCTGTAGGCTTCTCAACCGCTTTACTGCACCACTACCAAGGTCGGGACAGGTTCGTCGTATATCAATTAGGAGCGACAGGCGTTCGAGATAAAAAAATTGAGAGCCCTTGCTGTAATCATTATTTCCATAATTCATACCCTCATCCATTCATCCTTAAAGGTCCTTCTTGGAGATAAATTACGTAAGTACATCAGGGGGAGGGGGGGTCAGTGCAACATTTTAATTCTAACATGGAAGGAACAAAAAACAACACAAAACATTGATGCATTTTAGCAACAAGAGGCACTCGCATATTGCTATATAGAGTAAAAATAATATATTCAAATATGCAAACAAAGAAAGGACAAAAGAGAAACAATGCATAGGAGCAAAAAAGGCACTCTTATGCACGTAAATCAAAAATTAATAAATTTAAGTATGCAGACAATTTTAATTGCCGACAAATAAAAGAAGATAGCGGTGCCTCAATCTAAGCCCTGGGCCTCAGTACCTCAGAGGCGGCAGCTTTCTACTTTGACTGGGCTACCCCCTTGGAGCCCGATGCTTCGACCCCAGTGAGCAACAGCACCACCAAGCTCCTGGGGCTCCTTCGCACTACGTACACCGATTGAACAGCTTGCCAGATCCTCTTGGCTCGCTGCTAACCTGCCTCAACAAAGTCTGGACATCTGCAAATCAAACTGCCATCCTCCGCAATAACAGCAGTCTACCTCGTCGTCCTCTTGCGTGTACCGTATATACTCATCACATTATCATGTTCATTACATGCGGCACCGCGAGCCTGCATGGCGTGGGCTCTCCAAAGATCTCCAGAGCCAAATAAAGATATCATTAATATTATTATTATTATTATTAAGAGTGGAATGTATCTATACTGTGTGTCACTAGTTGCATACAGTATAGGCGAAGGCAATGCCAGGCGAGGGGAGAAAGGGCAAGCACTAGGAAGGCTGAGGAGGAGAGAAGCCTCCTCTCTTTTCTAACGTTCCTAGTGCTCTCCCTTTCTCCCCTCACCCTCCATTGCCCTCCTCTCCCACTCCGCCTTCCCAGTGCTCACCCTTTCTCTCTTCGCCTGGCCGTTGCCTTCGCCTCCACTGCACGCAACTAGTGACGCGGAGTATAGGCAAGTACTGACACTCTCTGGTAGGACATTCCATTCCGAGGTGGCAAGATGAAAAAAAGAGCTGTTAAATCTGTTAGTGCATCCGGAAAAGCACTGTTTTCAAGAGGCAACGAAGTAAAAGTAATTGTGTCGTGTTTATGTTTAGACAGCGTGAAGTTAGTCATCCTGAGTAGGTGTCGGATGTCTCCGTTGTGGATGAGACATTTAGTCAGTGCAGTCCAACTTAAAGGGACACTGACAGGGTATTTATGCTCGCCGAGGTTTTTAGTTGTACGTGACATATGAGAGCTCAACTACCCAGAACAGAATATGCGGCTCAAAATTCGGTTTCTTTCCGCCCGAAAACTGCCGATCAAGAATTGGCCGGTTCGAGTCTCGCTCACTCTCTTTTTCGCGGTCACGGGCCGTTTTCTAAGGTGTCGATGCGACCACCAAATTTAATCAAAGTCGTGGGTCACTGAAGGCCCACACTCAATATTAAAAATAGAAAAAAATATGAAACCTATTTTTTGTGGCTTCTAAAAAGCTGTAAATACGTTGATTGAAAAAAAAATTTCCACAGACAACCGGAAGCATTCTGTGCGTTCGTCGTTTCGCGTATCGTGGGACTCGCGGGGACGGCGATGGCAGCGGACGACGGGCGTGGGACCTCTATTTCAGAACTGTCGTTCGCGGTACCGGCGAATTCTGTCTACCGTTAAAAGAGAAATTTGGGACTGATCAAAAGAACTGGTATTCATCCCGTACGACACGCTCGGCCACCAAGCCGACTTGCACGAAGACGTCGCCGAGCCGTCGCTCCCTTCTCGTGGCTGAAGACAACGCTCGCGCAAACGTCAAGCACGACGTGTCTACTTCGAGTTGAATATGCACGCGTACGATTTTTTTACTACGTGCGAATGTCCCCAAAGCGTGGTGCTTCCCGACTTCGACCCGGGAGTGCTTTTGCTTGAGAAAAATCGACAGCAAACTTTCCAACTTACAGTTTACCGGCTGAATTATTACTAAGGAAAGAGATCCACCAGAAACGAGATGCCCTAGTAGCTCAGTGGGAAAGACGTCCGCTTCACACGCAGTAGGACCAAATTCAACCCCCGTGAATTTTTTTTTTTTTTTTTTTCAGACATTTTTTGATGTTTACATATCTTTCTTTTTTTTACAATCATCACTGAAGAAACAAACAAAAAAATAACAAACAAATGTTGTGGACGATACTTCGCTGAATTAAACGGTATGGGATTTCCGTTTTGACACCTGCGAACTCAATGTAGTCACTTTCCACAAAATGCAAGGAGCATATAAATCAGGTAGCGTCCGCTTTCCGAGGTGCCCGTATATGTTCTACAGGAATTGCAGCCAGCCATTGGTCCCGATCCCGTTGATCTTTCGGAAACTCTGTCGCACAATGCCACTTTTTTTTCGGACGCAGGACATGTGAGCCAGCTCTTCACGCAACATCTTGGGTTTATTATTTTCGGAGCCGATCATGGAAATTCACCACGGGCACTCACTACTCATCTCCAACTCCTCAATGTACAAAACAACTCATCTTGGAGTGCAGAACAACGAGCGGAACAAACATAACTGCAAAAGAATCGCACAGCAAGCAGTTCCCGCACGCCGCATCGCACGCCGCATGTCGTGTCGTCTGCTACCGGAGAGGAGAAAAAAAAAACGCACAGTCGGGTGTAGCCACGTGACTTCCGCCAGTCACTCTCTTCTCTCCACTTCTCCGACCTCCGTCGGGTTTCGGTTTCGAGCAGTTGCGTCTTTTGGCTTTATTAAAGAAATACGCTACTCTGTTGCAAAATATCAATTGGGTAGTCCTCCGACACCATAATAAAGCGCCTGGCAAAAAATAAAAAAAAATTTTTGGGGAGTGTCAGTGTCTTTTTAACATGCATCACAAAGTGGTGATACACAACTACACGGTAGTATGATGCTCATCCTAATTGAAAGAGGCAGAAATGGGGGACAGTAAGACCTGCAAGAAGCCTACAATGCTACTACTGAGACATGTTATTGACGGGGTCCCTGTCTTCGATGTTTGTTTCTAACACAATTCGGTGAAATAATGAGGTAATCGTATCCCCAGCATGAAATCTATGCTTTTGGGTGTTTATTCTACATTGACACCTCCAGTGTATAAAATTAGTTAAAAAAACACCCAGAGACATGATGCAAATGAAAATAAATGTGTAACAATATGAATTTAAAAAAAAAAAAAAATTCTAAGGTAAAGTTTTTTGATTGAGTAACCCTCGAAATGGCACTATTATTATGACCTGTCTCTGCTTTCCAATCAACAATGGCAGAAAGCTTATCAATATATTTAGAATAAAGCATTCACAAAAGCCAAATGGCTGATAAAATGTTTGGTTATTAGTTCTTTTATCATTGACCTGTCAAGAAATTCACCGCACATTTATCAGTGCTTTGGTTTTCAGTATACAGTCGCCAAACGATTTTTCGGACGCTAATAATTCGGATTTGTTCGATATTTAAGGCCTAAAGGAGAAACCATGACCTACCCCATAGAAATAGTGCATATTTACGACCATTGTTTCGAACAGCTTGAAGTCTGAAAGTTTGATTTTTCGGACAAAATCGTCGCGAGCGATCAGCGGGAAACACCACCGAGAAATGGACATTTTGGATTTTATGTTGGTTGCACATAGACTGGCTTAATTTGGCAACTCTACTTTAATACTGCTAAGTCCTACTGCTACCTGATGCTGTACAGCTTTTCTTTTTTTTTTTTCTCTAGCTGCATGTCATTATTATTATCATTGTTGTTTCCATTTTGCTTTGTTCATTCGCCAATGCAGGCATGGATTTGCGTCTCTCATCTCGACTCAATGAATTGTGTTTTCGGACTACGCTGGCTTGAATGTCATCGTCAGAAAGTACACGACTATAACGCTAGAAAAGAAGGCAGCGATTCTCAACCTAACAGAAAGTTGCCGAATGCAAACAGAGGCGTAAGGTAAAACAAGGAGCGCAGGCACAACCAGAAGCGAGGCACTATTTATGGCTTTTTAAAGCCCACTTAGACATGATAAAGGCAAGTTTTTTCATCTGCTGATTTTTCGGACTGCTTTATTATATTTGGACGTTTTTACGGTCCTTCCGAAGTCCGAAAAATTGGTCGGCAACTGTATATCAAGACACAGGACACATTCCTCTACTGTCAACGCTCGAAGAGATTCAAAGTTACCATAGCCACACGCCACAGCTACAAAACGCCTCCAATATTTCTGAAAAAACAAATATGGCAACGAAACTTACTGATTTCATTGATTATCACGGTGTTGTCCATCGCAACATGAATGGCGAGAGAGCTCCACTTGTCAAATATGGCCAATTTCCTGAGCAGAAAAATATTTATTTTTTAATAGTCAGGTTAGAAAAAAAAAAATTTTTGCTTTGAGGGTTACTTTGAAAGTAAGAATGCCTCCAAATTTTTTTTTTTCTCACAAAGCATAGCATATTTATTGTTGGCATTCACGTGGATAATTGCTATACTTCTTTCCATACACTTAAGCATTTTTCAGTGAAGTTATCATTAATATCAAAATTTTGTGCAACCACTAAGTAAGATGCATCACTCCGGTTCAGTAAAATTATTTTCTTCAACGTCGAAGATTGTCACTTACGGTTGTCACTTCGTCAATTCAAAAACTGCATCCTCTGAGCACATCCTTTAGCAAAACAACCACCTGTTTTGTTCACTAATGAAGCACTAAAGTAGATTTTAAACTTGTCTTTCTATGGCAGTATGTAATTCAAATCTCCCTAAGCACTAAAAAAATACAAAATTACAACCATGCGTGGCTTTTTTTCCGGATTAAGAATTTGACCAAACATCACAATGTTTGGTCAAATTGTGAAATATATCTAAAAAAAAAAAAAAAGGAAGTGTGTGGCAATGTTTGGTCGTGTTTTAATGAGGAAAAAGGCCACATGCAATAATAATTTTGGACGCACACACCTAAGGACGTGGGCCACCGTGTTGGGTCCGAACCACTCTCCCACCGTCTTGCCTTCCGAGACTCCCATCTGTGCTGAAGACAGTCAGAAAAGGTCAAAGGCCCAGCCTACAACAAGCCAGCCATGCAGACACTCGGAAAGCATGCATCGGTCCTTCAGAGTACCGTGGATACTCGATGCTAAGCAGTTTTACCAAGATTAACAATGAAGTTGACAGAAAAAAAGCAGCCATTCAGATGGGAGAAGTCAATTGTTACAAGTTTGCCATTTTTAAGTTGACCAGCCCTCTGTCACAGTGAGACAGGTGGAAGAGGACCTTCGATCGGCATGCTGCAAATTCTCTTAATTGGCCAGGCTAAAACTGGATGTCGTGGCAAGGGCACTCAAACGGGTTTACTATGGTTGATCAAACGCCATTTCATCACAACACGTTTAAGAGAACTGGCACGTTTTAGCGAAGCATGGTTTAGAGAAAGCGTAGCCTCAGTTTAGAGAAACGCCGTTTATCGAAAAAATTACGCTGTTTAAAAAAGGCTTTCCTACTTTGCGCATGTATCAGTGGGGTGCGTGTTAACCCATCCCCCCCCCGCTGCGTTCACGCCGCTTCGCAGCAAAAGTCTGCAGCGGCTCATTACAAAAATGTTAACTCACCTGACCCATCCGTACATGCCACTTCGCAGCGGCCGAATTCGTTAAAAGGAGGCTCATCGAAATTTTCTCTAAACTGGGTTTCTCTATAAAGGCATTCGATAAACTGGGGTCGGTTAAATGGTGTTTGCTGAAACGAGCCTCTCTAAACCACATGCCTCCGACTCAAACTGCCCCATTTATTGGAATAAGCTATGATTAGGGATGCCGCGAACTTTTTTCGAATCGAAGTTTCGATGATCGAATCAAGCGGTTCGAAAGGTTCGAAAGATTTCGATTTTTCGAATTGTCTATATCGTAAAATTCGACGGAGGTCGAATTTTCGAACTTGTTAAGCTAAGAAGTTCGACGCTTTTCGAACCGTCGAACTTATTACGCTAAAAAATTCGATCTTTTTCGAACTTTCGAACTTATTGCGCTGCAAGGTTCGATGCTTGTCGAACTTTCGAACTTGACTGACCAAAAAATTCGATAAATTTCGAACTTTCGAACTTATTTATCAAGAAAATTCGAAAAGTTTCGAACTTTCGAATTCTGAAAAGTCAGAAGTTCGACGAACTCGAACTTATAGGGTAAAAGTTCGACGTTCGTCGAACTTCGAAAGACCGGCGGACGCTTTCATTTGATTTCAAGTAGTGGGGTACATTCGTAATTTTTTTTCTCGAACTTTTACACGCGGTGCTGCGTTCCTTACGAAAGACAATGTCATTTATTTCAATGTTCTGGCATGCTTAGGTTTAAAGAAATAAATCCCCGAAGGGGCGAGGACGGACGACGGGTTTTTGACGATTATCGTTTGTGCCAGATTTGAAGCACGCTGCAGCCGGAGCAATTTATGGTAGATATGTTATACTTTTTTTTAAGAATGATCTATGTATAGCGTAGGTAAGTGCCGTCTTAAGATGTGATTATTGTTATTCAACGTGAGTTTCGAAGAAATGTCCAAACATGTATCTGCATGCAATTATGACCTAAACTTGATATTTATTTTCGTCTAAGTTGTTTGAGGTATCGCATTTAAATTAACACCACAGACAGTACATATCATTGCCATCTGCAGAATACAAAATAATATATTTATTGTTTTTTAACGTTAAGGAATAAATTAACTCATGGCAGAAGATTTCTAGTAGTGTTCAAGTTCAGCACGTCATTAAAAGAAAACTTTCTTTTTTTTTCGCTTCACGTTCCTCGGACGTGTTTCTTTTAGCCTGTACACATTTTGGTAAAAGAAACTTGTTTTGAAGTTCTGAACCTCGGAATATGCAAGGATAGAACACTTCCGACAAATTCTTGATAGTTTTTTTTTTTTTTTTTTTCTCCTGCTTTTTATTCCCGCATTTATTCTTTTTTTTTTTTTTTTTTTTTTTTTTTTACTATCGGCACAGGTGTTTAGGTCGAAAAGACAGCTTTGAACTTCCGAACCACTAAGCATGTGACGAGCAGTGCCTTCTGACAACGAGTTTCTAACAATGACCATCTACGCAACCTTTTATGCAGTGAAGAGCGACAGTAGCTATACATATGCATAAATAATTTCAGATTAAAATAAGCTCGACCACGCCCTCTTTCCCCGTATTGTTTTCTTTAACAGTTCGAAATACCTGCAAGGAAGAGAAGGAGGCTGAAGCCCCCCCCCCCCCCCCCCCCCCCCCCCCCCGCTACCGTCTTTCCCCCCGTTTTTCCTCTTCCGACGCCACTTGTATGGTAGAACGCTCCTCGACCTCGAGTTGTGTCGGCTTTTGTGCTTTTTGCGAGGCGATTCCTCCGTCCCAGAAAATAAACCTCCAGTACAATTATAAACTTCACCGGATCGGATTACTACCAGCGTGCAAGGGGTGGCGAGCTAGTTTTCCAGGTCGCTTCAAGGTTTCTCTGAGCCTCAACCTCCTGCTTGCCCCTGGCCGTTTCGAACTGGATGAGTCTCGTAAAACAGTGTGTTCGTGCAATCACTACTGCATGATAAAAACCCGACCCCCCCCCCCCCCCCCCCCGGGGGCTGGCGGTCACAATTCTGCACTGGCAAATTCTAGCACGTCCGGGACACTCGTCGTCTCATTTAATTGCCTTACCAACTTCGCAGAATCTAGATATCACACCCTAACTTTTCTAAACTTGATTTTGTGAAAACAAGCGAGTCGTGAAAACGTTATTTGAAACTGAAACTGTAGAAAAACTTGAAAATCGGACTTCAAACTTTGAAAACTTGGATTAAAAAAAATTCAAAATCTTCAAAGTTTTTTTTTTTTTTTTTTTAATTTAGCGTTAAAAGTGAATCGAAACTTTCGAACTTTTCGAACTTTATGCCAAAAGAAATTTGAAATCTTCGAATTGTTCGAACTTCATGTCTATAAAAATTCGAAGCGTTCGAAGTTTTCGAATTTTTTTTACAAAGAATTTCGAAATCTTCGAATTTATCGAACCTGAAGTAAAAAAATATTGGAAATATTCGAATTCGAAATTTTAGAAACCGTGAAAGCTTCGAAATTTTCGAATTCGAAACTCCGCTGTGGACAAAAGTTGCGAATTTTTCGAAATCGAACCTCGGTCGGTACGAAAATATCGAAATTTTTCGAAATCGAACCTCAGTTCGCTTCGCAAATATCGAAACCTTTCGAAATCGAACCTAGGGTGGTTCGCGACATCCCTAGCTATGATTATAAATGAAGTCACCATTCCACCATTCCAGAGCACATATACAACAAATCATTGTGATACATGAAAGTAGTGCAGGATATGACAAGGCGGGGGCAACATTCTCACGTGGAAAAGCTACCGATGCTATGACACAAACTGTTACCATAATTAAGATGCCCGGGCTCCAGAGCAGGCTGCGTCTTTGGCAACGAGCACTTTTTAAGGGTTGCCATTTGACAAGCTCTTTCAATGTGCCACTATGATTGGTCACATTCTGATAGGCCACAATAATTGATCTCATGTATTCTTGCAGAAAAGTGGACTTGTAAAGACAATTGTTTGAGTAAATAAGCATGTAGGAACATAACTACGCCAAATTTTTCTTTCTTCCTACCCAAAGTTTGCTCGCGAAAGGAGACCTGTACGGAGGGGGCATTTTGTGAGCCCCTCACCTATTTGGTGGATGGAGAAGGTGCAGTTCTTCTTGTCCTGGAACATGCGCAGGATGTAGAGGTAGTCCTTGTTCTTCGTCCCTGGCTCCCACCGCCATTCTGGGGGTACGCAAAGAGAGGGCCTGCATGAGCTTTTGACCCTTGCGGTCAGATACTCTGACCAACTTGATGGTCATTCCGGTCAGAAACTATTTTGGACGGATGAGTCACGAAAAAGTAAAATAATTTCGGCAAACAAAGGTAACATCTCAAACTGAATGCAGGTACAGGGAAGTCCGGGAGATTGTTAGTGTACAAACTCCAGGACAATGTTTGCGGCGGAGCGGCTCCGTGGCCACTGTCTTGCGCAGTCATTTCACCTTCATCACTACTTTCACTCAAGTCGCAGAGGACGTCTCATCATCAATTGACGGAGGGATACAGTCATCCTCTTCACTGAAATCATTGTCACTTTCAATTATATCAAGTCAAGAGGTACCGTAAAATGAATGTGGCTGGAACGTGGCCATCATTCGTACAAACAAAGTTGAAATTTGCGAGCTCGTCCGTTGTTTAGACTGTTTAGGATTAGTTCTGACCTCTATCAGAAAAAACTCAAACCCTTTCAAGAGTGAAGTGATTGAAATGTTAAGGGGTAACTGCAAAGAAAAAAAAGTGTTTTTTAAACAGCCTATATCGGACAAGCATGTCACAAAACAAATCTTCCGCGAAAAAACAAATTTTTTCTAGCAATATTTACGCCGCAGGACGTAATTTAGCCGTAGTCACAACTTCTCCACATTTAAAACTCCCGCCCTTTCGACGCGTGCAGAGTGGCTGGTATACGTGACTCCGTGACGTACAACAGCCACTACGTGACGTATAATACCAACTTTGTGGCACGCGATTTAAAGCGGACTTAATAGCCGCAAACTAAAATGAGTCTCGCGCAATAAATATTGCTGTAAAAAATTTTGTTTTTGGCGGGAAAATTGTTTTGTGACATGCTTGTCTCAATTAGGCTCTTTAAAAATACACTTTTTTTCTTTGCAGTTACCCTTTAAAGGAATGTTTCAAGAGATGGCACCACCAATCCAGCAAGAAAGAACAAAGGAGCATGTTTAAAAGGATGCGGGAATGCGTATCGGGCGATGCCCAACTCCTGATCGAAGTTGGGCATCGTTTCTCCAATGTCAGGCGTGGCCCGACACATGACCACAAAGGGTTAATCACACCTCACAGCTGTAACGCTTTCCCGGTGTTAGGTCAGATGATTGCGCATCCTCATGATCAGATGACCATGACTTTCAGCTGTTAACATGTTCATCTGTCGTTGAATTCGGCAATGCCAACGTTTTGTTGCCTTTAAGTCGTGCACAAAACTCGCAAAAAAACTACTACAACTGACGAGATGAAACAATGTGAGCTTCTATGTAAACTCAACTTGACACCCAGACTCGAGAGCGTATAGGTACTGAGAGTGTTGAGAAAGTCAGTAGAATGAACAGCAACAAAACATATGGCCAAAAAAAAGCTATCCCCCTCAAATATAGCTATCCCCCTCAGATATAGCTGAAAATGAGTAGAAGCATTAAACTTCCTTTGTCGGTCCTGTTTATTAGAGCTTTTAGTGGACACCAACATTACTAATAGAGCATTAATAAAAAGCTCCACAATGATGCATACGGACAAAGTCTGCCATCTGTTGAGAAATTTATTAAAGGTTTCACATGTTCACACAGCAACACATTTGAGGACGCGCATCTGCCAAAAACTTTGCGGCAAAGCTCCCACCCGAAACGAAGTCGACAATGTCGACAAGACGGGCATACCTCTTCCAAGGTGTCTCCTCATCAGCGCCTGTGCAAGTACCATCTGGCCGCAGCGCAGCATGCAGCCCCATCCCGAGTCGCTCGTGGGTCCCGTGCCACCTGAATGCACGAGGGAAGCAAATTGAAGCACCTAGAACCTTTCCCAAGTTCTTCCCGCACCAACAGTACGGTGCCACGAACGTGTCTTTGACTGGTGCATCGGGCGTCCCACGTCGCCCACGCATCGAGCACCATCCCGAAGTGTCGACGGATCGCGTCGTAGAGGCCAGCGCATCATGTTCTCGGATGTCGCGATCGTGGCGCTTGGTCGGAAAAGTTCCCGCAAACAGTATCAGCGGACGTGAATGTCGTTGTCACTGCAGCATCCCAACTGCTGCCTGCTAAAGCTCCAGCGTACCGTCCAGCTGCAGAACGACCTGGGGCGGAACGGGCATCTGCTCCATCCGCCTCCGCTTACGTGCCACTGCTCGGATTGCGGAGGGCCACAGCACGAAGCTTTTGTGGCGTCGTCGGGAGCAGAAATCGGGGGACCACTTTTGAGGATGGGCTGAACGCACCAGTATGAAGACTCGTTCCAGGAACCGTACTGACGGCAAGAGACGCAGACCACAGGCTGGATGATGCCACGTTTGACATTGTGCAAAATCCAATTTCTCAAAAGATAAGATTTTTTTTTTCTTTTTTTTTTACAAAGATTTGTAGTACTGCTTTCGCCATGTTGACATAATGACATAATGCCCATATTTTGGAAACAAATTTCGAAAACGATTTTCACCCCAATTATCGCCCAGCATTGAATATAAAAAAAATGATTCTACTTCTTGCTTTTAAAAAATTATGTTTCTTGCTTTCTGGGGGACTCAATAGTTCAATAAGCTGCTCAATCATTTTCAGAACTTTTAAACTAATATTTCTTAATAAAGAACAGCTTGCAAACCCTGTAAACTAGATTGAACTTGCACATCACATGTGAGCTACATCGATATCGAACTTGTGTTTCAAAATGTCAGATGTGGCAATACCAACCTACTTCCAAAATTTTAGTACAGTATGCTTAACATCAATACATGCCTTCTTGTGAAGTTACATACACCAGGAGGTACATGCTAGCCTTAGAGGACTGTACTAGTACTTTTGTCAAGGTCCAGATGGCACATTACGTGTGCACATACCAAAACATCAGCTTACCATAAAATCCCGAGCAAGCACCCACTCAAAGTTGGGAGATAATCATGTAAAACTAAGAGATGGGTGCCCCTTAGGTCTACTATGTGTAAAGCAATGTCCTTTGTAAATTTCCCAAATGTTACAAAATTGATGGGTGGGCACTTATTCTGGGACATGCAGACGCTGGTACTTTACGGCATGTCGGCAAACCTTACCAATGGCCGGAAAATTCTTCCGGTAGGTCAGCCATATCTTTGAGGTCACATCGGACCTGAGATCATCCAGCTCTGAAAGGTTGAAAAGCCGCTGAAGTCTCTGCTTAACAAATAAATGACAAAAATGACAAGAAACACCCAAAAAAGAGGCGGTGGCATTGGCTCACCATGCAATGTGCTGTACTTCGTTCCCAGGATGTAGACAGGGGCTTCGGAAGGTTTGAAGTCATCATACTCTACTGCTCCAACCTCGTATGTTAGACAGGCTGCAGTGTAAACCAACTTTTAAGGCAACCATATTCATCCTAAGACAACATCCACGAGACAACATACAAGCATTGTTGTATGCTACCTGTGAGCATCCAGTTATACAAATCTCCACTCCTAATCAAATATCATAGGCTGGTGCAAAAACAAGGTACTATCTTAATCATGCTGAGCTAGAACAAGGGAACATGTGGCGACGGATACTGTCAAGGCATTATAAAAGCTCGGCACACAACTGTAGCGCATTCACTTCGCTGCAACTGCGCCCTAGACCGTTAGAGCGCTTTGATAGTAATCGATACCACGTGCTTCCATTTAGCGGCGTACACTTTGCATTTTTCTGGGGGGGAGGGGGGCAGGCTGAGAAGTTTTCTGAGGGGGGAAGCGGGGGTGCTTTTCCAAGCAATTTTTTTACACCGGCAATTATCAGTAGTTCATTTTAGGGGGTACATTTTACAGCGTATGTATATCGCCATGTGTCCGGCGCTGTGTTCGTTATGTTTACATGCCACTACTAGAAGCTCGTTACATGGCACGTAAACAGCGTGTTGGCAAGGATCATGGCCCGGGGGGGTGCAGAGCCCCCCCCCCGGATCTCACCAGGAGGGGCACGAGCCCCGATGCCCCCCTTAGTTTACGCCTATGCTTCCGTTAGCTGTGATTAATATAGCACAGGGTGTATGGTATGTTACCGTGGACTGGAACAGTGTTTTCTCACAACCTTAGTTCATACTGTGGTCCGACATGTGTGCTATGTACGCATATCGAAAGAAGCAAGCTCAATCGTGTGGTATTGGCAGTGGCGTACCAATTTGAGTTTGAGTGGGGGGGAAACCAGACCCCCCCCCCTCAGGGCCGGGGGGCGGTGCCCTTGGTATCCCTTGGGCGCTGCTGGCCAGTGTTTGTCCTGCCCAGTGCGGCTGTTTCAGGGGGGGCAAAACACATGCCTTGCCCCCCCCACTCTGAGAACTGGAGTGGCAAGTGGCCCCCTTGCCCCCCGGCTTGGTACGCCCATGGATATTAATACCGCACGATTGTGCTCATTACTGTATAAGCAAAGCTCACATAAGAAGCATAAGGTGGAGGAAATTATGCCTGCAAAGACACCCTACAAGCTTCTTAATTGTGCTGTTACTAGCTCCATGCCATGGGGTTGTAGAGAGAGAAAGCTTGTCTGCATGCCAGTGCCTCCGGAAGTGCAGGGATTAAAGCAAACATAATAAAGACTCACGTTTTACATAAGAGTGCCACATTTCTTGAAATAAAGTGTGGTGCCTCAGCAATGCTTTCATTAGGAAGGCCTCTCGGCGTTTCTTTCCCCCCCGTTGCCCCCGTCAAGCTGCCGTTGCAGCCGCTTTACGACATGAATTTTTGCCTTGGGCCTGGCTTTGAGCATGTGTCTGTGGAATGTGATAAGAAATGCATCCTTCTGCACCCAATTCACTTGGCAATTATTCTTCTATTCCCGATAGTAGCAAGCGAGCCAAAGGAATCCCCACCAGCGCGACAAACATCGAAATTCGCTAGGCAATATAACAAAAAGACTCCCCAAGCAGCCGACCTTAATACCCCATCCACAGAAGAAAAAAAGATAAAAAAATAAAATGTTGTTTATTGTGTGATGTTCAAAGTAAAATGTCGCTAACAAATGCCCATTCGACATGTTTGCCAACAATGTATGTCGTCTGTCCGCTAGGTGGGAAGAGATGCCCTTTAAACAGAAGTACAAATCACATCCGTGTTTGTGCCTCAGCTTTCTGGCATGTTACTATCGAGGTAACGAACTTTGAAACGGTGTCAAGGGTAGCTGATACGAAAAGCCATACAATGCGCATCGCGGGTTATTCGTGCAATAGAACATTTCCCATACAAGCTCACTTTTTCTTTCTTTTTTTACGAGGACGCCAGCTGTGACTATCGAGCATAGCAACAATGACATGTCAAAAAATGGGCAGGCCCAAAAAATGTAAACAAAGAGCTGACGGTGATGTCATAGCTCGAGGGCCGATCACTCAAAATTCGCAGCAAATCGGTTTCCTCTGCTCGAAGTTGCCTGCGCGTTAACGAAAGGTTATCTTTGAAACGAGTAGCTCAAATGAAGTCAGTGTTTGTGCGATGACACATAGCTTTTAACTACCGCCGAGCACCTCATAATAGCGATACACAAGGATTCCGTTCACCGAGGTCATGCGATAAAAAATAGCCCAAGGAGCCCGAAAATGACTTCAGAACAGAATCGACAGCACAAAACTTTTCGAATAATTGGAAACAGGGCGTAACTACAGCGCTAGGCAAAAAAGGGCACAACCTACCGTTAAAAACATCGGCCATTGCTAAAAGCGAAACATTGATGGTTTCCGCGATGAGAATGAGGCGATGAGGACGTCGTCCCTTTGGATGGAGCTGGTGCACAATCCGAAACCGAAGACAGATTTCGGTTTCGTTTTCTGAGTAAATCGATTTGCGCGCATTGATCAATGTCGCGAACTGTTTAAACATTTGTGGAGGGCAGAAAAGCGTTTCCTATGATTTCAGATAAATCTTCAGATAACTTGCCCATGATTTTCAGCCACAATATGGCCACGTGTCGTTACTCTGAAGCGTAGCTTATTTAGTGACACTAGTCACACACTTCCTTGCCACCCGAAAGCCGTCATTCATCCTTGTTTTGCTTTTCTTAATTTTCTTGCCCTTGTTCCAACTTTCTTTGAAGCCCCCCTACCCCCCTACCCCCATACCCCGGACTGGAAGTCAAAAGGTCCAACGAGTCACAAGGTCCAATAATGGGTCTTATGACTCGCCAAACACGAGTCGTAATTTCGTCCACCATTTTGTTGTTGTGCGCTGTCTGGGTGTGCCAAACTCGAGCATTCCAAGGATTTAGAAGTCCCCTCAAATGCGCAGAGCACCGCTGACATCATCTCAATCGGTTACGATGTAATCCTTCAATGTAGTAAATTTGTTTGAAAAAACAAACTAACAACAAAATGGCGAATTGGCGTCATGTGCAAACAACCTATAGGTCAAGAGGTCCAACGAGTCAAAATATACACGGCGAGTCAAGAGGTTCAACGGGTCAAAAGGTCCAAAAAGCCATAAATTCCGATAATGGATCTTTTTTACGCGTTGGATCTTTTGATTCGTTGGACCTCTTGATTCGGAATCCTCGAGGGGAGGACGGGCACCAGGCATTGGGAACTGGGAAGAGACTCTCGCGAAAGGAACGGGCGACCACGACGTCGGGCTGGTTACATGATCAGGACTTCACCCGGGCCCGACCCTCGGGGCATTGTGAGACGACTTTCGCGGAATGAACGAAAGACGACGGACGTGCGCGGTGGTAGCGACCACGACGACGGGACACGGCCCGGTGACATGATCTGTTTCACCCTGGATCCGACCCTCGACGGCGACGTCCCTATGACAAGCTCCGTTGGGACTATCGGCAGCAGCTGCAGCGGTGGAGGCGCACCTCCCCAAGGATTGATCCCTTCCAGATCCCGAAACCCCCAAGCAGAATGTGAGTGCAATGAACCCTTTTTCCGAGAGCTATGCATTGCTGTGTCAGGCTTATCTGGAGACAGGAGACTGGAGAATCGGAAGAGAACTCCACAAACTTTGACGGTATGCGGCCTGATTTTTAGGTTCTTGTGCCTTGGACTAAAGACGTCGATGTTACTCCTTCCCAAAAGTAATATGCGCTTTCGTCCTTCATCACGAATAGGTTGTTGCGGTCACCGACCGACAGTCTCCAGGCCAGTCTCCAGCGCGCGAGCTATGGAGATGGGTCGAAAAGACAACGAAAACTGAGCAGCTTTACATGTTCTCTAATTGACCACCAACATTGTTCTCCCTGTTCACCCGCCTCTATGGTTAGTGTAGAAAAGGACGATAACGAAATCGTGGTAGTCATGTTCGGACGGACAGATAAGGAACTGCTACCAGTGTCCGCAAAGGACAATGTGGACCCAAATTTTGGTGACGCACCTTGGCTTCTGGTATGTCTATCGGTATCTACGTTAGTGAATATTAAGTTCCCTAGCCCTCATTTCAAACCAACTAGCCCACCCTTAATATTTTAGTACCACTCCAATCCCAACCCGCGAAATAGGAACCTGTCAAACTAAAAAAGGAATCACAGCAATGCAGGCAAACTTGTACAGCGTGCACAGCTGTTTTAACGAGCTTTCGCATTTCATATCAACCTTGCTTTTGAAAATTTATTTTGTTTGTCTAGGGATAACTTCGTGGACAGAGATGTTGGCTTCTGCTGTTTCTGGGTGAGCTCACACACGTTCAGGCTTTCTTTGTGACGTTTTTTGCTTTAGTACTCCTCCAACAAATGAATGCCGAAATACGGGGCGCGAGAGCAACACTGCAGTAATTGTAAGCTTTCTCATCACCCTTTGCGCCAAATCAGCGGAACTCGCTTGACATTTGTTTGAACCTGCGGCGAGAATGTTTTCCGCGATCTTGAAATGACAGCTACGGTTGAAGCAGACGGTGGTTAGGGCTGTGCAACAAAATTATAAAATGTTGAGCCATTCTTGAAATAGCTTACCTTCCTCGGTGTTGAGCTCCCGGTTTCCTGTAGCCCAAAAGACGTGCCGTGCAAGCGACAGACACGAACGTAAACCAGTATTGTAACCTCATGCAGCCATGTCGGAAGGCCCCAGAGAGAAAACCCTTCTGTGAACGGCTACCGCCCGAAGCGCCACAGCCGCAACGCTCAGTCTCGCCATCAAGCCCGTCGGCGGACAACATCTACGATGACGTGGCTCTTGCACCCAACAGACCTACCGGAAAGCCACCGTCCGAAGACGAGACCTACGATGACGTGGCTGTTCCTCCCAAACCACCGACCGGGAGGCGTCTGCCGGACCTGCCCACGGATTTCCCTGGGACCGAGAGCCCTGTCTACGACGATGTCGCAGTTCCACCCACGGATTCTACAGGCTACCCACTGAATAAGAAAAGAAGTTCGCTGAACCTGAAGCAAGAACCAGAGGAAGAAGCCATCTACGAGGAACTAGACATTGCGAAAAAGAAGGGAAGGCGAAAGTATTAAACCGAAGTATGTTATACACATTTTCGGCGCTCTTCATCCAGACGAAAAATGCCGCATCACTGGGCTGTGGACGAATGCGCCACTTCTGACATTCCACAGAGAAGAGCCACTGCGCATGCTCAGGATTCGTTCCACAGCCCAGAGGACAAATATGGCAGTGCGCAGAAGGCGGTTATTAGAATTGTGCGACAGGATGTACCAGTTGAGCCTGTAGTGGATGCCAAATTATATCAGAGCGAAACGGACAGAGTAAAAGAAGACTGGCAGACAACAGCGCTGTTGTCTGCCAGTCTTCAATCTATAAAAAAAATAAGGGAGCGCTGCGGTGACTTCCTGTTTGGGCTTTGTTAGCCTTAACAAATTTACTATGTATGGTGACGAGGGTCGAAAATGAAAAACTGTCTCTCCGCTGTGCAAATAGCGTCCGTAGAAAAAAATTTAGTTCTTTGACATTTTTCGCATTACGCTTCCCACTTTCGCCGTTTTATTTCTCACCGGTGCTTTATTTCATTTGTACGCACATGGTTTGAACAATCGCCCACTAAAGCTGATTTAAATTAACCGCGTAGTCACTGATCTCCATGACAATCCTAGTGGCAAAACTAACAAAGGCGCAGCAGAAATCGCTATGCAGAGCGAAAAAAAAAAAAAGACAACAGGGAGTAACATAAAAGCCAGATATAACTAAATAAAATGAGTAAAAACCCCTGGCAAGCCCGGCGAAAGTGGTAAAAGCAGTAAAAAGCAGGGGGTAAAGGTGGGTGAGGAGGAGTGGCAAATCCCGTGCGCCGACACCCGGGGTCCCGAGTGAGCGATCGCAAAAGAGAGCGACAGAACACGAGAGAAAGAAAGCAACGTTGCCATGGTAAACGGAAGAGTGAAAACTCTCAGCAATATAAACAGTGATAATTTAACGTTGTAAACTAGATTTTGAGCTATTCTAACGCTTATAAAAAGCAATAAAGTTATTACGCTGCATTAACTTCCCTTCTGTCGAAATCTCGGAAATCTGGTGGTTGCGCAGTTTCGTATTCCTCAACCGCGCCCAGCCGCGCCCCACCCCCCACCGGCGAAGCCGGGTATATGGTTTAGTTTAGCGTTAACGCGAGGCCGTACATCTGCGCGCTATGCAAAAAGAAAGCTTCGAAAGGAACGCGAATATCTTTCCACCGGTAAGCTCGTGGATTGTTGAAGTTCACGAAACTGCTCAGATGATGCAACCGTGTTTGGGACCCCGAGGGTCTGCCTGCATGATCCGCCGCTTGCGGCAGCCAGAATGTATGGGAAAATGGCGGACCTTTTCCTCTAGAGTTAGTATGTATGATCTCTATGGGCGCCGCCATCTTGACGTCACGTGACCCTGCCGCCATAGCCGCCCTTCAGTTACTCGCCGTTCCTCCGCGTTGTGTGCTGCACCGGCCACTACCGGAGCGTTGTTTTCGCGTTCTTTTACGTTCCGCGTTGAAATAGTGTGTTTTCTTTAGGTATTTTAGATATTTCGGGCTTTCATTTAATCATTTGATATCTATATTTCAACATAGCTCTTGCATTTTCTTATTTATAAAATGGAATCGGACAGCGAATGGTTCGACGATACAAGATTATGGCTGCAGAGACCATGTAAGTTCATCCCATTCTAACGTTTTTCTCGCTAATAAATGGCAGTCAACACCATTGCGACATTAGCGAATTTCAACTGAGGCAGCAATTAGGCTCTCACAGTCGTGCTTCTCGCTGCATGTGCGCGCTGTTTCCGTAAAGCCGACCCGCATGTAAGCGATATAGCGTTCGACGAGACGAGCGACGGCGACAACGACGAGAGTCAGCAATGAAGATTTCTCACTGTCGCCTGTTGCATCGCTCGGTTTTTTGGATTTCTAGAAAACGTCGCTCACCGTCTTGGTCGCCTGCTCCCGTCGCTTCCATGCGGTTTGCCTCGTCGCGCGACTGCCCGAGCGACAGCGAAGCGGGTCACCGTCGCTTGTCTCGTTGCTCGCCGAATCGCTTGCATGCGGTTTATACTTAATATCGAGGCGCCAATGGTTCAAGGGTGTGTGCATGGAAATTAATTGAGCATAAACCGCATGTAAGCGATTTAGCGAGCGACCAGATAAGCGACGGCGACCCGCTTCGCTGTCGCAGTCAGTCGCGCGACGAGGCGAAGCGCATGGAAGCGACGGAGCAAGCGACCAAGACAGTGAGCGACGTTTTCTAGAAATCCCAAAACCGAGCGATGCGACGGGCAACAGTGAGAAATATCCGTCGCTCGTCTAGTCGCACGCTAAATCGCTTACATGTGGGTCGGCTTTACGGACTGGGATAGCCTTACTGCGTCAGTTGAAATTTACATATGTCGAAATAGTGTTGACTGCCCTTTATTAGCGACAAAAACGTAAGAATGGGATAAAGTTAAGTGGTCATTGAAGCCTCATAATCTTGTATCGTCGACCCATTCGCTGTCCAATTCCATTCCATAAATAAGAAAATGCAAGAGCTATGTCGAAATATAAATATCAAATGATTAAATGAAAGTCCTAAATATCGAAAAGACCTAAAGAAAATACAATATTTCAATGTGGAACGTAAAAGAACACGAAAACGAAGCTCCGGTAGTGGCCTGTGCAGCACACAACGCGGAGCACCGGCGAGAAACTGAAGGTCGGCTATGGCGGCCCGGAGAGAGCACGAAGGGCGCGCCGACTGGTGGCAGTTTGAGTAACTGACTCGCTGAAAGCGTCTATACACGTTTGCAAGTCCGGTCTCAGGGCGCCGCCATCTTCCTCAGTGGAATGCGCTCTCGGGAGTGGCCATAATCCGATTACGACGCCTTAGCAAGGCTTCGTAATCGGATTATGACTGGTCCAAGCGCACCCCAAACAGACAAGATGGCAGCGCCCTGAAGCCGGACTTGCAAACGTGTATAGTGTATCTATCTATCCACCGAAAGTGCAGTAACAGTTGGTGCCAGTTGGTGCAGCGACTGCAGCGACTTCGTCGTCTATCCATTCACAAATACAAGATGGCAGCGCCCGCAAGAAGGTCACGCTGCCGTTGTTAGTGCTGCGATTGGCTATAAATTTGCCATTTTTCGTTACGCTTTATCGAGCGATTGTTGTAATTTAGCAGTCCTCCGGAACATGAAATGCACAGCTCGTTTACCCAAGGATCTGGCATAGCTAGGACGAGAACCAAAGCATCATGGACAAACTCGAAGCTTCGCTCAAAACTTCTCCGACGAAGCAGCGAAGTCCTCTGCTCGGCAAGATCGCCCTGGCAGCTTCGGGAATCGGAGCCTTCGGCATCATCGCAGTCACCCTACCGTTCCTGTCACCGGCGTTTCGACGGATCTGCCTGCCGTACGTACCGGCGACGGACGCGCAACACCGTAACGTGATGTCCGCTCTTGGGAAACGAACGAAGCGTTCCGGACTAGTCGACCTCGGCAGCGGGGACGGTAGAATTGTCTTCGAGGCTGCCAAACTCGGGTTTGTGCCCGCGGTGGGGGTCGAACTGAACCCTTGGCTGGTCGCTTATTCGAAGATCCGAGCGCTCGCCACCAAGTCGCCGAAAACTTCCTTTCTGCGGATGGACTTGTGGAAATTCGAGTTGTCCGGTTTCGACAACGTGGTTGTCTTCGGAGTCCAGGAGATGATGCCTGCTCTCGAGCAGAAGTTGGCGGACGAACTCAGTTCTGACGCTTGGGTGATCGCTTGCAGATTTCCCTTGCCGTCGTTGAAGCCAGATTTCACTCAAGGGACTGGCATTGACACCGTTTGGGTTTACCGTATGTCGACCAGGGTAAAATGAACCTACGATAACGACACCGCACCATACTCGCGATTCGGCTTCGCGGCATTTTAGTTTCATAAACTTACCATTCATGGCCTATAACTGAAGATGCTCCTATGCAAAAGGCAAGTTCGTCTGCTTCAAAGTTTTGCAGGGGTTGAGGTGACTTTGGGACGCCGAGCTCCAATTAAAGGATAGTGGGTAGACCTCAAAGCAAGCTGCGTTGTCAGAGCTCGGCGTTGTAACGTCACCACAACCCCTGCAAAGGAAGCAGACGAGCTTGCGCTCCGGTCTCAACATCCAAGTGCAGTACAGTAACAGGGCACAACTTCGTTGACCAGGCTCAATAGAATTTTTTTTTTTGTCCAATTTTAAAAAGATGAGCATGCTAGAACACCTTACAGCTTGGGTCTCCTAGTGATAAGCAAATACAGTGGTTCGCAAAGTACAAAAAAATGTTGGATTAGACAAGCGAAGAAGTATAGACCGCCTCCATTGATTTGTTTGCTTGTTTCTTTTTATTTTAAGAACGGAACTATGAGCAATATAAATATTACGTTTTAAAATCTGCACCGCCACAATCATTTACATCTTGTCCTTTTCTGTAAACAAAAATAGATGCCAGAGTAGTGCCTCCTAGGGGGAAAAAAAATCCAAGAACGGTTGATGTCCAGCAACAAATTTCTTTTTTTTTTTTTCTTCAACAAGACAGTCTTCATAAGGAAGGGGAGGGGGCTTTCGATCTATCAAACAATTCGTGGTTTTACCTAAAGTGTAGCCATAGATTACAACTGCCTGAAATCGAAACAGAAAGGGGGGAGGGCAGGCATTTGCCAACTTAAACTTCCAGTGCCAATTCTTATATACCATATTTTGGTGCCCACCCAGACAAAATGCCACACCATGCGAGTAGTGCTGGGACAAAGCTAACCATTCCCGTCATTGATCCGGAACAAATGAACACAAACCAAGGTTTAGATATTAACACGCAGCCTGAACACAAAACTGATGCATTCAAACTTTTTAAGGCTATACACGTCAGCTCACTCATTTTAAATTTAAAGGCCTATCCATAGTAATGAAAACAGTAGTAAACTTAGCTTTTTGCATCTAAAAAAAAAAAACTACCCTATACAGCTGCAAAGATCTTTAAAAAAAAAAAGGTCAAATTACAAAAAAAAAAAAAAGAAAAAAAAGGCCATTTTGTTATTACTAGGAGCACGGCATCAATCCAGTTTGGAGGGTGGACTACGGGTTCAAACGGTACGACTACAAATGCATAGGCACGACAGAGACCGAAACCAGAGCAACACGGTCGCTCACTAGTCTCGCCTCCTGGGAAGATCAAGGAAAGTGTAATTCAAAAGAAACGCGTATATATGCGGAAAAAAAAAAAAAAAAAAAGGGAAAAAACATGGGAGGAATATCAAGCAATCTAGAGGAAGCATAAAAGTAGTTCCAAACCCACTCGGATAACCGCAAGGTTCAGTCCCGCCCAAACCTAACGGCACCGTCCTGGGTAGAGCAGCAACACCATACTGCATGCACGTTGTTCAGACAAGCGATCCAGAATCGCACCATCTGGTCCCACTGGCAGACAGTCGACCAATTCTGCTTGTAGATGGTATGAAGGCTGTTCACACTTCGTTGACCGACCATATTCATGCAAAAATAACTTTCGCAATGCAGTTTGTCTTGAAGCAGTATTGCAAAGGTACGACTGGATGCTGTGGAGTGCTTTTCTCGTCTCTGCAAGCAGAAGTGGCACACATTTGCTACCTTGGCAGGACAACTATTGTCACCGACAAGGTGAAAACGGTAGGGAGGAGCTTCAGTTGTTCCCCCTCTAGCGCAAGCTTCCAACCAAAGCACGTCGAAAGGCATGGGGAGCATGCAGGAGGCCGAGTGTTCGAAAGACATGCTCTGCCATTTTCATTCCATCGGCAACTATAGCTCATTAGAAGACTCGTCCTGCCTGCTCCTATTTGCCCTCTGTGCTATCCACAATTCAAACACCGTAACATATCTTCAAGCCCTTAGCAACCAGGGTTAAGCTGCTTCGCAAACCACAGGTTTATTACCGTAGGCACTATAGTGGTGCGATAAATTTTTTGTAATGTGGAGCGCAAGTTTGTCTGCTTCTTTTGCAGGGGTTATGGCGATGTCTGAATGCCAAGCTCCGATTGGCCGAGATTGAAGGATAGTGGGTAGACCTCATGGCAGCTTGCTTTACCCACTATCTTTCAATCGGAGCCAACCGGAGCTCGTTGTTCCGATGTCACCACAGCCCCTAGAAAAGAAGCGGACAAACTTGTGCCCCCATTTCTGATCCGTAAAATTCACGAAAGACGGGTCGTCTTTTAAGACTTGTTCGCAGCGGGTCACCGAATGCTGAAAAAAAAAAAGCGTCTAAAAGGCTCAGCGAAAAGGATTCCTGGATCGGACGTCGTTACGTGTGTACGGGACTGCACGGTGCATTTGCTTCACCCTTTGCCTTCGTTCCACACAAACTGAAAGCGACACTCTCTAAAAAAAAAAAAAAAAAAGACAATGAAACAGTGGCAGCTCGTCTACTCCAGAAAGCAACGTCCATGCATCTAAGGAAAATGCGGAACCGAGAGCCGTAGGACTTCCATTGCACTTTTCTTCATGTGTCTTGCGGTACACGGAGGCAGCAAGTCCAGTCGGTCAGTTTTGAGGCCTACACATTCACGCCCACACACACGCGCCAGCCTGTAGCCTAAGAAACCGCAGGGAAACCGATGCCACCCGATAGTGACGGAGGAGGCACGGGCGGATGCGAGCCCCTTGTTGCGCTGACCTGTTTCCCGTGCTCTCGTAGCAAACACGTTTTAAAAGACGAAAAGAACGGGGTGGGGAAGGTGGAATGCAAACGTTAGAAAAATTACACTTACGTCTAAGATTAAAAAAAACGACCTTAGCGGCTAGTGTACGAGTGTCTGCGCTCGCTATCGGTTACGGAAATCAATGCCCTCAAGCCGTAACGCCAGCGACGGAAAAGTAGCGAAGTTCTCGCACTAATTAACAACACCTAAAGCTCTTTGTAAATAAAAAAAAAAAAAAAAAGAAACAATTTTTTTTTTACAGGTCAATAAAAGTTTAAAAACAGAAACCGCCAAGCATGCTTTGGGACCGAAAAACAACACCCTCCGCAGACAGTGTAACGAAAAATGAATGGCTAATCTTTCCCGCACACCTTCGAGAGAGGGAGAGAAGGTAATAGTGTAGTCACCCTGTAGAGAGAACAGACTGCCCTCTTTTCCCTTAGAAGAAAAAAAAAAGGGGAGGGAAAAGCGGAAAGAACGCAGTGAGCCGTCACGGCTGCCCCAATCCGCCCTCCCCCTACTTTTTTTTTTCTCTCTCCCTAAACTGATCCCCACCAACCCTAGAAAAGACAATGCGGCGGCGACGACAGAACGGTCTCTCCCGAGTGCCAGACTCCGGCGAGAGAAACGACGCCACCACAGTTCCTTCCTCCTCTCCCAGGTGGCGCGCCGGCGGCCGAGAGGGCAGCCGTGGCTGGCGGGCGGGAGAATGAACCGAATGTGTCGCGAAAACAAGCGCCTAGGCTACGGCGACGTGGCGCATGCGACGACGGGGGAAAACGAGCGGCGCCGGGGGGAGGGCGAGCTGCTGCGTTGGTGAGTGATGGCGCCCGGCCTCTCCTTCCTTGTGGAATGGTCTTTCAATCCTCCGGGCGGCACTCCGCGTCCCTCTCTATCTTTTTCTTCTGCTCGGCCGCTCGTGCCGCCTTCAGTGCTGCATTGCTGCCGTGGTGAGGGGGGCAGCCGCCAGGGGGCTCTGGGCATTGCCCCCTCCGCCGGAGGCCGGGGCCGCGAGCCCGTCCCCGTCGATGGCCTTGAGCTCGCGGATCTGCTTGATGAGGTAGGCCTTCTCGTCGTTGAACTGCTCGTCGTCCGACCGGTCTGTGTGGAACTTGGTCAGGAACTCCACCAGCTTGTCCTTGTTCCGCAGCAGGATGTCCAGGATCGGCTTGGGCTTGTTGGGGTTGGCCACAAAAACCTGCGGCAACACAGGACGCAACGGTCTGTCACACGCAGATTCGAAGAATCCCACGAGGCCTCCCGGCTACCCCACATCGCATCGCATGGCGCAAAGAACTGCGGGGATCCTACGACGTACGCTCGGGCCGACTCGTATACTCCGTACCTCCTAGAAGCGGCGCAATTCCTTCTTTCTTACCACTACGAGTTTCGAAACACAAAGATAACAGAGCTAACACATGATAAAGCCGATGGGTGCCCCGTTTTGCTGTCTTCCTGCCTTCTAAGATCGCAAAGTGCTACACAAAGCTGAACAGCTTTTATTCGTGGGACTCGTTCACACGCCGTACATGGATTGCCGTAACACGTCGAGAAGACGGCATAAGCGCTGCATGTTTCCGGAATGGTCTGTAGACCTTTTACAGAAATCTCAAAGGGGGGCAAGGGATTACGGGAGCATCTGGTACGCTCCACCGCAGCGTTAACCACGTGACACGGAAGAGAGCAACAAGAAACAGAAGGTAGTGTAGTTGCTCGCCTACCCTCGCCCGCATATTCTACGTTGTCTGCTACCGCTGGTTCTGTACGGGCCATTCTCGACGTTCCTTGCGGCACCGCGGACAGCCCTGCACGCTTTGCAAAGGTCTACCGAGGATAACGGGCAAGGAGCCTGACCCAAACTACGAGAACTTCTCACACATAATATGTAACTCAGCCGTAGGCACTAACTCTCAACTGTACTGGTCCATTTCATCCCCCTGGCCCATATTTGGATGCTTTCCTTCTGCGGCCTTGAACGCCATCACTCGTGCATAAAAAGTGGGAAATGGCATTGTCTACTAGAGAGGCTGCATATTGAAAGGTCATTCTAATAGCTAGAGCTGATTAAATTAAATATATTAAGGCTGCAAGAAAGTGTGCCCAAATATTTCACTAGGTCAGATTCTTCCTACAGAATTGCCCATCGAGAGAAATATCCTATGCCGTTTCAGTTGGTAAACTCGGTGTAACAATCACCAAAGAGACATTTTTCTGAGCCTTACTTGCCAATCACCAAAGAGACATTTGTCGGAGCCTTACTTACATTTCCAAAGAGACATTTGTCGGAGCCTTACTCCCATTTATTTTCAGGTAATATGTGAACTGGGGAAAGTGAGCAAATGTATCTCCCAGTTTTTGCAAGCTCAATATTTCATGATAGCAATCTGGTGTCTCTCAATACTAGGTGGAAATATGCCACAGGTTTGAAGCAAGACAAGGAACGGGCAGTGGAAAATGCACCAGCAAAGACCCACCTTGAACACGTGGAAGGCTTCAAACTGGATGTTGCGACTCTTCTCCTTGAGCATGTTCATCATCAGCTTCAGGTTCTCCGGGTTGCTGATGTAGCGCGTCATGATGCTAAAGTTGTGCCTATCCAGCAGCAGCTCCCCTAGAAGCTGTGTAATTGTAAGAAAAAAAAAGCCAGAAAATCTTATACTTCGTCAACTCCCTACACCTAAGATAAAATTAAAAAGCAGTTCTTAATCTTTTTTTTTTAAACCCCTCAATGTGGAACAACCTGTATAAATCAGTAATACTTCCAGGCAAGATAATCTCCATAATCTCCGGCAGATATATATTAGAACAGTTTGTTTTAGTTAGAAGCTCAAATGACGAAAGAGGGAACTTTCGTCATTTGAGCTTCTAACCAATCAGACGTGATATCGTCACTTCTTTCACTTCCGTTTCTTTTTAGGAGAAACGAAACATTTGTCGAACATATATCCCCCCAGATCTTAACTAGAAGAGACACACCGTCCTCATCGCAACGCAGTAGATTTGTTCAGACTCCAAAAAACTCACCCACACTATGGCACAGTAAAAAGGCAGAGGAACTGAATAGCATAGTAATTTCCAATACAGCACTAACTTATCTTCATTTTAAATAATTATATTACTGGAAAAGCTAGAAGTTAAAAAAAAGCCTCGAAGCTGCGATTTCACAGCCCACAGTAATTCCAACCCAGATTATTATGTAATCTGGGTTGGAATTTATTGTTTTTTTTTTTTTAATTACCACGTTAATGAATTGATACACCCATTTTAAAAGAAACAACAAATATTTAACATAAATATTCCAGTTCAGCTGGAAACAGGCATCAGTCGTGGTGATCCATGCTTTCCAACGTCTGCCTAGAGCAGACGACGCGCCCACAGAAGCGATTATATAAATTTAGGCCTCACGCTGGCAACACGATTCAATCTTCACTGAAGCACTGAACAGTACCGCATCTTTTTCCGCTAGAATTGTTTTACCACCGATATTATGCGACAAAATAAACGCAAGAATCTAAGCCATCTCGCGCGCGAACGTGGAGAGCCTATGGGGCGGCCGTTCTCCTATCCCTGCTTTGATGATGATGATAGCGCGACCGTAGTGCCACCTCTAGATCGATCTTGAGGCCAATATTTTACATACAACTTGCTGTAATATACTACTTCTTTCTTTTTTTCAAATTGTTGTTATTGCAGCAAGAAAAGTGAAAGCAATGTTGCTTTCTTTTTTGCACATACCAATCAAAAATAATAACAGATGTTTTTGCGTGGTTTGCCCGTGTTGGCTACTAAAAAGAACCCTTGGCTCAAGTTGGCAATTGTGTGGCTTGTTTTTCTCTCGAAGACCTGGCAACCCTGCTACGACTGCACAGGGAAAGAAGGGTGTTTTAGACTTTGGCAGTGTGCGCGAGACATCAGAAACAAAACAATGCCAGTATCTATCTAATGTGGTGCTTGAGACTACACACATGAGACACACTAAAAATTCACCATAAACTGCGGAAGTTGGACACTGTGCCTACACATTTACCAGCTTTTGTACAACAACCAAATCCTAAAAAAAAAAAAAAAAAAAAAAAAAAAAAAAAAATTGTGAAGTTTGAAACAACTTTAATCAGCATAACTGCATTATTAGGAGTCTACGACATACTAATAGTATAGCATTCTTCCATAACTGCATTATTAGGAGTCTACGACATATTAATAGTATATCTTTCTTCCAAGTGACGGGCAGGGGACACTGACCTTGAGCGACTGCCGCTTGGTGACGTAGTTCTCGGAGATGAGCAGGTTTTGATAGTGGAAGAACACCTTGTCGTATTGTTGCTCCAGGAAATCTGCACACACCATCTTGTGGCGCGTCAAGAGTTCCTGCACAGAGACAGCTGGCGTCAGGCACTCCCATCACCCTTAAACCGAGTTGTACCGCCACAACTATTGCCCCTTGTTGTGAATGTTAAGAGGTGGTTGATGATTGACAATTCTAGAGACTATTCAAGCAAATCATACCCCCCCCCCCCCCCCCCCTTAAATAGAGGGGCTCAGACGTCACCGATCATAATCAATGAGGCTCTACTGCGACCCCCTCTTGGGTGTTCCAGCTGCTCAGTCCTATATGGTATGGAAGTTAGCCATTTAGCCTGAACAGTTAATCAGTCTGCAGTTTGATCCCAATGTTCTAAGTCCACGGTTGAATCTCGGGGGATCTTTGAAGGCATGCCATATGGACCTGGCATATAATATAAATGGACACAATGCGTCAATATGCACACAACTTGTGCAACTAGTTGAAAGTGGTCTGGACATATTCAATTAATAGAGTGGGACAGTATGCCCCTTGAAGTATCACTGTGCCCAAAATAATGTGTGAACGACCTGGTTTCCGTGGGCCCCATATTTCGTGAATTTTGGGAAAAGTGGGTTTAGAGCATATTTTACAGACACAAAATTTCGCAAATGGTAGGGGCATGCTATGTATTAATTACCATAAAGTAACATACACACATGATCTAATTTTTACAATATTTTTCAAGCCGTGAAAATTAAGTTCTCGCAAAAATAAAGCCATTTACAGTAATTTTAGTTAAAATCGTGGATTTCCCACATTTTTCCTCACTGTAAAACATCTCGCCTTGAATTTCACGAACACACAGGGCTTCAACTACTTGTTTTCATGAGGCACATTAAGCAATGTTTGAGGATGGGCTTGGCTCTGACAAGTGCTTAAACAGCACAGCCAAGCCCCCAAACCAGGCTCATAAACACGGGTGACAAGAGTTCAGCGAATGGCGGAGAAGAGGAGACGCACCTTGAAAGTGGAGAAGGCATCAGAGGCGATGTCAAAGGTCGACACTTCGACATAGTTGAAGAACTTGTAGAACTCGTCGGAATACAAGATGATTTTGGCCAGTGCTTCGTAGCGTGCGCACTCCCTCAGCATTGTGCCACAATTGAGTGCTATGTCCTGCTTCTCATACCTGGAGGCAGATAGAAAAGCGCATACCAACACACGTCAGACTAAAGAGGCCCGCTCCTGTACTAATCTATTACAAACTCTTATCCTGGTTAACTTTTATTTAAAGCTATAAAAAGCCACAAACACCATTTTAACATTGTGCTATTTTCCTTGCTATTTCTTCAAAAGATGATTTCATAGCCTCTGTTAACTCTTGGCACTCGGTACTAGTCACACGCATACTGAATGACTGATTACTGCCTTGTTTTCCCCTGCAGCCTATACAAAACACTCTCGATTGGATCATAAAAGCGGCAGTGCAATAATGACAGCACATTAAAACAAATTATACCATGCCCCATCTATTCTTTTTTGTGAAAAAATAAATGAAAAGTATAAACCTTTTGTTTTGCTTTTTCTTTTGCTTCAAGGGACACTAGACATACAGTTTGCACTCTGCATCTAAATGTGTGCTCGGTGTCCAGTTCACCACCTTGCTTTTATAAGCATGCAATTTTGACGTCTTTATTGAGCCCCATGGAGTACTCTGGTCACATTGTGTAATGCCATGTTCGGGTGAAGGTAGCTGGCTCTGAATATTCCAAAATCAGACAGATTCTCCTGTTAAGCTACAGTGCATAGTCTCGATTAGCACCACACGATTTGATTGTTAAGGGGGGACACTACCCGGAGAAAAAAAGATTCTTCAAAAAACATTGATTTTGTAAAATTACATATTTACATCCATCTACATCCAGAGAGTATTCCCAGAAATTTTCACTAGTTTACACTGCATAGTTAATTTTTTATAAATTATTTTCTGTCCACCAAAGCTAAAGGAAAGGTAGGGTTTGAAGCACTTTGAACACATTTTTCTCCGTTCCACTTTTTGGTATAAATTCCATTTTAGTCAATCTATCGTTTGAGAATGGAAATACAGAGAAGGCTCGTTCTTCACTTTTCCTGACTGAAATTTAATAAGGAATGCGTCTATGGAGTTTGTTTGTCACTTTACGGATGTCTTTTATAAAAAATGTTGACATTTTGTTGGAGACACAGAAGACCAAAAAGTTGACCAATTTCGCAGAAGAGAAAATTGATAGAAATCAATTACTTTTTACAAAAGCCTTTCCATAGGCGCACCTCCTAGGCATTCTGCTACATATCTAGCGAATAAAAATCTTTAATATTGTGACAGTTTTCTGACGATAGATTAACTAAACAGTGTAGGGGTGTTTCTGATAGAAGCTGCCCTAATTTCCTTCCCACTCAACCAACAGACCTAAAACTTTGTTATGCACCCTCTAGCATGACCACCAGCCTACCCTGTAAATTTCATTAATTTTAAGCAAAGGGTTCAAAGTTGACCCTCCCAGGGGGTGTCTCCCCTTAACCCTTACATTCTTGGGAAAAATAAAAAACGCATGCGAGAATGTTTTGTTTTATCCCAAAATATTGAGCTGCGCACCAAAACACATGCCGCTTCGCACGGCAATCTCTCAAGCCTTAATATTTTCCCTCTTGACTCACCCTTGGATGAGGGTGAAGAGGATCTCTGGCTTGGTGCAGATGTAGTCCACCGTGGGAGACCTCGTCCCAATCTGCCGCCGCAGGATGTTGTTGAAGATCTGCGCCACATCCTTCTTGCCCTAAAGGAGACGATGACAGAAACAAACAACCTGAGAGCAGCTCATGGGGAAAATCCCGAACGAACTTCCCTCCCCGAACAATTTCCATCCTGCTTTTTCAGCTATCTGTCAACCTAAAACTATGGAGACGTCGCTCACCCCATCAAATTCATGCAATGTCCATAGGGCCAACCTCCCAGTTGAAATGCTGCCGGTTAAAGGAGAAGGTGCTGGGGCTCTGAAGGTTAGAGGGAGATGCTGATTGCACCTTAAAGGGACACTGACACCCCCCAAATTTTTTTTTTAATTTTTTGCCAGGCGCTTCATTATGGTGTCGGAGGACTACCCAATTAATATTTTGCAACAGAGTAGCGTATTTTTTTAATAAAGTCAAAAGGCGCAACTGCTCGAAACCGAAACCGAAACCCGACGGAGGTCGGAGGAGTGGAGAGAAGAGAGTGAGTGGCGGAAGTCACGTGGCTACACCCGACCGTGTGTTTTTTTTTTTTTTTTTTTTTCTCCTTCTTGGTAGCAGACGACATGCGGCGTTTGGGAACTGCTCGCCGTGGGATTCTTTTGCAGTTATGTATGTTCCGCTCGTTGTTCTCTACTCCAAGATGAGTTGTTTTGTACATTGAGGAGTTGGAGATGAGTAGTGAGTGCCCGTGGTAAATTTCCATGATCGGCTCCGAAAAGAATACACCCAAGATGTTGCGTGAAGAGCTGGCTCACATGTCCCGCGTCCGAAACAGAAGTGGCGTTGTGCGACAGAGTTTCCGAAAGATCAACGGGATCGGGACCAATGGCTGGCTGCAATTCCTGTAAACCATTTACGGGCACCTCGGAAAGCGGACGCTACCTGATTTATATGCTCCTTGTATTTTGTGGAAAGTGATTACATTGAGTTCGCAGGTGTCAAAAAGGATATCCCATACCATCTAATTCAGCGACGTGTCGTCCACAACATTTGTTTCTTATTTTTTTTTTTGTTTCTTCAGTAATAATTGTAAAAAAAAGAAAAAAATGTAGACATCAAAAAATATTAAAAAAAAAAAAAAAAAAAGTTTCACGGGGGATCGAACCCAGCTCTACCAGGTGCGAAGGCGACGTCTTTCCCACTGAGCTACTGGGGCATATCGAAAGTGGGGTAATTTTTTCCTTGGTAATAATTCAGCCGATAAACTGTAAGTTGGAACGTTTGCTGCCGATTTTCCTCTAGCAAAAGCACTCCCGGGTCGAAGTCGGGATGCACCACGCATTGGCGACATTCTCACCTAGTAAAGAAATCGTACGCGTGCATATTCCACTCGAAGTAGACACGTCGCGCTTGACGTTTGCGCGAGCGATGTCTTCAGCCACAAGAAGGGAGCGACGGCTCGGCGACGTCTTCGTGCAAATCGGCTTGGTGGTCGGGCGTGTCGTACGGGATGAATACCAATTCTTTTGACCAGTCCCAAATTTCTCTTTTAAAGGCAGACAAAATTCGCCGGTACCGCGAACGACAGTTCTGAAAAAGAGGTCCCACGCCCGTCGTCCGCTGCCATCGCCGTCCCTGCGAGTCCCACGATACGCGAAACGACGCACGCACAGAATGCTTCCGGTTGTCTGTGGAACTTTTTTTTCAATCAACGTATTTGCAGCTTTTTAGAAGCCACAAAAAATGGGTTTTATATTTTTTTCTATTTTTAATATTGAGTGTGTGCTTTCAGTGACCCACGACTTTGATTAAATTTGGTGGTCGCATCGATACCTTAGAAAACGGCCCGTGACCGCGGAAAAGAGAGTGAGCGAGACTCGAACCGGCCAGTTCTTGATCGGCGGTTTTCGGGCGGAAAGAAACCGAATTTCGAGCCGCAAATTCTGTTCTGGGTAGTTGAGCTCTCATATGTCACGTACAACTAAAAACCTCGGCGAGCATAAATACCCTGTCAGTGTCCCTTTAACAGGTTCAAGCATATTTTACTTTACTACAATTGCAATGTACCAAAAAATGCAGTAAACATACATGAAAAAAAATAAATAAATAAAACTCCTACAAGCAAGTTTTTAAGATTTCTTGATTACCATTTCATACATTGGTCTATTGTTTTTAAATGTGAAAACAAAATTTTGAAAATAGTCCTGGAAATTTTTGAAGACACTCGTAATAGTTGGTTCTAAATGTGCAAGAAACATCTTGCACCACAGAGCAACATGATATCACTCAAGCTACCCTAACACTGCCTCTAAATCTCAGGAAGTTGTATTCCTGAATCGTGACGATCGCCGATTGCACCCGCCCTGCACTAAGCACCAAAGCCTATGATAAAATCAAGAAATGAACCGTGAATATTCTACACCTGGCTTATTTATTGGTTCTAATCAAGCGGAAAAAGCGCTTGCCCACCTCGAAGTCGATCTTGGACAGGTTCTGTATGAGCAGCAGCAGAAGGTTGGAGTTGTACAACTCCTGGGCCAGCTGGGCCACCACAATGTCCGTCTGGGGCTCCGTGTCGCTCGTCCCATAAAGCATGTTCTTCATCATCACCAGGTGCTTCGAGACATCCTCCTGGGCCTGACCAGAGACACCCGTGGGGATCACACATTCGTAGGCACACATCTTACTAAAAGAAAGATCCTTCTGGCAACTCCAGCTGGGAAAGCTTCCATGTCTGCACTACTCTCGGAATCAAGGCTTACAGTATTGGTATCCTACAAAACTATGGTGGGAGTCTCAGCTCCTCAGTGTGTTGAAAGCGGGTTTTGATGAAATAATTGGTTCTTGGAATGGGTTCCTTAGAGTCTTTTAACATCTTCTAGAGTTACCCAGGAGGACAACCGAAAGTGCTTCTCCAAAGATCCATCAAGTCCCCCTAGAAGTCCAGGAGAACCTTGGTGGACCCCACTATGCTCTGTTTCGCGACAACTTGGCAAACTGTGGAGGCTAAGAACCCGCGACCCAATAACAGCGTCGGAGTGAGGCACGTGACCCAATGTCACGGGAGCATTTCTGTCACCACAGCAAATGCGAAGCGCGAGGCCCGAAGGGTGCGGCTGTTGCCTGCTAGCCAAGAGTCGCCTGCTCCGAAACCAACCAACTTTGGATGAACGTCCACCGCAGCAACATTTCTATCTGCTAGACTAGTGAGCACTTCAATAAAAGCGTATGATGCAACCATACGCTCAATTTAGCCGTGAATATGTGTTGGGTGTTAATGCCAGGGCACAGTGCAATGTTTTGAGCGGAAATGGCTTATTACACGGCTGCGATCGCAAACGGCCAAGGTGCTACAAGGCGAAAAAAATCAAGCGGGTACGAAGGTGGCGTCTCTTATTTGGTTTAAATATAATTAAATCTCGTAAATTTATGATTATTTATATTTTATATCTTCTCGTTATAGATGGAATCTCGCGAGTTCAATTGCCGTTAAAAGAAAAAGAAGCCTAGAACTATTTTTTGCCGTGGAGGGCTCTGGGCCCAGATTCATAAAAAACCTCTTACCTACGACAACTTAGCTACGAAGTTCGTAAAGTTACGATCATCGTAAGATGAGGCGAGAACGGTATTCACAAACGCGTTCTTAAGTGAGAGGAGGAAAGTTACGACCTCTTACGGAGAAACGATGACTTCCGGTGCTGTTGCTATGGCAACGGCGTCTTCGGCAAAACGAACAACCAATTAGAGAGCTAGGCATAGTTCGGAGCACGTGGATTTTTAATAACAAACACAGGCTAACCACTCGTTGATAGACAGCTCTGTGTATGTCCTGTCCTGTCTGTGTGTAAATATGTAGTGTTCAAGCTGATTATCATAAACACAGGCGACCTTTCCACCACCGCTTGTCTGGGGTTCGTGTCCCCTGCAGTGGTATGTCGACGCTAACACGATTTAAACGCTTCGTTGACTGCTACAAACTCGATCGCTACGAAGTCAACACAACTGTCATCGTTGGTAAAAGCCCCGTGCCAGTCGTTTGCAAAGCGACGTAGAAGGAAACAAACCGCCGCGGCGTTTCTCGCGGCCTCGGAAATGCAGGAGTGAGCCGACGTTAAAAAATATACGTTTGAACTACGAGAGTGTCAGCAAGAGTCACGCAAATACCTGTTCACACTCGGAGCGGACGCGTGCGTTTGATCGAAGTGCTGGATTCAGACTGCGTTTCGGTAAGCGCTTCGGGAACGATCTTCTACGATTGCAACTCGATACTGACGTGACACTCGGCAAAGAAAGGTTGGACCGGCATCACGTAGCTCCCACAAACTGATACAGCTCGACAGTTAAAAATGGCATACTAATAACAAAGTGTACATACCGTGTTGCGAAGGTAATCCATACGGCGTTTATTTGAGCTCCATATCACACAAAACAAGGAGATAGAATCGAGGAGTCCCTTTTCAAAGACTGCATTCGTCACCGCTGCCTCGGAAAACAAGGTGATCGAGATGATAAGGAGAATCGGTTGACCTCTGAAATTTAGTTTAGCTATCAAACTATTCATACGGGGAGGGTCCACAAGGGTCGCGCGGGTATGTTCCACTCAGCAAGCCAGCCGGTCGTGGGCAGACGGTCTTGGCCAAGGACCGTCTGAGCAATGCTGCGCCGGAACGGGTCGGAGTGCCTGCTAGGCCTATATATTCTGCCGAGCTCGCTTGGTCGGTGGGATCGTCGCCTTTGTTGCCTTTTCCGGGGGTCTGTGGATCCAGCGCTCATGTTCGTTGTGGTCGGTTTCAAGTACTTCTTCATTTTTTTCTTGCTGCTTGAAGTCGGTACGCGCAAGAAGAGCAGGTAGAAAAATAAATGTCCGTTGGGTCGTCGCGACCGAGGAACTGAGCGACGTTGTCGGCCATGTTAATTTGATCGTAGAAAGTGCGTAAGACAGCTTCGGAGCTGTCGTAGGATTTTGTCGTAACCTGCGCAAAAGTTACGACAATTCCGTTTCGAGAATACGGATTTTCTCTCAAATTTGTCATACGCATTTTTTCCGTCGTAAGTTCGCTTTGAGAATCCGGCCTCTGTTGCTGTGGCGGTAATAAGGCCCAGGTGGCCTAGACCATGGAGTAATATCGCATGCATTGCTCCGGCGCCCTTACTGGGTCGAAGCCTCCACCGTTCACCAAGTTATCGTAAAACGGAGCATAATTTATCCTTCCTCTATAGCCCGTTGCCACTCAAGAAGGTAGGGCAAGGGAAAGGAAAGCGAAGGAAAGCCGGGGAGGTGGAAGCAGACAGAACACTAGAGAGAGGAGGAGGTTCCCCCCTTTCCTCCAGCATTCTGTCTGCTTCCCCGTCCCGGCCTTTCTTTCTCTCGCCCTACCTTCTTGAGTCGCAACGGACTATTGTGGGGTCCACCAAGAAGATCTTGGTGGCCATGAGTGAGGAACCCCACTACTGGATGGATCTTCTAGTGGGGTTAATCTTTTAAGGGACCCCCCCAGAGGGTCCATTAGGGTCCTTCAAGAAGTCTAAGAGGACCTTGTCGAACCATACTAGAGGATTCAACTAGTGGAGTCCATCTTCCAGGAGACCAAACCAGAGGGTCTAAAAGGGTCCTTTTAGAACTCCAGGAGGACTGTGGTAAACCCCACTAGAAGTTCCATCAGGGTTCCCCCGAAGTCTAGTGGGTACCTCGCTTAACCCCACTAAAAGATTTATTCTCCACTCTCCAGTGGGGTCTCTGTTTCAGAGGCCCCACTAGAGGATCTGTCATGGTCCTCCTGGAAGACCAGGAGGACCTTGGAGGGTGTCTAGGACTTCTAGGGTCCTGCTGGAGTACCACCAGGGATCTCATGTGAACTGCCTCAGGCAAGAAAAAAAAGAGGTGTTTTATGCTGAAAGTAACTAAGCCTTTGAGTAATGTCCCACAAGTTCTTTGACAAAGAGACCAATCCACAGTTTGAACCCTGTACCCTGCCCTATGAAAACCGAAACAGAGCCCAAGTTTCTTTTAAGGTGGTGGCTGTTCAGTGCTTTTATTTATCGACGGGGTTACAGTTAAAAGCGTTTGTGATATAAGAACAGCAAACAAAAAAGCATCAAAGTGTCATGATGGTTGGCTTGAGGAATTCCCTTGAAGAAAATCAGTTCAGCATAAAGCTTTTTTAGAAACAAACTATTGGAAATGTAGCTGCATAAATCCATCAGTTTTCCAGCTGGAGCTGCCTTAGATTTGCAATTACGAATGACCTGAAAAAGCAGATTATGAACCCAGAACCTAGCTCTCATATGATGTGAAAACAAGCTATATGCTAAGGTACACAGCCATGATCTGTGCAAAGAAATTCCTTCAGTTTATGTATCGCACATGCACATACTGCCTGCCATGCATGCTCATGGCATGAAGTGCTTGCCTCTGTAATAGTAATGTACCTCAAAACAAGCCAAGTTCAACGCCAATGCAAAGCCATAGGTGATTACATCTTCACATCAAAATCAAGCAAGGCCCCCCCCCCCCCCCCCCCCAAACCAAAAAGCCAAACCAAACCTAAGCCCCCCCCCCCCCCCCAAACCAAAAAAAAAAAAAAAAAAAGATTAAATCTTTTTTTATATAAATTGCTAACAGTAATGCAAGACACTTGGTCAAGCAGGAGTGAAACATTCCTTCCATCATCCGCAAGAAGACAAATCTCTGTCTATGGTAAGTTCAACAGCATAAAAAGAAATTTCTCCATGGCCGATCATTCTAATTGGCCGAAATTTCCGCCCTAAGTTTAGACCGACTAGCAATCAAAAGCTCCCAGTGAACGGGAAATAAAATAATTAATATGCCCTTTCCAGCTCCATTAAAATGCCCTTTCCAGCTCATCTCTCATGTTTTTGTTTCCATTGAGAAAAAAAGCTTGTTATTAGGGAACAATGCATATCTTGCTCTTCAACTTAACAATTAACTACAAAGGCTGTTCTTTAATATCTAGGAAACACGTCCAAAAGCAAATGCCATGTCTGGTCATTCTCCAGTATTGGAGTGTATACAAAGCACACATCCTCGCTCAACCAAAGCCATTTATAAAACAGAAAAGAAAAATGGGAGCATGCAGACACAACATGACGGCCGCAGCACACCCCGTAATCACAGGCGCAATGGAATAAAAGCAACCAAAGAGGTACCCAGCCTCCCTTTTTTCATCCTTCTAAACCCATCCTCCATGCCACATACAAAGCCATTTGCGAGAAGAGAAGTGCATGCGACAAAGAGCCCATAGCGAAAAAAAAAAGCGAGCGAAAAATCCGACAGACGCTTGTCATCACCGCTCGTCGTCGGCAGCGAGTGGGATCAAAACCAGTCGGAATGGGGTCGACGTCACACAAAAATCATGCCGATCTGCAACTAAATTTTATTTGCATTGTGCCAACCACATCCTTGCTGACCTGCAGGAAGGGGGCGTGCCCCACAATTTTACAGTAGTCTGTTGCAGGTTAAGAAAACCAGGACAATATCCTCCCATAAAGACCTCCCCTCTCTCCACTTTAGCAGGAGGAAAGCACCAATCGTGGCAAATAGAGCTTTGTGTCCTGATTTTGTTAACCTGCAACAGACCATGACATAACTGACAAACCAAAAAAAGAAAGAAAAGAAAAAGCTATTGATTATATAGTGGCTTAACTACCCCGAGCTAACCATCGGTTCCACCTTTACCGTTCCATTACAACTTCCAGAAAGACAAGGAAAAAAAGGAGTCATTAAAAGGAGCCAAACTAAACAAGGTAGCGGGGTAAAAAAAAAAAAAAAGAAGAAATTGCAGAGGTAAGATGGAGAGAACAGGGCCAAAGGCAGGCACACCCCCAGCCCTCCCCCTAATGAAGGACAACCTCCTCACCTCCCCAGTTGCAAGAAACAAAGGAAGCCACAGGCAGGCCGGCAGTACCCTCGAAACCCATCAATCTTCCTCAGGGGAAGAACAAGCAATAAGCTCAAGGCCTAGCCAAGACTAAAGTCAGCACCAATGAGCCACGTACAACAGCGCGCGACACTGTCACGCCGCGCACGGCCATAAAAAATGATAAAAAAAAAAAAGAGTGAAATAAAGGCTAAGATTTTATCCAACCTCTTGCCCCATCCCTCTAAATTGTGACAAGCACACTTCAAAGAAAAAAGAAAATAGAAAAGGCAAAAATATTCTATGCTCCCAATTTAGTTGGAGAAGAGTGGAGTAAATAAGAGGGTCACAAGAGAAGCGCCAAGGATGGAGCAATTCTAAAATGCATAATGCAACAGAATGAGTGACGGACCAAACACAAAAGGAGGCAAAAATTAGTAATGGGAGTGAAACAGTCTGGTTTTGAACAGGTTAGAGAATTTCCTGACATCCTAATGTGCTGCACTGAAATTTTGTCATTTCAGGGAAGTTCCTTTACATCATCATCACAGTGTGTGTGTACGCCTTGCTTGAGTGGCAAAGGAGTTTAAAAATTTCAGAATGAACATAAAATTTTTGGGAAGTTGGGAGTTAATCATCTATGAAACACCTATATAGCTAAGCATTTTATGGCATTGAAGTATAAGAAGCTAAACTCCCGTAAACTTAAGCAAAATGGATCTACTCTCTTCCCTGCAATTATCAGGTGCAATCACCTAATCGGGACAACACTCCGCCCACCGTGGAATGAATCCCATGCTACTTTTGACCTAATTTATTTATTACAATTTTTGTTTTGTTTTACTTTTCTTAACCCTCCACTTTACAACAGTCGTTTCAGCTCCGAAGTTTGTAGAGAACAGCTATTGCAAAAAGGGCATATGCATGGGTGGAGAGTGAGTAGTATAGTACATAGAGCGTCAGATTGATTGAAAAATTTATTAGAGCTTAATGGCACAAGAGAACATGATACTCTAATGCAACAAGTGCTTGAACTATTGCAAGACATGGGTTAAGTAGAGCAGAGAATGGTAGTAGCTGACAATGAGATAAAGCTATGAACATGAATTGGGAGTATGGGGTCAGGACATCTAGACTTTTGATAGTGGGAGGTACAGAGTCACTTAATTTAAATAAGCAACAAGAAATGTAAATTGTGAACCAATATCATATACCTTCTTGGATGGAAACCGAGGTTAAAAAATATTCAAGTTCCAGGCAACAAGCGACAAGCACTCCAGTCCCTCCCTCCCTCCCTCCCTCCCTCCCTCCAAAAAAAAAAAAAAAAAAAAAAAGTTTATTTCCCCCCTTCCAAATGCAACTTGAAATACAAATTTAAAAAAAAAAAAAAAAAAAAAAACTAGCTTAGGTTGTGAGCATGCTCGAAGAACTAAGCATGTTGCGTGAGCTAGCTAGGTAATTAACTAACTGCAAGGTAAAGACTAGTATAAATAAGACCTAACACATGCAAAAGGAAATTGAGAAAAGGAACTATAGTCGGTTACAGGTTAAGAAGCTAGCGGCAAATGCCCCTCAAAGGGAATCATATATCCCTCCGCCACCTCCACATCCAATAGCGTCCCATCGTTTCCGAGACGTCGCGGCCAATGCGTGAGGAGGGTCTTGCCTTTCTGTACATATTTGCTTTATCTCTCGAATTTGACTTAGGATTGTGGAAGCTACGAGAGGGAGATTAGAGTTTTCCCCCTCCGATGGAAACAAATACGACTTTCGGGGATTAGCTTCCACCTCCGATGGATACTAAGGCTGCTTTCAGGGGCTTGGTTCCCTCTCCAATAAATACAAAGGTCGCTTTCTTAAAAAGTGGGATCGGAGACAAGTTGGAATCCATTGAAGCGGAACAAGGAGCGTTTCCAGTGAACGCTTCTTTCGACTGCGGAGAGATTTGAAACGGGCGCATCAGCCTGGTGGGAGGAGCTTCTCCTACCTTCTTGACTTGTAACCGACTATAGAATAGAGAGAGGCAACAACATAAAATCTAAAGAAACAAAGAGGCATGAAGCATGAGCGTGGTGTGGCAGACTCTACTTACGCGTAGTGCTTTCCCCAACGTGGTAGGCAGCTTGCATAAACGAATGAAAAACTCAGTGGAATGACAGTTACCAGACGGAAACCGTGAACTATCTGAGGAAGCAGCACTATTGTCGAGGATGGTCACGTGTCAGACAGGAAGATCATATTAAATAAAAAAAAGACTACATAGTTCTACTTTGTACTCCTGCCTACGCTCGGAGGTTTATGTTTGGACCACTAGATGGACTCAATTTCGTAGAGGCAGCAAAGACAGGTTCAAACAGCCAGTGTAAGATTAAGTAAGTTATGGGGGTTTAAGTGCCAAACCAGCCCTTGGGCATCTTGGCACGCCCCCAGCGAAGGACTGGGACTGATTTAGACCACCCAGAAATCTTTTGACGTGCAGCCGAAATCTCAGTTCTCCGCAACAAATAAACATCAAATCGGGGACACAGAGACTGGGTACACAGCCAGTGAGGACACCCCTGCTTGAATCATTATAAGTAGGGCTCCAAGTTTTTGGTAAATAATGATAAATCCAAAAAATGAACCCCCAAGGCGGTTTGATCCAAATTGAGGAATACCGATTTTTACCTATGTTTACGCCCTATCTTGTGCTGACTCGAAACGCAACCCCCAATGAACTGTCCCCGAGGCTCCTATTTGCTCCGGAACCGCCCATCTGATCTCATTCCTTTGTCTTATTGGTGCGGGGTTGTTTTCAAAGTATTCAGGTCATGCGTATGTTCCCCGGAGGTTGAGGAACTTTGTGCCCATGGCCTATTTTCTTTGACATTAGCCCCAATAAACCCCAATTTCCCGTCATACCAAAAATTAATCCCGAACCCCCCCCCCCCACCCAGATTGAATCTGTGGGGAAAAAATAAACCCCGAAAAGCCACCCAACCCCAACCCCCCCCTTTCCTCCTCCTCCTCCTCCTCCTCCTCCTCTCTCTCTCTCTCTCTCTCTCTCTCTCCCTCCCTCCCTCCCTCCCTCCCTCCCTCCCTCCCTCCCCTCCCCTCCCCTCCCCTCCCCTCCCCTCCCTTTCCCTCCCTCCCTCCCATCGGAGAAAGATTCCAAAAACATAGAACCCTAATTATAAGGCATTTATCTCCAAGCCCAAGCCCCAAATTCCAAATAAAACGTAAAAAAAAAAAAATATTTGCACTACAATAGCCATGACAATGCGCAATATCTAAAGGTGGCGGAACGGTGACACACCTCAAGGTTTACTTCATGCTTTGCCCATATCACTCAACCACTGCCTTTGAACGTATGCGTATGCGGTATGATCTCACGAACATTGGGGCTGGATTGAAAGATGCTTCGGATGCAAGTTCCAGAGACAAAAACTCTGTAACAAAAGCGTTCCCAACCAGGCAAATAACCGAGCGCGAGGCATATAAAAAAAATCTTTCTAGTAAATCTTGTTTGCTGCTATCCTAATGATTCATACTTCAACCTCAAAATACAAAAAATAAAATGTGTAAAAAAGAAGGACATGGGAAGTGACATGCTCACAATCTTGTCCCCCATCCTGCAGTCCCCTTCAAACTTTTGCTTCAACAACAGCTTTCTTACACAGGCTAGCTACCCACACTAACCAACGCAAGAAACCATGCCAGAACGAGACAGGTTTTGAACTACCCCTGGCACAACAAAAGGTCGTCCGTTTACTGATATTCAAAAGTGGTGAGCCGAAATTCACGGGTTCCAACGTGCACGGACAACGAAGACCTCACAATGGCGGCTCCATTATCGATAGCGGGGTTTCCTTTGCCACATCTGCAGTATTGGTAGGGTCATGCTGCTACACAATGCAACCCATCCACCGCTTTGACTGGTGGCGTACAAACAAACGAGTAATCTAGGGCGAATGACCGGGGATTTGTTTTTGGAAGGCGAGCTGATCTCCATGCTTACCTTTTCCGCCTTTTTGTCGCCCCGCTCGAGTGCCAGCACTGCCTCCCGCAGGGCCTTGACCAGTTCACCGGGGCTCTTTTGCGACTTCCCGAACAGCGGCATAGCAGCTGCGGCCCCCCGGACTGCGTCCCCGTCTCGGCGGCCGGATCACTGCGGGCACCAAAAAGCGTGTCGAGAGTCCCCTTCCCCAAAAGACACAACCAAAGTAAAGTAAGCAAAAAGTAGAGTCGGCGAGGCGCTACTGTTGGCTTTCACCAACTTACTTCAACGGAGTCGGGACACAACAAAAATAAAATCTGAGGTAACTACATCGCTAGAACCGTGGAGGTAGGAAACTTCTGGAGGTGACGTGACACCATCTGACGTGATGTCAGAAGTGTGGAGGGACACGCCCCCAACGATGACCAAAATCACAGCTGTCTCAGTCATCCTCGAGTACCTGGCGCATCATGTCACCTCCAGAAGCTTCCTACCTCCATGGCTAGAACCCATGACATGTTACATCTTCGCCAAATTTCTTCTGTAAACAACGAGATAGTTGTGGATGAATTTAATTTAACTGCAAGGCCCTAGGATCCGCCCATTCAGGAAGGCCGCCGTGTGCGAAATGTCAATGCCACAATCTGCCTCGTCTCTCCATTTATCACGCATATATCTGCCAGTGCCCCAAGTGGCGCAGTGGTGCAACTTTGACCGACCACTTTCTTGCATGTACTCGCAGACTTGGCTCCCTGAGTGTTTGAGCTGCTTCAGCCTTCAGCTTCCTCATTTCTTTCCCGCATCTCAAGCCGATCACCCTACGTCATTGCTCATGTCATCCGAGTCTTTTGTCTCGGCAGCCTCGGAGCAAGGAGCATACTAGGGGGCAAGGGAATGAGAGTAGCCGCATAGCGTGTAGCATGCAAGCATAAGTATGCTAGCATAACTAAGAGAGCATTTAACTATAGTTAGTGACAGAAGAGGTGGCAGGAGCTTCCCCTAAACTCTTAACCTGTCACAAACTATAAAGGATTACAATCATGTGGTGCAGGGACCCCGTGATGCGAGTACTCTGGCCAAGTTACGGTTGGCATTGTCAGAATTGCCTGATCACCAGATGCAAGTGATTGACATTAAGAAGTTAGTCTTTGTAATTATTAGAGCTCTAAAAATCGCAAAACTTGGTGTGTATACTAAGTAACCTCGAGTAGTCATTTGTTTAATTTAGCGTCCAGATTCCTTTAAAGGGCCATAAAAAGAAAAGAGATGTTTTTTTTTTGTTTTTTTTTAACAGTTTGGTTGGGACACACGTGTCAAAAAATCAATTTTACGCAATTTTTTTTCTTCTTTGAGCAATAGTGAAGGCACGAGATTTATTTTAAATTCTGCGCACAAAGTCTATAACGTCATGGAATGATCACACTCTCTTACCCCCTCAACGAGATGGTCATACCCACACCACCTAAAAATAAGGCCGTAACGCTCCGTGGGGTTACGCCACAATGTCGGAGAAGGAAGGCCATGGCGCAACTACGTGAGAAAATATCTGGTATCGACGTGAAAAAAATGTTTCTTGTCGAGCGGCGCAGTGGTGTTCGTGCGCGTTTATCCGACATTAATATGTGGATAGGGGTGGGCAGTATTTAAAATACAAGTATTTGAAATACGTATTTAAAATACTTTGTGTATTTTGCATTTGTATTTAATTACAAATTGGGTAATGTATTTGACATGTGTATTTAAATACTAAAACGTGGGTATTTCAAATACAATTGTAATTAAATACAATTTTGTGGGCGAAAATACATTCTCAAATTTATTGTCACTGTCCAGAGCAGGAAGAAAACCATGTTCTGCACCGAATGTAGTGTCTCTCAATCAAGCACAAGCGTATAGTGACTTTGTGATTACGGTGCTATTTTAGGGCAAGAATAGTGACGAAATCGACGCTCACAGGCAGACTGGCTAAACAAGTGCCTGTGACAACTTGTGATGCTTTCCAGCCTGATTTCCATCCATATTTTTGCCTGGACCATTCTAAGTGCGCGGGTCATCCAGATTTTTGTAACTGGTGCGAGTTGCAACAATACAAAATTCTCTAGCTAGTGCTGCGCGTCTTGGTCGTCTCGATTCTTTGTTGGTCTATACCAAAATGTAATCGACAAAAAAAGCTGCTTGAAGTTCTGTACTTTTTTTTCACCTATTACGTCCAAGCTGATTACATTTGTTTTTTGTGATTATATTTCTATTACGGTACTAGAGCCTCGCACACTAACTCCCGAGTGTGCGATGCAAAAGTAAAACAAGATACCCAGAAACCCGTTGTAGGTGCCCTGAAGTCGCTGACGCAAATTTTGAGGAATGTATTTGGAAAAGTATTTGGAGGAGACCAAATACATTTGGTTGTATTTGTATCTTGTATTTAAATGCTTTTTTGGAAATGTAATTAGATTTGTAATTAAATACTTTTTTGACGAAGTATTTTGTATTTGTATTTCGATACATATTTGCATGTATTTTGCCCATCCCTGTATGTGGCGATAGCCACTGGGAAAAGAAGATTGTGTGTAATTCCATCGTTAACAGCAGCTCCCGACTGGAACAAACCGGTCAGGCATGATGCTGTCCATTGCATCATCAGCAGCAGTCAACCTACACACGCGAGGTCTCGTCGGCTAGCTCCTGAAAAGCTTCGCGTCGCTCAGCAAAAGTTCCAACACATGGTTGAGATCGGCATTGCTCGTCCATCCTCGAGTAGTTGGTCCTCTGCCCTCCACTTAATCCCGAAGAAAACAGGCGACTGATGGCCCTGCGGCGACTATCGCAGCTTAAACGTGGCTACAGTCCCCGACCGCTACCCTATCCAGTCAGTCGGAACGAAGCGCCAACCCACATAGACGCCTTGATAGAGTTCTATACATCAAGGGGCTTTGAAGCCGAGTGAGTGCTACTAACAGGTTGACTGAAACTGAGTTAGAAATTAACCCTTACGCAGCTCTTGCGCCCAATTCCTGGTTCACTTTGCGCTAACATCTAGAATGTATAGGCCTCGAATCATCTGCTTAACAGCATCTTCAACTTCTTCCTTCATCGGTAAACAGAAGGCCGCCATTAGTATAGCACATATGCCACTTTCAGATGATGATAATAGTGACCAAAGTGGCCAGACCGAATTCCGGAAAGGGTCTACTCAACTTGGTTTTTGTTCTTGGAAAAAGCGAGTTCTTAAAAATGTTGTGTTTGCTGCGGTATGGCTCTAGTGGCCTACTGTAATTAAATTGCATGGTCTGACGAAAAAGTCTCGAAGTACACACATATATACTCCAAATATGCCCACTAAACTTAACCCCTTAACAGTTTTTTTTTTTCATTTTGTTTTTAATTGTTTTATTTTCTTCTTGGGTTGCACGTGTTTCCACAACCGGTCGCCATCCTTAGAAACGTGCACAATAAAAAATGTGCTGCCATCTCTGAGCAACGCCGCAAACTAAGCTCTGAACGAGCCTGGGTTGTTCAAAACAGCCAAGGCGCGAGGTGGTGTGCACAGACTAGCTACGCTTGTCCTAAAGAGTTTGAAGACGGCTCTAGGTGGACAAGCCAGGCTCGTCCAAAAAGATTTGTGTGTCACTAAAAGTATGTTTCTTGACTCAGAGACAACAGAGCCCTCAGTGCAGTGAAGCACGGATTGGCCATTAATTAGTTAAAAAATGTAAGGTTAAGGCAGTGATAACACATGGTGCTGACATGAGCCTAAATCAACATGAATTGGCACATTTGCCAATATAAATTTGAAAATAACTATGACTACATTAACTTACCAAGCTTTTAAGGAATGTAACAGTTAAAATTACAGCTAGTGAGATTTGGGTGAGATTTTTTAAAGTTTATATTTACTAAAATTGTAATTAACTATAGCAAATAATTTTTTTTCATGAGTTACTTTACAGCTCCAGTTCTATGAAACTATTTTGTAGGAACATAGTTTAAGCTTTTTAAAGCAAAAAATGAATCCTTCAAAACGTGGATTTGTATGTAGTAGGTCTGTTGAGACTAATTTAATATCATTTTTAAATTCTGCTTCACCTAATGTATGTCAACATGAACAAGTAGACATCTTGTATTTCAACCCTTCCAAAGCCTTTGATTTAGTCAATCATTCAGTACTTTAACATAAATTAATCTTACGGCATGAGTACTGCAGTTTCCATCTTGTATCTCGATTACTTATCTAACAAATAATTTCGTACGAGTTCTTCGACATCACTCTCCTATACTTCAAGTGTGCTGCAGGGTGATGAAACTTGGACCAGTTTTTTTTTAACACCTTCATAAATTATTTAACATCCTGTGTTCAAAATTCAGTCATCCTGCAATATGCAGAGCAGGCAATATTAAGCTGTTTAGGCAGATCTCTTTAGAGGACTGTGTAAAGTGTGTGAATGATGTTGATTGTGTGTAATTGGTGTTAACATGTTGAAACTCAATCCTTCTAAAACTATTGCCCTGTCTTTGTCTAGGAGAGTAGAACACACTTTTTTTGTTATCAGCTTGACAATGTTGCCTTGTGAAGAGTCGAGAGCATGCATGACTTTGGTGTGTAAATATCAACGTTACTAAAACACTCAGTTGCAAAACTCGCCGCCGAAACCTGGGCCGCTGGCGTCCACCGAGACCGAGCTAAATATGACAACAGCGCCACTCTTTATCACTTGTCTGTACTGTGGTCACCTTGAACTTTTACAAAGCATGCTTTTGTGTAAAAACAAACGAAAAAGACTCCTTTTGCATGAAATTTATTAGAGTTTAGTACAAAAAAAATGGGCGCGTGATGTTTTTAAAATCCTTAGTTTGCAGGGTCTTGCGGCACATTTATTATTGTTTTTTTAAAATCACGCCTCAGCAGTGCTTTCAGGTAGCGCGTCCCGACCTAGGTGCATTTTAATTTCGGTAGTAGGTCGCGCCGCGTCCGCAAGGGGAGACGGGGGTGGCGTTCCTGTAACCACTTCCGCTGTCTCTGTTTCGGCGCCAAAATGGCCGATTAAAGCCAAAACAGAAGTCACGTGCAGTTCCTCGAGCGGCCACTGCGGGAGAAATGGCGGCGTTGTGTTCGCCATTAGCTCGATTCTCGAGGTCAGATTGGGGCCACTTTTTCCGAGCAGTTTCTATGGCAGTCTCCCAAATGAGTAGTTTAGTAACGTTGGTATATATGGACTCTGCATTGTCTTTCAATCTACATGTTAATAACATTCTCAATGCCTCCTTCCATACGTTGGGCATCACCTCTAGGATTATGCAAACTTTCCGTACGTCTTCCTGCACAATTTTGGTTATATTCTTTGCTAATACGAACCAAGGTGGAATTTTCCTCCGTTGTCTGGAGTAGCACTGGGTGTACGAGCCAAGACAGAATAGAAAATGTTCAAAAGTGCTCCTTTTATATTTTTAACAATTGGTATGTTGGTTATAAATTTTACTATGAATATCAAAGAATCTTAGATAAAAAAAAAAAAGTTACACAACCTCTAAACACTGTAACCGAGATTTTTCTTTTCTTTTTATAAATGTCTGCATGGGATAATTGACCCTGATCTGACATCATCTACCAACATTCATGTTCCGAGGCAAACTTTGCAAACCTCTCCAATGTTTGATGTGCATCAAGTTATCCAAACTAGCTCCATGTCTCACGTTTAACACATGTATAATAAGCTTCGTGTAGCAGAGTTTGATATTTAAAAAAAATCTTTTTGTTGCATTTAAGTCGTTCTTCACTAATGCACCTGATGTGCATCGTTATCAATACTTTGTTCATGAGCACCTAAGATAAATGAATGAATGAATCTCACTTTGTGCCTTACACAATGTTACAAGGGCGTGTGAAAATCTAAGGCAGGTTCCTAAGCCTAGCACACAACCCATCTGGAATGCAGAATGCTTGAAAATACTGAAGGACAATGAAAGCTATATCGTAAATAAAAAAAAAAAAAAAAAAAAAGACATCCTGGCACTTTATCATTCAAGGTTTTGCATCGAATAACATCAAAACCCTCCATTGTCACTGACCTGTCAAGATGAAATAATGGCAGATCACTGTCAAGCTGACATAGAAGTAACAATAGGTAACAACAAATAGCTGTTTATCACATTTTGTTTGGAGCCCCTATTTTGTCAGCTACAAATAAACTCCTCTTGATTCTTTATAAAAATATTAGGTATATATAATCAATGGTCATTTCAACAGAGTGTGGCAAAAAAAGAAAGCAGTGTTACCTGGCACAAAACATTTGAAGAAAAAAGTTGGAGCACTTTTATACACAATTTTGCAAGGGAAGAACAGACTGAAGGAGAGAAAAGCCTCAGCAGCGACACAGGCCATAATTAAAAGTTGTAGAAAGAAGACAGACAGGTGATTACATAAGCCTATTCACGGATTTGGGCAAAATACGTCTTAATACAGATGAACCAGTTTGTTTTGCAAGTACATGAGTAATACAAAATGAATCAGATCTGCTTTCCATTTTGTTCAGTGAGCAACAAGATCAGCTTTTTAAACATCCCATAAATCCCGTAAGTGCAAACTTCAAAACTGCCTGCTGTCCATCACGAACGTGAGAAATGTGTTAGCACCAGCCAACTGGGTGGTCTGATGGTGATGCCCTCTGACAACTGTTCCAAGTCTATTATTGGAATATTGAAAAGCAAAACCCTTAGTGTTTATGCTACTCCAACTAATACATATCAGAATAAATGATGGGAAGTGTTTTTTCTTGTACTCTTTAATCTACAGAAGACAATGCGTGGGTGGAGAGAACAGCTTTTTGGCCTGGTCAGCATATTATAGCCCCAGACCAGTGGAAATGAAGCACCACTGTCAGCTGCTATTCAACGTAACTGGTTTAAAAAACAATAAAAAAAACTTTGAACAATACTTAGCACGAAATGACTGAACTGGATGCTGCACAACGATTCGGCAGGGAATGTAGAATTTTATTTGGAAGGGAACATGGTATGTCTCAACGTTTTGAGAATTCATCGCATGGTCCCTGTGCACAGTTGAAGCTATAAGCACGAGCATGTTGTCCTGGACGATGCTTGCGTTGCACATGCTTGACAGGGACGCTGAAGGCCAGAAACTCGCTCTTGTAACTTGTGCTATGCTCGCATGTAGAGACCCGGAGCGTAGTATTAAGTCTCTCCCAAGGGAGACACCTGATCTTTCTTGGTTTCTGTGGTACCTTCCAGAACAGGTGGTGCACACCAATAAAAAGAGGTACTACCCTACACAAGATTCGACACTGCGTTTCTGCTAGTGTAGAAAACGACCTCTGAAAAATGACACGCGTAATTCTAAATTTTTCGTTTTTCTTTTTTACATTTTTTTCCAAGTCTTTTGCATGGACTTTTGGTCTTCCTGATGTCACCAGCGTTTCGGAGAGCGAATAAATATGACATTATCGCTACTACATTATTATGAAGTTTTGTAAAGAGACAGTACAGGCCTTTTGGCAACTCGAACGCTCAATTTTCTCCGGTTCGCGCCTACCTCTGGCAAGGAGAGACAAGCGCGTGGCTCCTCATTTTCTCCAAGAGCTAGGTACACCTACACTTCGTCATCGTGCAATTCCTCCTCTCCCCTCCCTTCCCCGCCGGCCGGTGAGCGCAGAATAATGTTGACTTCGGTCCAATACCACTTTACCCTCTCTGGTCCCCTCCCCAACCTTTACGAAAGTTCTCGCAATGGACGAAGTTTAGGAAGGGGCAAACAGTTTTAAACACTCGCATTCAAAGTTGACAAAACCACTGCTTTGAGCACCGTTTTGTGTATCTCCTCGGCTTTTTTCTTGCGTTCCTTACAAACAAGAAAAAGCTAACAAAAACAGTTGGTCGTCCTTCAGTTGGGTTGACTAATCGCTCGTGAAGCGAAACGCACGATGGATAGTAAAGTCGTGTCTCTCGCCTGGGTTTGGTTAGAAGTTTTAGTTTTATGGGTTTTTTTTTTTTTTTTTGTTTTTTCATGCGAGATATTGTTTGACCTTGCTGCCAACACGACAAATTCCCTGAAACTTTTTTTTTTATTCTTGGGGCGACACCGAAGCGCTAAAGAACTACCATCGACGCGACGTACGGGACCGAAAGAAACAACTGCACGACTACAATTGGATCTGGCGCCGCAAAAACGCTCGCCAAAACAGAAGAAAAACCATGTCCTTACAATCTAATGTTTTTTTTGTTTTTTTTTTCCTTTTTATGCCTTTTTTGTCTCGGAGAAAATTGTGTTCACACACATCGAGAGAATCGAAGGAGTAGCATCATCGGACCGGGAGTATATCACTGATAGTTTTCGCGACACCGGCCAACAAGAACTGGCAGTCCGATGGCGGCCAAAGAACTGGCTTGAACGTCGCCGACGACTCATTCCAAGTCAAGTGGACGACATCTGCGCGAAACGGCGACGAGAAACTTTACTGGCGCGTTCCAACGAAGACGAGGAGGCCTAGTTGAGTCGTCTTTGAGGCTAAGCCTAAAATTATTTACCAACAGTACGGGTCTACCTCGCGGTACCAGGCAACTTCGTGTACTGGGGCTTCTTTCGACAAAGCAACTAAGATCATGGAAATATCTTACCTCTTGTTTCGAAGTGGACGACAGGTAAAAACCTGTTTCGTGGGGTGGTTAAATCCAGATAAATTGCGGCTCAAACACACGACTTCACACCGGAGTTCATGACTGACGTAAACAGCTCCGAATGACGTTACACTAGTCATCGACCGATTAAGAGTGATGGTTTCGAATCTAGAGTCAAGTATAAATAAAATAAGTATAAAACTAACATTTTATAAAATATGTATATTTAGTAGTTGAGATTTAAAATGTGTGTTGATAAAGTATGCCAACATAAGCTAACTAAGTTACTAAATTGTGGCTCCTAGTCGTCAGCTGAATCAGCACGGTGGTGACGGTGGGGAATCAGCGGAATGGGTTCAAGAACGGGGTTAACACGGGCAGTAGTACGATCAACTTTGGTCTACACGAAAAAATACGGGTCGCTTTGACACCCGCAGAGTTTCGCTATACGCGGGAACAAACAAGAAACAAATCTTTTAAATCTAGGTCACTCAAATTAAGCAACCGTAAGTCCAGAGACACTATCCCTCCTCCTCCGTCTCGAGACATTTTTCCTCATTGAATCGTAATGCTGATCGAATCACCGTCTTGTCAACGTCATCCAGTCACCAGGGCAGCGGCGACCGTGGTAAATTCCCCTTTTAATTACGGTTCATAATCAAAGAGCCGCCTGCTCTGGGCTGTGCCGTTAACGAGGAGTATTTGCTAGAAACTTACCGAGCTGTTCCTGTGATGTCTGTGTGCCGTTCAAGTCGCCGCGTCTACTACCGTATGGCGCGTTGCATTGTTTGTAGATCATTTCCTTCATTGCACGCATGGAATGACTTCGAAGTAGGGCAGTCGCTTGCTCGTTGGAGCGGTCTTGTTTTTCTGCGCGTTCTCCGACCGTTTGTTGATGGTCGAATGGTACATCAGTATGCGGGGACGTGTGTGTATGTATGTCGCTGCGGCAAATATGTTACAGATGCAGGGATTCTGATGTCGGCTCGGTGACAGGAAGCGCCTCATCCGAATCGAGCGGAGTCAACAAGCCGTGATGCAGACCGAAATTCTCGCGAAAGGTGTGTGCTGCCACTGAGATGACACGTTTGCTCGAGTTGGCCGAACTGCATCGGCAGGTGGAACTCGAGCGTTCGTAACCGGTCACCTGTTTGGTTTAGAAGCGCTTATTACCTTACAGAACAAAGCCCCCTCTCTCTCTTTGTAACTTTAAAGGCACTTTTCTTGTTTTTTTTTTTTTTTAAGACTATTCTGTGTCTATTCTTGATTCCCATCGGATGGCATTTCGCAAGTGCTGCCATTGCTGGGGATTGACTTGCAGTTATATCTACTTACTGGTTCCTTCGAACTACGACTCCTGCGGTGTGAGACTAGCATGGTGAACAGAACGCTCGTGGAACATAAAATACCAGCATGGCCACGAACAACATCACGTGCAAGCTATGTATTGGTTAATGCGAATAAAATGCCATTATGATCAATGTTAGTCAACTAGATAGTAAGTTAATCTGATAACATAGAATAAGTTAATCTGATTGTATGCACAAACTTGTGATATAGGATATTCTTTTAACTTGAAGGACAAAGTAGGTGCATGGTACAGTTTTACAAAAATATTTGTCAGACTAGTTCACTGACAGCATTGTTCATCTCTTTCTGTACCACGGGTAAAACATTCTGCAGTGCAACATCCATTAGTAATTCAGGTAACATTTTGTGGGAATGGCAGCTATTTTTTCATATTGCTGCATTTTCCTCAGTATTGTCATGCACTGATTTATTCTGTCTGTTTTTATTTGCACAAAGTTCAGCAGGTCTACTCTTCATGTCTAATTGCGATGGAATTAATGTCAATTAAACAGCATTGCATGACAGTTCCCTGGTCATTCACCATTGTCCTGTTACATTTCCCTTTTACTGCAACAAAATTTTTCACAAAAAAAAAAATTAAAAAAATTACTATAAAAAATTATTTACCATATTTGTTATATAATTATTGTGAGGTTTCCCATCCTCTGACTGGAGTAACTAATGTTACATTAAAAGACACCACAAATGAAGAAGAAAAAAAAAATAAGTTAACAACTTTTAAAAGGACTTTTAAGTAACCTCAGTGTGACACAGCGACTCCTAAGGGATGACATCAAGTTTTAAAATAAAAAAATAATTCTACTTTGCCCCATTTCGGCATAACTTGGCAAAAAGCAAATGCAATGACCCTTGTGACCCTATTGGAGTGACAGATGGAAGCTTGTGACAGCTCTCTTCATAGGAATAAATTCCGACGATACATTGTCACATGTTTCACTTCAACGCTTCAATCGGCTCTCCCTTTGACAAGTTATGATAAAAAGAAAAGATAGAAACTAACTTATTTATTTTTTATTTAGAACCTCAAGGCTTTTTTTTAATGTGTTTTGATGCTTCTGAGTTCCGCCCAATTTTTTACGACTTTGAGTATGTGACATGCTCCTTGTGGTATAGCTATTCAGAGCTAAAATTCAGCTAAAATATGTCCATCTTGTCAAATTGTCTACCATAGCTTCTTACAGTTTACGTGTTTGTTCAATGTAACTTTGCAGTGTAGCGTACCTCATAATGTCAAACCAACTTGCCCAAAATCCAAGTATTGTTAGTCTTCAATCTTGCTATTTGAGAAATATAGCAGAAAATTTATCATGCAATGATAATGAATACATAGCATACAACTCCCAGTTTAAAAATTTCTGTGCCTGCAAAGTACTCCCCAAAGCTCACACTTGCAAAATTTGAAAAATATTGGGCTTGCAAAAATAAACTTGTCTATACACGTTTGCAAGTCTGGCTTCAGGGCACTGCCATCTTGCTCGGCTGGGGTACGCTTGGATGCGTCAAAATCCGATTACGAAGCCTTGCTAAGGCGTCTTAATCAGATTATGGCCGCGCCCAAGCACGGCCCAACTGAGCAAGATGGCGGCGCCCTGAAGCCGGACTTGCAAACGTGTAGATTTACCATATTTATCTGGACTATCTGCATCGGCAAACTGTGGTTGAAAGAAAAATGTTTTTCTGTAAATAGTCCATACCCAGTGCATAGCTTACACCTGGTGCCTGGTCCACACATAAAAAATTCTTTTGTGTAGCCCACCTTAAGAAATGCAAGTTATATTATGTCTCAAAGACGCTTGTATTATACATAAATCATCATTGATATACTGTCATTCAAATAGTTTGCAACGCATTAAATTTAAACTTTTAAGTGTGTATAGTTTGCAGACTGTAGTCCGGAAAATATGGTATATTAGTCAGCACAGTTGCCAAAGAAGGTCATCATTACTGATGCCACGGGGGCAGTGAAAAACACTGGCTTTATAACAGTAAAACAGGAGAACCAATTCCTCCCCAAAAGTAATGCGTGATAACTCTTGTAAGATTGAAAGCTGCACAAGCACTCAGAAGCTGTGGCCCTCCTCCTAGTTCTGATTTTGAACACTCGCATTTTCGGTCGCAGTGATGAGTGCAAGTTTAAGGTTCTGGGTTTGTTTTTTGGTGGGGGATGAGTATGTTGATTTAATTATGAGTAAGTGCTTGTGTGCATCATTTTGCTTATATTGCCTTGATAACTTAACTGGTTTTGCTGTGGGGGGTATGCGTGGGTGCATAGATGGACAGACTAGTGGACAAAATTCTGGGAGTAGGGGGTTCTGCTAAAGTTAGGTTGAAGAATTTCTGGTTTTAACCAAAAAAAAACACCGATAAACGTCTGCCAGTATCGAAAACACAAAACCGGTTAAAACCAAGAAAACACCCATTTCTGAAAATGTTTTTTTCTAAGAGAGGGCTGTTTTTGTCGAAACCCTCCTTTTTTAGATGCTTGTTGGGTGCATATTTTTTTTACCCAGAACCAAGCCTGCTATCAGTCAATGAAATCACAGACCTTGGAGGACAATGGCACGAAAGTAACGTCAGTTAGTTGGTCACCACGGATTTGACAGAATGTCCCTATTGCATTCAAGTCGGAGCTGGATGATGATGTCCAAGACTACACAAGCGGTTGTTGTCGGTTGAGTTTTGCGAAAGAAGCAAGAGAAACTTGGCCTTCCTCATGGCAAAAACATTTTCTTGCAAACATTGAAATTTTTGTCATCACACGGAGCAGAGAGGGACCAGGACACAAAGGAAACGAAAAGCTCCAGTTGACTATGTTAGAGTACTTGATTTTTGGCCTGTGTTCTGGCTTGTTGTTCATGATTTGCGAGTACTGTTGCACTGTGGGAAGTGCGAGGCATTAGGGGGGTGCATACAAATTTTAAATTATATTTGAACTCGTGGTTTTTCATGAGTTTCTTTTCACCGATAATCAGCGTTTCTAGAGTATGTGTGAAACAAATCGCTGAAATACACTGAGTTTTGATAAATAAATGGACACCAGAAAAATCTACGGCCTACCATAATATACCTAGAGGTGCTTCACCCCCGAAAGATAACCCATCCATGTTTTTGGCACGATTTGCTATTTTTTTTTCTTTTTCGAAAAGCCCAAAGATAGGCAATTTTTTTAGGAATTGCAGGGCCCTGGCCAATGGTGACTTCGGCAGAAATGGTGTCACTTAGCTGGGACCGGAGATAAGCGAACATTGCTCACTGGGAAAGACACCCGTCTTTGGTTCATCACCCCTCCCTGCAATCACAAAATCTCAAACTAACATAACATTTTTTCAACTTTTTTCGATTGCATACCGAAAGTTAGCTCACTCTTTATTTTCAACCGATTTGCTTTTGATTTTGAGTGGGCTATCTCTCAGAATATTACGGTAGTGATAATGTATTTCATGCATTAGAAATGGATTAGAAGAAGGGATTTCGACGATAATTGCTCGTCACGCCTTCTGTCACATGGGAAACTTTGTTCTGGCAGGAAAGGCACAGCTCCAGTCTGCTTTGAGGTCAGAAGGCGACGGAATGGAAGACGGCGGTACGACCACGAGTTTGGCCCCGCTGTGCCCCCCGTACTCTCCGCCCCCGTTGTCGTCGTTTCCCAAGGACATCCCGGTCCCGGTCAAGCGGAGGGAGCCCAAGTTCGTACCGTACGAGCCTTACAAGGCGGCCGTCACACCCATTGTGCCTCCGTCAACCGCAAAGAAAGGCCACAGGTGAGTGACCTCTGGGATCGCAGTGTTTGGAGGGGAAAGGGTTACCGAAGAATGTTGAGATGAGTACAGGCGCAGACTGGCCGGTGAAACATGCTAACAATTTATCCCATCTTGGAGACGGTGTTGTTCTTATTCTGCTTTTTACCCGCACCCGTTCGGAGGGGTTAAGTAGTTACTAAAAAGACTGCGCATCATTTTCTCATTGGGGTGTGCTTGACTTGTTTCATATGCCTTCACTTCGTGGTGACGGAAATTGCAGTGTCACAGTTGCCTCGTATGTCAGTATGTTTGTTTGATGAATGAAACTGACTAGCGGAGTAGTACTCTGATTTTACCAGACCTTGCACTCCTGCCCAACACAACAATCTTTTTTGTTCCATAAGTTGCCGAACACCATTTCGGTAGCCTGCAAGATCCCTTGAAACATTTTAACAGATTGTTAATATTTTTTTTGGATACTCAGAAATGTTTTGCTGTGTAGTCATTTTCGGACAAGTATGTACTGTATCCTCATGTTGGAAACAGCTTCAATTGGAGGATGCAAAGGTATTGGTGACCATAACCAGCTGAGATGAATCACAGGTTTGTTTGTCTGTCACAAGCCTTACCAGTACGAGTTCTGCATGCTGAAACAACCCCACTGCTCATTTTCAACAGATGTCCTTTGTAACAGATCCACAATGTAGTAGTGCCACTCCCGCCACTTTGGCACAGGTTGCAGAAGCTTGAGAGCTCCGGCGTTCTATGGATGACTGGGTTCTAGAACAAAACAAAAAGAGATTCTGAGATTTTTTTTTTTTTGTGGCACAAACTTAAATTATGTTAAATAAATATGCAAAACACGAAAGACAAACAAAGACATCAAAAAGATTGGACAGTTCAATCCTGTCTTCCTCATGTCCTTGTCTGTCCCTTGTGCTTTAGATATTTAGTATGTTGAGCCAACTATCCCACCTTAATATTTTAGTGCATTTCAAAGCTACGCTCTCCAGGCATCCTAGAAAACCTGGAATTACAAACATATGCATCATTTTTTCCTCTTAGAAAGGCTACGAAACATTGCGGCATGCCCTTTTTTCAGTATATCTCAGAATGCTTTTCTTTCAGGTTTATCTCTGAAAAAAGTGTGCCTTGCAATGTTTGGTCGTGTTTCTAACAGGGAAAAAAGCCATGGATGTTTGTGATTTTCTTTTTTTCTTAGGACGTCTGGGGTGCCGGATTGAGTTTGCACCATAAAAAGGCAATCTCAAAAACCACCGTAGTACCCGTTTAGGCTTTGCCGTCACATATGTCGACCCATTTTCAGAACAAAGCTGGCTGCGCTCGAGATTCCCTTTCCGCTGTTGAGGGACGGCTCAGCCGGGAAAAGAGGAAGCCAGCCATCCCCGGTGATATCGGTGGTGCGCGAGGTCCCAGAGGGCACGGCCGCGGAGGGTTCGGTCCCGGAAGGGGAGACTGCGGCCCGCCTGGCCTCGCTCCAGAAGCAGCTGGAGGTGCTGACGGAACAGAAGAGGGATGTGGAGGACCAGCTGAGGGTGCAGCTGCAGGTGAGCAGAGGCCAAGGCCAGCTCAAATGCGTAGACGTGTACAGGGTGCGGCACTACATGCGTTAGCGCACAGCAGCACCATGCAGGTGGATCGAAAGCTTGCACTGCAAAACCCAGAGATCCCTGGTTCACTGCCCGTTTTAATCTGGACAAGCATCGTGCCGACGTGTACAGTCAAACCTCGTTATATCGAACAGTGCGAGGACCATGAAATAGTTCGGTATAATCAAAATTCGATATACAAAATCACACCAAAAAAGCGTCAAAGTACTGCGCAATTTAATCACTAAAGGGCAAGCGGCAAAAATGGCTACTCACTGGAAACGCTAAGGTTAACTATTTATTCTGGTGAAAAAAACTGCCGCAGCGTAGATTGCTTCATGGAGTTGACCGCATGCCTTATTACGATCCGCTCCACTGTCTCCAAGCGGTCCACCAGCGCCAGACCACTACTGTCAATTGCACTGCAGTAGCGGCGTAAAAGCGAGACCGTCTTCCCGACAATGTTGTAACAGGCTTTGAAACGTTGTAGCCACCCGCTATACTTGCGGCAACGTTTTGTGCTTGGTGGATGAACGCGAAGTCCTTTGCTTTCTGTTGAAGCATCGGCCCCGACGCCAAAATGTTCCAAGCCCTTGTGTCCATAAAGCACATGTGAAGTGATCTTTCCACCTTTTCGAAGGCCGGTGTGCGAGCACGGAGCGCGTGCTTCGCTCAGCCTTTAATTTGATGTCGTTTTTCGTCTTCAGCAGCGTGCTCAAAGTGCTTCACGGTATGTTGTACGCTTCGGCAACACTGGACTTCTTTTCTCCTTTTTCAACACAGCGGATGATTTTAAGCTTTGCAGCAAACGTCAGCAACTTTACGTTTGTTGCCATCAGTACGACACATACAGTTGACGCAGCGTCGGAGGAACGAAACTGCGGGAGCCACGCACAGGGCCACAGGGCATGAGTAAGTGATGCTGGCGATACGATTGAGCTGACTGAGCCCGTATGCCGCTGAATCTGGATGGCGTTCCCATCACCAAAGGCATAAAGCTTTATGCGGGCACACGTTTGAATAAAAGTAGCAAACGCCTGCTGCGGCACCGCTATCCTACGATGTGTTGCGGGAAAGCCCGCCATATCCTCCAACGTGCTGCGGGAAAGCCTGCCGCCTGTCTCCATAGCGCTGCTTTCCGGCGCTGCAAAGTTCGATATATTCATTTTTTAACCGACCGAGTTTGCTATAAAAAGTTTAAAATGCATGTAATTCTTATGGTCGTTCGACAACTATTCGATATAAGCAATAATTCTCTATATCCGTGTTCGATATAATGAGGTTTGACTGTAGTCATGTGTCACTACTATGCTGCCGTTATCCTAGGATAACGGTGGTACTGCTCTGGCTAGACTTCTCATCTAGTACAGTGAAGACGCTAGATGCCCTTTGGGGCCGACTAACTTCCTGCTGTCTGAACTAACGTGCAAAACAGAAAATTACCATGAGCTGGTACAGCGGTGTTGAAGTTGGTTCGGTAGAAATGCCATGCTGGGAGCTCTAGGTACCATACTTGTGGTATGGTGCCTGGAGCGCTTCTCTGACTTGCGTCCTCAAATGTGGACACAAATGTATCCTCAAATGTGGTCCTTGGATTTCTGCTCGATGGCGTCATAAAAGCGTCGCACTGTTGCACGCCACAATCCTGGCGGTGGCATGACAGCAGAGGTAGATGCTGGAGACGGATGTTCCGTTCTAGGTTGCTCTGAAGCTAAACAGTCTACGAAATCTACTGCAGCAATGAGTCGGGAAGCCGCATTGACGGCGACTCTTGCATCTTCTCACCTTCGCACGTCCCATAATGCACTGCTAGGATCGCACTATGCGACGGCGTGACACTCCGGCTTTTGTGACATTGTTCATTGCCACTTCAGGGGCCTCTTTTGATGCTTAGGTAGGACGGGATGCCAAACACGCCAACCGGAGACACGTTCTAGGCGCCACCCTTTCGGCATGGACGCCGCCATCCTTGTAACTTCCTCTCCCCGCAGGTGAACACGGAGCTGAAGAAGCTGCTGGTGGCATCCCTCGGTGAGGACATGCAGGCCCGGGTGCAGTTCCTCAGTGAGGACAAGGCCAAGCTGGCCGAGGACATCAGCTTCTACTCAGCCAAGCTGCAAGAAGGCATGGAGGAGGTGGACCGCCTGTCCATCCAGTCGGACGTCTGGCGCAGCAAGTTCCTCGCCAGCAGGTGAGGACGGACGGGCCTTCCCTTTCCGGCGTACCAAACTACGGTCTGGTCGAACGCATCGTGGAAGGTCCGAGAACCCAGGTGGCAACCTTCCTCGAGGAGGCCGTCCAAATGCTCGGGCCACGTCGTGACAAGTGCCTCAATCTACGCGGTGAATACGGGGTGAAGTAGCTACACTATGTGTCCAAATTTTGTGCTAATTAAAACATTTTTCGTCACTCGTTTTCCTTTTTTAAAGCGCAGCTCTTAGGCACCTGTTGCCGGCTTGAGCAGCGTCGCTGTGGGTGTAACCGTGCAATGCATTATGGGACATGCGACGTCACTGATGACGTCATCAGTGACGTCACTGGTGACGTCATCCACATCGTCTTCGTCGTCGTCACTGATGACGTCATCGGCATCTGCATCGTCATCGTCACTGATGACGTCACCGGCATTTGCATCGTCATCGTCACTGATGACGTCACTAGTGATGATGACGTCATCAGTGACGTCACTGATGACATCTTCACGAGACCTCTAGGGGTCATGAACCCCCGTGAGGTCACGTGACCCTCGTGAGGCGATGGCGACGCCGCTCAGAGGGAGGAGTAGCAGACAGGATGAGGACGTGAGGAGGAGGGAGGAGGAGTATACTTTCCCCGCTGTACGCTTCCCTTCTCCTCAAGAGCTGCACTCTAATTCGGCGTTACAGGGAGTTGTAAACGGCTTTCTTTTTTTTTTACTTAGTTAGCTAAAAGCTTAAAAGAAAAGCAGGCCTATAATTTGTTGCAGGGTAAGAATAGGTAGAAAAGCTCCTCCCTCCCACAAAGCCCTCCACTCTTTCCACTTTAGCAGAGTGAATACTGGAGAGAAGGCGAGTGGAGAGGAGGGAAGCATCGATCATGGCATGCAGGGAGCTTTGTGGGAGGCACTTGTCCCGCTTATTAACCTACAACAGATTTTCGTACATTCATTTTTTATTTGTGGGAGCTTGACTGCATCAATGCGCCTCGCAGCCTGATGATTGACGAGCTGGCTGGCTGGAAGGCACGCCTGATGCACCAGTGCGAGGACTTCCAGGAGTCGCTGCAGTGGATCGCCAGCGAGCACCAGCACCTTGAGACCAACGTGGTCGCCACATACAGGTGGGTCATCAGAAAACAAGGGCCGAACTCGGTCCCAAAGCAACAGCTTTATGTGGAAACCATCCAAAGACCTTGCTAGCTTGCCCTGGTCCAATGACGGCGAGCAAAGCTATGGATAGAGTGTCGGCTTAGGAACCAACGCTCTTTCCAGTCGTCCGTCGCTTTCCCGTTGCTGACACTCCGATAGTTTGACACTCTCCCATGACTAACACTCTCTTATACAGCTTATTCGACTCTCGCTCCCTCCCACGGTTTGTTGTCGTAATGGGCGCAACCAATGGCATCCCCTCCCTCCCTCCCTCGACTCTGGTGTGTAGAAGCGAGGGTTGCCAAGTAGGGTAGGAACTGCGTGCTATCTAGTAGGCATGGAGGCAATTCATGGTCAGGTTGTGTGGGCGGGGAATTTTGGAGAAAACGACGCAATGCCCCCAAAGATGAGGTGCACGGATGAAGAAGAAGAGGTCTTTTGCACATTCACAACTACCGTATAATGGCGTGTAAGGGCTGCACCCGTGTAAGGGCCGCACCCTCCTATTTAGGACAAAATATTGCAAAAAAAAAAGAATTGGAGAAATTATTCGTGTATGCACCGCACCCCCTTGTTTTTGAGGCGCGCCAACTGTAATGCATGAAAGTTTCTATGAATATATATTGCTAGGTGGCGCTAGCCACCGCCCGAGCACGTAGCGGCATGTCTCTGCGTCTCCGATATTTGCTCTCCACTCATCCGTATCACCGTATGGCACAATGGCTGCCGACCTCGATCGTGGTCGGCCGCACCGTCAGGATGCGTTAATGTTTCGGCCGGAATACATTGAGAAAAGATAAAGAATATGTCAGCTTCCGTGGCAAGCGCGAGGAATGAGAATTCAGCAGGCTCGGCTCGCACGCGTGCACTCAGGTTTCTGAACGCCACTGTACACTCTGGGGAGGTTTTCTTTTGTTCTTCTTTTCGTGTCAAAGCGTCGTGATTTGTCTGCCTTTTCGCGCAATCAGTGCTATGGGCAAGTACCACTTCAACAGTCATACGGGATTCAAGTCAAAAGTTGCCGCGCATGCTATCAAGTACAAAAAAAGATGCGTACTGCGCAGTATGTAAACTAATTAAATCCGACTGACGATTCAGTCCAGATTCCGGAGTGAAGGCGTTTTCGACCAGTGCACCTAGCGCGCTAATGTAAGTTCATTTCAAAATGTGGATACAGGTTGTTTTTTTTTATCCGTGTATGGGCCGCATTTTGAAAATTTGCCCTCAAATCGGGAAAAAATAGTGCGGCCCTTACACGAGTTTATTACTTTGCCACATGTCACAGTGCACATCATGCCGACAGCAAGTGCTGCTCAATAGAAACCCCATTAAGTGCCCTCCTTGCATCTGACGGAATGTCTAAGTCAGACGATTTTTTCCATGTGGGGGCATCGTCAAAAGTTAGGTTTTTTTTTATTTTTTATTTTATGTACTACTATTAGGAAGTCACACTCTTAGTCAAATTTGTGTGGTGCACCTGTGCTTCAAAAACTTTCTTACATTGGAAAGCAAATAATTAAAGGCACATTGAAGGGGCTTGCCACTTCCACATTTCAGGTCACTAATTTGTGAGCGAAGAATTTTTATAGAACCATAAAATACTACCACGAATGCATTGCTTCCCTGTTAAAAATTGTGATGAAAGAAGTACTGTAATCTACTGTAATGATTACAAGTACTGTAATCGAGTACTGTAATGAAAAACTGGGGGATAAGCGCTTGTTAAATCCGAGCGTAAAAGTGCAGAAGGGGGCACTTGATGGGGCTGGCTTCTCACTAGCGTGCTCAGAGAAGCGGCTGATGCAGAGGAGCATCTCGGTAATCTAGATGGGCTCGGAAGTCTGGCATGGGTGCTTGATACGTCCTTTGTTTAGTTTTCTAGCATTCCAAAAATAGCGGGTGGGTGCTCATTGTGAAGCGGGTGCATGCTCGGTATTTTACGGTATATGCCTTCCTTCTTTCGTGCCGTCACCTGGCCAGTTTTCTTCCAAAAAGGTGAAACAGTTAGGCAGTTCTAATGTATCTGATGGCCTTTTGTTAATCATGCATGTGACCCTCAGTCGAATGCACCTTCCTTTTGCGACCGGTAGACCGTGACACACTGCAACTTCGTCGTCTGCTCGCTTTCCAGAGCACAGACAATTGGGAGGAATTTGGGGAAATTTCATGTACTGCACCGCAGTTTCACGTACAGTTTCATGTATTGCGCCGCCATAATTTCACCTTGAAAAGCAGCTTTAACTGGCAGTTTTTTGAGCTACACAATCTAAACAGATTTTCTAAATACCATAGCATTACCTTTCCCGGGATACTATTCATTATCTCTAAATTTAAAGTATGCACTGAGAAAATGGCAAACGAAGGTTATGCCAAAATCAACGAAGCAATAAATAGCATTTTCCCAAAAACCACGTTGAAATCTTCCAGCACTCTGGGGGGGGAGAGGTCATGTTGCATGTCGTAGAACTTGCAAGTCGAGCAGGCTCTCTAAAGACATATGGTATTTTAATTGTTTTATTGTCATTTTGCTGGCGTGAGCTTCGCCAGCATTCATCTCACACCATCAAACATCTTGTAACTCGTCAGAAACGAGCTCTGCTGTGTTCCAACATTTTACATCACATTTTTAGCATTGCCAGTAGAGCATCTCAGCATCTCGGACCAAACTCGACAATTTAATGACGTCGGGAAAAGGTTATGCGACTCATAATTTGGGTTAATAGTTTAGATGTGTCAATTAATGTGTTCGGCCAATTTTTTAAGGCAAATCGGCGACTATCGAAATTTCGTCAGAGCTCACTTTTAAGAATGTTTTAGGTTGAAAACCCAAATGTCTGTGAGGAGTCACTGAACCGGCCTCTTTTGGCAGACTGCTGTCGAAACTGCACGAGGTGCTGGCGACGACCGAGCCGATGAAGAGCGGAGACGGACCGGCGTTCAAGCCGCCGGCCGAGGCCCCGCCCCATGACCTGCTCCAGCTCTGTGCCGCCACCCAGCAGCTGGCGAGAGCCGCCTGCCAGGCGGTGCACGGCAGTGCCAACCTGAGGCTCCTGCCAGCTCCGAGCGTAGTTCCGACGCCGGCCGAGCGTTTTGCCCAGAAGGCGGAGGGAACCTTTGAGGTGAGCGCCTGCCTCAGTGAAGTGACGGACCTCCTTTTAGTAAGCTTCTGCGCATGAGTAGACCCCCTCCCCCGACCTTGCTACCTGCCGTCGCCTATCTTTGCACATATTTCGTCTTTTCTGACGATTCCTTTTTTTGAGTGGTGTCGATAGTGTGGGACATAACAAGCGATGAAAGGCGACACTGCGGCACGAAGCAAATGTGGTCCCGCGGGCAGAGGCACATTGGGCTGCCCTTCGTTCATAGCTTGCTGACGACTCCCCAGACGACGCATTTACTTGAAAAAAGTCCAGTGTGTTGTGCATATGTTTAGGCAGAGGGAAGTTGGTCAGCCACAGTGGGCATCTGGTGTCTCCGTTGTGGACGAGAAATTTAGCCAGTGCAGTACCACCAGTGGACTGGTGTCTTTAACGTGCACCTTGCAGTAGTGGTACACGATTGCACGCCGGTACGATGCTCGTCCAGATTGAAACGGGCGGGGGTAGGAATCGAGCTCAAGATCACTCGGTTCTGCAGCACGAGTTTTCGCTCCACAGGCTCCGAGCTGCACCGAGCTAGCACACTCGGTTACCGATCCCCCGCTGCCCGAGTGGCATACAGCACGTATCTTCATGTATCAATCAAATTTAGCCTCTTTGCATTCTGTTGCGCTTGGAATTTTCTGTAGAGTTGTGACTATTTAGTTCCCATTTCAATCCAGATGAGCGTCATATTGACGTGCCGTCATGTGGTCACTACCACGTGATGTATGGTAAAGGCCCCAGGTTAGAGGTCATACTGCTCTGGCCAAGTCGTGCTTGGACAATGAGATACCTGATGCCATCTCAAAGGCACTGGTCTTGGTGGTTTTCTCCTTATTGTTCAACCAAATTCATTGCAAGTGCACAAGCTTGTTCAGTTTTTCTTGTTGAGTGCAAATATCTGGTCACCTTTTCAGTCAGTACATTATCAGTCTTGAAAATAATTAAAACTCACCTGCCTTTGGTTTCAGGAGCTATAGTAAATCATCTACTCCACAAAAAAATTATGTTTAATGCGTGGTTAGGTACTACAAAATATACAGAATACAATGTTGGAAGTACTTTTGTGGTTGAACCATTATTAGTGATTTTAAAGCAGATTGAAGGTCAGCGTTCAATGTTGGGGGATTAAGTAATAAAACCATAGATCAGTTGAAAAGTTTTCTAGGTTTGCAGGAAAGAATCTGCCCTCAACAATGCATGCCTTGCAAATTAAGTTTCATATTGCAAGTAAAAGTTGCTTTTCTATCTGCCCTAGATGTTGAGATACCCCTCCTGTGAATCTCCAAGGAGCCCTAAATCGGTGACAACAATAATGACATTACTGTAATTAAATTACTTTTTGTGGTAATGAGTAATATAATGAACTACTTTTCCTAGGTGGGTCATTTATTAATGTAATAAATTACTTTCAGGCAGTAATTGGGAGAAAATTACTCTACTTTTGAAATTACTTTTGTCCCAAATAAAAAGCTTCCTTTGCGAGCTTTAAAAAAAAAAGAGAAAAATTAGTTTGCAAGGCCAAATATTGTGAAAGAGACATCAGAGCAAATAAACGATGGCCATCTAAGCCCAAAGCCTCGTGCGAAGAACTTTACAAACGCACAAAGGCAAGCTGGAAAGGCAAAGGAGAAAAGCTTACGTGAAAAGACAAAGTTGCAAGTCCATTGCTCACAAACTCCAGGCAAGACAGACTCTAGCCGTCATGTCATCACGACGATGCCAGACGTAGTTCATCCTTTAGCTGACAGTGCAGTGGGAGCTGGGAGCTCACCAGAACCAATCAACCACCTTCCTTCTATCACCTAACCCGTCCCTTTCTCTGCACGAGGGTATGAATGAGAGCATGGTTATGGGGTGAAAGGCAGACGTGTGACTATTCCAACGAGCACGTAGCTTCCAAGGCGAAGGGCGCATCGCCAGTGAAGTCAACACATTTTAAAACCTGAGAGGACAGGACAAACAGAACCTGAGCCTTCTTGCTCTTTCCTTGAGAGGAATGACTGGAAACACGTTGACTTGTGCTCTTTAGAGAATAGGATTAGATTGCGTCTGGAGGTGGGAGGTAAACGTTTCATGTGAAGAGTCCTTGTAAGAACGAGCTCCTATGGCCCGACTTAACATACTGACACAAACTATAACTTCTAAATCAGAAAGACTGAAACATATCACCTTTAACGAAGGACCTTCACTGTTGAATGAACAGTGAAACCGGCAAGTCGACTGTCTTGGGAGTCACATATAAAGGAGAAGCTACTTATCACGTTTAACACTTATGTCATGTGCGCCAGCGAAACGGCTGTTCACTATAGTTCACTTTGAGGCGCATAGGACTGTTGCGGTGTAAACAGGAAGATTTGAGTTTTGATACATGTACCATAAATAAAATGAGCAAAGATTACTGCCTCAAACTAATAAAAAGTAATGTCAAATTAATTTCATTACTTTGATGTCATTTATTTATGTTTTTGCAGTTCAGAAAAGTAATTATGCCCTTTTTCACCACAAGAAAAAAAGCATGTTTTGCACATTGTTCATATGCGGCTTGAAGTGGTTCTTACGAGATTTGGTTGCCGGAGGAAAAAAGCGATGCTTTTGGCATTTGGAATGTGTACGTCTTGATAACATAACATATATCTCGTCTACAATCTTAATTCTCTACATGAAGGGGAAAATCAGTAATGCTCCGCGAGAAGCCAGACTTTTTTTACTATGGTTCTTGAGGTCAAAATGGGTATAGAAATATAACTTAATTAGTTCTTGAAAGTAATTTTGCCATCTCTGCCCAAAATTAAATCTTTGAGAAATACTGTTTTAGCATAAACTTCAGTGCAAATTCAACCTGCATAGATATTATAAATTAATATTATGGCACCAACATCAATCAATAGAATTAAGCATCTAGCAAGATAGCAGTAGATTTCAAAATCACCATTAAAAAAAAAAAGATTCTTCCACAAAGATTTTTTGTCACCAAAGACCCATGTCCTTTTTAAGGCAGACTAACTTCCCAGTCTTTAAATATCCATGTAGCAGATTTGTCTTTTTCTTTGCATAGAATAATGTCATCTACTTTCAATTTTTGTGATTTCGAGATACACCATCTGACATGTAGCCCTCCAATAGAGTATGTATCTGTATTAAATTAGCTCCAGATAAGTGGAGTGACATTTACACATGGCAATCCTCGTAGCAAACTTGATGGTACCAAACAAAACATGAATATAATCGAACCGGGTGTGAACTCGAAACTGGGAACCTCAGAGTGGCAGCAGACATTTCGCTATAAGACTTAGCCCCTTAGCGAAACGTCAGCTGCAAGTCTGAGCCTCTTAATTACAAAAGTGCAAAGGACAAGGACAGAACAAAGAATGAACAGGACAAGTGCTTGTCCTGTTCATTCTTTGTTCTGTCCTTGTCCTTTGCGCTTTTGTAATCAAGATGTTTAACCAACTACAACTAGCCCAACAGTTAATTTTAATTTAAGTCTGAGCATTCCGGGAGGCTTGGTCTGAAATGAACGGTCACTGAGCCCCACATCGTTTGATGTCGATCTTGCAGACTCTGAAGCGCTCCTTCTCGCCGGTGTCGACTTCAAACACCTCTCTCTCTCCCGGTATGACTTTGGAGAAGTGTCACCACGTCAACGGTAAAACGACCCACGAATGTGCCACGACGCTTGCCTGCTGCAGGCACTGTTCGGGTCACCTCGAGGAGGTCTGACGGCGGCTCCTCTCGTCCGCCGCTTCGATTTTTAAAGATGTTGGCCAAGTGTGCGTCCCACGCCTAAAACACTCGTCACACGAAAAGCCTGTGCGGCCTTTCGTGAAACAGGAACGACATTTGCTCGAAGACTCTAACCGCAGTGAAAGGGACCTACAAGGCAACGTGAAGCAAGCTTGCGCCAGGGAGCTTCGTAGGTTACTGATGAAATTTTTATGTCGTCGCTCTCCAGCTGTTTGCTTTTCCTCTCGTTTGCTTTTCCTGCCGTTTGTTTCTAGCCTCACACATCTGCCTCTCTGTGGTTTCCACATGTGTTACTTAACATTGTACATATGTACAGTGACAGACTTCAGTCATGTGTAAGCTACGATAATGGACAAATCGACGACCAGCATTTCACTGCGATGAAAGTTTTGTGTGCAGTCCCATTTTTGGTTTCGAGCGCAAAATTGAAGGGGTGCATGTTGGGGCAGCATTAGTACCGTCTGCATCAATCTGCCCATTGGAGAAAAACTCTTTGGCTTTGAAGCCAAACCAGTGGTCTCAAAAAAGTGTGATGAAATGGAAGGATTGTTGTGTTCTTACTCGCTTTTCTTTCTCTTTTATTAATTCCACTCAGAGTTTGCACAATGGAAGATGTGTCAGGGATTCATTCACGCTTTGTGCATGGATTTCATACTTGTTTAGACTCGTCGAAGGACTTCTCAGGCCTTGCATGTTGCACAGTGAACTCTCCGACAAGTGAACGTGACTATGGAGATTTGCAGGTGTCACATTGCCACATATATTAACCTCTTTATTTGACCGTCACTGCCGTTCTGAGAACTTCTTTAAAAGCTAGCACTTGCTCTACAAAGCTAGCATAATTTTGCCCTCTTCCCAAGGAATGTGGACAAGGCAGTAATTCTGGTAGTGAGTACACCTTATGGCAGCCAGTGGCGGATGTTATCCGCTGAGTTACCACTCTCGATTTCGCCATACTCGAGCTATCATCTCGGCAGCACTGCAGTATCTGTGCGGGTCACGGCGACAGATCGACGTTGCCTCTTTGAAGGAACCTGCAAGGGGCCAAAGGATCTCGAGGTTGTGCTTGCAGCTACTATTTTGAGGTGATTAACGAAATAACTTGGTCTTTTTGAATGCTAGCTGGTAACATTGGGCAAACGGACCAACTGCAGCAAACTAGTTTAATACTGGTGTCAATACTTAAATGCATGCGTTTGCGCGTTTCGATACTCCGTGCAGAGAAACATTGTGCAGAAACGGGCATGACTTCGATAATCGATTGCTTCTAGGTATGTATGCTCACATCGTGTCGTCAAACAAGTTACATCGAGCCGATTAACGGCGACTCAGCATTGCAAGTAATGACTCTTTGAGGGCAACTTATAGGATTTTGCTTGTACAACTCCGAAGGCTGGAACGCGGTGCAAGAATGTGAATTGCCCCGGGGCTCATCTCAGATGTGCGTACCAACCGTCTTTGCATGAAGTATGTCGGAACCAAGTGCCTTATTTGTAAGCATGCGCAGAGGCATACCCCTTGGGTAGGAAGTCCTGCAGGCGCCTTGACTTACCGCCAGCAGCATTGGGGGTCGGTTTTGGACATTTTGCAGCATTGTTAACAAGGTGAAATGACCATAAATAAATATAATAGGATTCTTGTTATGCATTGTTGCAAGCATTCATTGTTGTTGTCATTGTCCTGTACAACATTTTGTTTGGGAGCAAGACAGAGTTCCTGAGGACAGCACTCGAGCGAGACAATTGGGAAAGTTTTAGGGTTACATTTGGTGTCGCATAATGTGTGCAGAATGTGTGGCGAGTTATGGTTGTATGTTTTCAGAACTACACACTGTAGGTACATTCAATGAAAATTGCAATAATTCACGGTAGTGCCTTGAGACTGAAACATGGAAAGGAAAGACAATACATTAACACATCTTCAACATTCCTTTTTTTTTTGCAAGAGTTTTGGTGTTTTTTTTGGCTATTCAGCACAGATTGTTGAATATGCAGAGTTGTGTGTATGACAAAAAAAAAAAGCATAGATCCTACCTACAGTCCACACCCATCTCTGGAAGGTTGGTAGCCTCACATGAATAGAAAAGCAAACTGGTGTACATCTCTAGTGATTATGCATGGTTTCTCAAGCATTCTTTTTTCTTTGATTAGGTGGATCACTCTTCCACTCGGTTGATCGAAGCATGAGCAACCAGATCTGAACTGTGGCCATAGCTTGCGATACATAATGGTAGCTGCGAGGGAGAAGTCGGCACACGGGCTGGAAGGTGGCACATGTGCAGTACGATTGCCTGAGTCTAGTTGCTGCACATCACTTTTTACGTGCCATCGTTCGTTGCACTTCGTTAATCATTGCACTATGCAGTAGTACACAAAGCAGCTATTGTGGTTTTGTTTCAGGGCAGTGTCTTGCAAAACACACAGCAATGACTTGAGGATCTGCCAGCACCAACGTCATGCGTGGTCGATGCATTGCCCTCTTTCCGGGTTAGGATGTTGCAATCGCACTCGCTGAAGCACCGCTAATGTACGGGGACAGTCTGATCACTTTAAAGATCGCCTCTCGCAGGTGCAAAAGTGTCGCTCTGAAATATGCCGCATTGGCGTCGGCACACGCTCAAGCAAAGTAGTTTTGAAGCCACACACTCAGCTCCATTGCAGTGCTAACAATGGAGGTCTTGTGGTTATCGTACTTGCAACCTCCCTCCATCAACTATCATTACGTCGTTTGAATATAACTACATAAAACAAAACATTACCCGTACACGAATACAAACTCGCTTGTATCGAATTATCTTTCTTCAGCTAGGTGGGGCATTCATGCCTTTGCTATTGGTAATACTAACTGTTCCACAACAAAACTTGCGATGAAGCATTGCTTTAGTGAACATATATACTTTAACATCGCTGAAACCCTCGATGTAGTCTCTGGAAAGCTCCTTTTCTTCCCATCCCATTTCACCACACAGATAGAACGTTTAGCTGCCCCCTCCCTCATATGATCATGGCTTTCCCTATTAGAGACCAGCGCGCTGTTTACAAACAAAGCGGCGTTGGCGCACACCGGGCATGAACACTGCACGTGTGCAGAAACCACAATTGCACGAGGTGAAGCATCTGCACGTGCGCCGTGCCAACAGCAGCGCCCCGCAATGGCGTGACGTTGGAGCCATGTGTCGGTCTATAAAAACACTATCCCGCCTTCCCCCAAGAAGTTTATATGAAAACTAGGACAGTGACTTTTGTCGTGGCCCAGAAATTACAAATGGCTCGTTGTTCTGAATAAAACTTGAGGAGATAAACGGTGAACCCCCTTTTGTCAATAATCTGAGATTCGAAAGGAAACTGGAGAGACCTCTCCTCAGGACCGCCGACCCTGTGCTCTGACCAAGCTTATTTGTAAAATACTGTCTTACTTTCTTTTTTGCCGCCGTGACATTAAAATTTGGAGTTCTTCGAACAATTCTAAATTGACAAAAATTTTATCGGCGAATGTTTTCTAGATTTTTTCGGATTTACCGAAAACGTGGAACCCTACTTATAACTAGGATTCCGTGTTTTTGGAGTTTATTTCCAGTAAAATTCAGAGGATGTTTTTCTGAATTTATTTTTCTGCTAGAAATTCAGGGCTTATCAAAGTTTATTTTTGTTGGATTTCCAATTCTCTGAAATTTAGTATATTTTAAAGTGTTCCTAATTTTCAAAATTCAAAAACAAAATGAAGGACACATAAACATAGCCTAAATTCATTAGTATTCACCTTCTGTAAAATCCTGATATTCCAACCCCCAAAAGGTAACTTTGGGCTTGATTTGCTATTTTATTTTAAACACCGAAAAATGGCCCACTCCTGGTAATCATACTGTTAGGATCAATGATGACGTCAGTGTAAATGCGTCTGTTAGCTATGGCGGGATTTAATCTAACAATGCTGACTGGGAATTGGTCATTTTTGCTTCATTGCCCCTCACCGCTATAAGTTTGGCAGGGACACGTAATCTAAAAATAAAATTTTTTAAAACTTTTCTTAGTTGCACACCATAATTTAGCCCACTCCTTATTTTCATCCAATTAGCTCTCGATTTTAGGTGGGCTATCTCCCGGGATATTAAGGTGTCCCGAAAGATATTTCTGCAGCACCCTTGCCATTGGCTATCTATCCCATGACAAAAATTGCAAAGTGTTGCCTCAATCGATGTCAATACTTTCAGATAACTAAACTCCTAGACACTCACTGGGAAAAATGGAAGCTTCAGTTGCATTCCTCTTCCATTGAAATCTACGGGCTCATAGCTTTCACTGTTGTAGAAACACTATCCCTCCTTACTCTAAGAAGCACAAATAGTATGGTCCAAACTAGAATCCTAAACAATGGCTTTAAATGTGACCCAGAGGTACCATGACCCATTGTCCTGAATGGACCTTGCCAAGCTAAAAGGTGAACCTCCTTTCGTCAGTAGTCCGACATTTCAAAGGAAACTGAAGTTGCCTTTCCTCAGGACCACTGGTGCTGTGCTCTTGTAAAATTTATTTGTAAAACACCGTTTTTTTTTTTTTTTTTTGCTTTTCGTTTTGCCATCGTGACCTTACACTTCTGAGTTTTTCTGGATAAATCCAAATTGCCATAAATTTTACCGGCGACTGTTTTTTTTTTTTTTTTTAATCAGATTTATCTGATTACACAGAACCCTACTTACAACTGACTTTACAATGTTGGTCTTCAGAACACCTCCAGGCGATCTTATTATTAACCCTCTTCCACAGCTTCACACACATCACTCTCCTAGAACTTTGCCCAATTTTCACACGACACACGGCTTGAACTGGCAAACAATGTGATGCAGTCTATGCACTCCGCATGACTGTTGGTGGCTATAGAACATTTTGATAACTGCCTTCCATGCACTGCCATCATTGTCAACTAGGCTGTGGAACTTGTTCTGGGCATGCACTGTAGCCCTCTTCTGGAGAATATCAGGTGCCATGCATGTGACTCGGCATGTTTTGCCTGGGTGATAAGCGCTGGAAAGGTGAATATCCAGCGACAAGCCATTGACCCTGTTGGTAGGACCACACAGTCCGATTGCAACTCTCCAGTGACGTGACGAGCAGCTTGTTATCCCCGCGATCACAGCGCGGATCCTGTCTCCTTTGCCGTTTGTGCTGTTGTTGTGTTCTACACGGCCCCGTAATGGCGACTGTGTCCACGAGGCTTCCTCGCCTGGGCCCTCTTCACTTGCACACGTCCACAAGTGTCCAGTCGCTGCAGGTCTTGCACTCGACGAAACAGCACCAGTGGTATCGGCAGTGGCAGCGCTCGGAGACCTGCTTGCGGAGCGTGATGTAGCCGCGGCCGCAGCACATGGAGTCGCAGCCCAGAGTTCCGGATTCCGTGCTGTTGCACGTCCTGCACACACATGCGGAGAATCGTACCATAGTCTTATTCTTATTAAAGTTTCATTGCTTGTAGATAGTAGTAGTAGATTGAGGTTTAATGGCGCAAAAGCAACTTAGGCTATGATGCGCCAAGAAATAAAAATTGCTTGTAGATAGTTGTTGAGTTCAATCTAAGGTGAGTGCTTTAGATCGTTTGGAAATTTTGTAGCTGCCAAGTTTTTAGGTGATCTGAACAGACCTGTAAGGCTGTGAAAATAACATAATTTATACTGAAATGTCCTTCGTACTAACTTCATACAAACAAAAACAGGTTTAACGAGAGCGCGGGTGCTATTCGTGTAGTTATATTTTTCTTTTTATATTGCGTGCACCAATTTTATTTGAAATATGCACCTTTTTTTCCCCCTTTAATATTAGGCGACAACACGAACGAAGATTGTGAACCGTACACCGGATTGCTGTAATCCACCCTTTTCCGAATTACCGGTTTGAGAGTTTTTTCGGTTGAAGTTGCGTGAAAGTGGCGCAATCCGAGTGCTAACATTCCTTCGAACAACGAAGCTAGATCCTGTTGCGCCCCTGGACGACGGCAACCTAGACTGAGCTCCCAAAAACATAGATTTTGTGCCCATTGGTGCTTATTTTTTGCCCTAAGTTCGTACACCCTAAAAGATTTTACACCCTCAAGAGTGTAACTCATTTCGTCCCAGGGCTAACACCCAGAGTGTTATAGACCTGGATAACACCTCAGTCTTTCCCAGGGCTAACACCGAGGATGTTGTAGCCCTAAGGGTGTTCAGCAGCACCCTAATATAAGATGTTAGCGATTTTAGCAGCATTCTAGGGATATTAATCACCGAGCTACGCGCTTACAAGCAACCAGCACCACATGCAGTTCTCACGTGTGAAGAAACCGCAAATACGTACGCAATGCATCACGCACGACATAGGAATCATGACCATATTGACTTCTGCACCGCCTTATGTGCTCAACAATTCAAAGACGTTCATTCGCAGGTGCCCGTATCCGCAATTACAAAGGTTGCACGTATGTTGCTCTTTTTTTTTTTTTTGTCAATATTTTGGATAGATAGATATATATTTATTTCGGCTCAGGAGAGCCGTGGCGACGCTGAAAGGCAAGTAACCCATACCGTTAAATTAAGGCCCGCGGCGCAACGTACAAGGACGATGGATGGTATTGTACAAATGAATAAAATAGAAACGGCGATGATGGCATAGAACTTTATGCTATATCTAAGTTCAAGGAATGTATCTTGAAGCGAAAAGCATTGGTACAGAAAATAATCATTTGACATGGTCTCTAAAACAAGCTGTTTGAAGTAGGTGTCAATGCAGTAAACGCCCTTCAAATGGGACGGGTGTTCCCATCTCACCGTATCAACCCTTTTCACGCCATTCTTACACCCTTCAAAAATGAAGAGCGCTCCGTGCGTACCGTGCCCTATTTGACGATTAAAAAGGGTGTATTGTTCGAAATAAAGGTGCTGAAAGGGTGTAGTCATGGGTGTAAATCTGGAACGCCTTTTTTACACCAAGGGATGCTGAAGCGAAATTCGCAGCTCACGAAAGGCTGGAGCGATAGGCGGGACGCTTCAAAACTCAAAAATATCACTTATCTAGCGATATCTCTAAAAGTTAGCCTATTTTCGGAAAAGAAGCGCGCGATTAAACGCGGCCGGCGAGGCTGACGTTGTCACGTCACGATTCAGATTCCCTCTCCTCGCTACGTCCCGTCGAGCTGTGAACCGAAATTAGGAGGAGAGAACTAAGGCCGCTTCCCCTCATTCTCAGCTGTTCAAGGAGGATCGTGACGTCTCAATGTCCACTTGATCGCGCCTTTCTTTGCTTTTTTTCTTCAAAAATATGGCAATTTGTTTTAGATATCGATGTATGAGTGATGTTTTGGAGTTCGTAGCGTCTCGTTCAACGCTTCTGCGGCCTTATTTATCAAAATCTTTATTCCGTTTCAGCATCCTCCTTTTGAATGGCGCCCTTTCTTTTCTCGAGTTTCCTACGAAAAAATCCTAAGTATCCGACCGGGGGTACCAGTTTTTCCGAAAGTGGAGAAATGCTTCTGACTTTACAGAGGTGTAGTGGTTCCTAGTTTGGCTCTTCATGTATGGCCTCTGATTCAGAAGCATCTTTGTCGCGGTGAAATTGCCAGGATAAAAAAAGAACCATTTCTTTCAGTCTTGCCTTCGCAGAGCTCGATAAGTAGAGTTGTGGGATCGAAACCATCCGCCTACGGCAATCGAGCGCGGCTCATGGACTGGACGCGAGAACTGCGTGAGCACTCGACTTCGGCTCGTAACAATCAATGCCCCGGCGGACACTCGGGTAGTGGCTCGTGTCCAGCCACTGCGGTGATGAGAATACACTCTAAAACCGGTCCCTCATAAAAAACGCTGTCCCTCTGATTTTAGAGGGGACAACAATGCTTTCAGGGGGACAGCCCTTTTTAAGAGGGAAATTGAAAAATAAAATAGCAACATCTAGAGGGACACCAACATATTAAGAGAGACCAAGGAAACCGTTTCGTTAGTCCCTCTGAACAGGAAAGACAGACAAAAAGATTCACGCGTGTCCCTTCATATTAAGAGGGGACCGGTCCCTCTTAACTGGACCAATGTAGTTCGGTCAGGAGGAGGGGGGCAGGCGCACTAATCCACGGCAAAGAGTTCGGACGGTGCTAAGGCTTCGCGCCAATTCACGGAGAGCTGGAAACGGTCGTTGCCGGAGAGTCGCAAGCGTCATGCTGCTCGTTTGACTTCCTTCGGGTGAGTAATCCTGTCATATTGGCGCTTTTGTTTTGGGTGCATTGCGGGTGGGAATAACGAGCCATCAATATTTTCACGCTGGCTGTGAGATGCACGAGCTTTGCATGTAGAGTGAGCGTGTTCAGCTGTAGTCCGCGGACGCGGTCGCTTCCTGGATCTGCTCGTTCAGCTAGGACAAAGCGTCGCTAATCGTTTGCCCTGCCGTGAGCCGCAGGGCTGTCTTTCGCACAAAACACTTTTAGCGGGTTAGGGTGTCCCAATGTGTACGCGTCTGTCTTAAGCTGGCGATATCAGACCATTTTCTGTCCGACGCTTTTGTCTACTTTTCAATTTCGAACGCGCGATCGTTCTTCTCCCAGCTCGAGCTGCTAACTTTGGCAGTGCTACGCCGGCATTTTATTACCGGCAATTTCCTGGTATTTTATCCGTGAGCGTACACTGTCGGCATCGAGTACTACAAAGGATCGAATCACCCTCCCTAAGGCAAAGCCAACATAAAGGCACCCTAGCTGGGGCAGTCAGTGTTTGTAAGCTTGGCTCGCCGATTTCTTTCTCGGTGTGCACTCTAAATGCTTGAGGTTGACCGCCCGAGAGCGTTGATTGACAGAAACAATGTTGGCGATTTTGCGTTTGTTTGCCTTCACAATTCATTACAGCAATTTACACTGCAACGTTATGTTGTAGACATCGTTAGCGTTGCAGTGATTATGAACATTTTTTTCTCAAGTGGGCGGCGAGTAAAAACCCATAATGTGTGTGTATGTTTGTGAAAAAGGCAGGGGGATTGGACGAGCACAAACAAAAAGAAGAAATAAAGGATTTTTTTTCTTCGCGTGTTCGCGGTGCGTCGGCGTCGCGGCGTCTGGGGGAAGGGTGTAGCGGCGGCCAGGGAGTACATTTTTTTTTTGTATATCTTTGGCGTACTGTTTTGTTCGTTATATTTTGACGGTCGTGCCGGCACAGCTACCGGCTTTTTTTTTTTCTTTTCTTTCTTATGCGCTTTAGGGCTAGTGCGTTGACTGTGGGCGTTAAATGACTGACCGTTATTAACAATCTTGTTTTCAGAGTGAGGCAATGGCAACGAACGTTGGCATGAAGGGAATCAGGCGGGGGTTCCGCTCGGATTGCTCGTGTAAAGAGCTCTACCGGGACCCTCTGCACGGTAGAACGCACCACCCTGAGTGGTGAGCCTACTGCGGCACACGGTTCACAACGAACTCGGTAATTATTAACTTTTTTGTATTCCGATATGTAGGTAGGCTCTATTTACGTTCTGCTGGCATATGCACTGCTTCTGAAAAAAAAAAAAAAAAAAAAAAAAAATGAATGGCTTGCGGCGAAATATTTACAGAAATGTAATTTTTTTATTTGATTATGTTGCTTTCTAAAACATGCGCTAGATCACTTCTGCAGCTTCGAGCCGCAAATGCAATCCATGCTTTCCAAAGCACATGGGGCTCCTAAAGTTCATCTACTACTAAATGCGTTTTCGTTTTGTCTTGGTAATACAGAAACTATTGATTCTCGTAAATTAATCAAAACTGCAGTCTATTCTCGTAGTAAAAATGAATAGTAGTAGAAGTTGCGTCATAAGCTAATGTCACTCGCTATTTCGTCGCATACAGATTGGGTTCCGAATCTTTGAACTGCTTGCACTTTATTTTCGCATTTGTTTCCTATCGCCTGCTTGATAACAGGTGAAAGCGCTTCATTACCTTTATTCTAATTCCCACCCTCTGTATCTAAAGGAATACAATATGGTCTTTCATTCAGCTAAAGGTGGATGCACAACTTCGGTTCCATAACACGATCGTCACCATGCTGGGAAACCTGGAGGAGGTAAAAGGGGCCTTCTGCGGAGACAACCCAACAACATTCTTGAACATTAAGACCATCCTCCGGTCTCGATTGGCCAGAAGTTCTTTCATCACCTATGGTATGTGAAAAAGCGAATGCAAAAACAGAAATCTGAGTTTGACGCTGACGCAATGATTTTTTTTTTTAAAGAATTGCTGCTTGCAGGACGATTTTACCCCTGACGAAAAAGTTCCAAGAAACAAGACTTTCTTCGGTTCGGAGAAAGGGATCGTTTCTGGGAACTGGTCAGTGAAACTCACCGCTAGCACCACTATGGAGGGGGCACTAGTCATGTGCTTATGGGTGTATTACATAACGGGACTTTCCTACCCCGTGGCATGTGGACAAACCC